TTGATTCCACATAGTAGAGGTTTTTCTTAATATTTTTCTTTTAGTTCAACAAAAGCCACACATTGAGGTTTCATGGTGAAAAGAATATGTGGGGAACAAATATTGGGGCATGGGCTGGATGGGCCATCGACAAGACCGGGGCTGCACCCAGGTGCCCCCGAATAGCTGTGTGGTTCTGGTCTCTATAGACAGAAGCAGCTCATGCCATGTGTGGAGCTGAACCCTCCCAGCAGTGAGACAGCTGCTGGCTGGTCCTGTACTGTGGACTGTTTTTTGGGCTCTGGAGATCTATTTTCTCCGCCTTGATTGTCCCAGGTTAAATGTCTTAACACCAAGCCCTCTCCTCCACCCTTGGCTGTGTGTAATGATTAGTCAATAATTATCACCTGTTTTAGATGTCTTTTTTTTTCAGTCAGGACAAATGATGGAAAATGCTATTAAATAAATGGTTTACATATGCCTCCTAGAATTGGACTGTAGCTACAGTAATTTTTTTAGAAGTTATTATCTTCCAGCTTTTCAAATAGGGAATTCCAGAGCCAAGGCAGAGGGGATTTTAACAGCTATAAATCAAAGTTTGCCTATTTAGGGAATTCCTTTTTGCCATATATTTTTTTATGAAATTTTATTATGAAATTTCTCCCAAGCATTGAAATGTGGCCAAAGACATTCTTTGTAAACCATTAAAAGTTACCTGGTGGCTGCACCATGCATGTACTTCTTCTTTATCTTATAGTGTCTTTTATTAGCATTAATCTTACACCAGGGTTGGGCAGAAAAAATACAATGGAATGATTTCTTGACTTAACAATATGATACAGTGTGAAAAAAGTTTGCATCAGAAAAGCCAATGGACCTAAATTTGGGAACCTGTAATTTTATCATTCTTGCTGTAGCCTTGCTATCAGTAGTGACTTTGAGGACTATTACATTTCACTAAGTCATGCACATGGACTTGATTTGAAAGAATACTATTTGTTGCTCTTTCTTCTTTTCTTGCCAGCCTGTCCCATTCCTTCCTATTCTTTACTATCAAGTTATAGTTTCAAGTACTCCTTGAGGCTTTTTCTCCTGATGAATTGCAGAACTGGGTATAAGTCCTACACTGGCATGTTCTTTTATGCTGTTTTACAATACTCTCCAGTTGACTTATGGGTGTTAGTTTTGTTCCTCTAGGTACTTTTAGGCTTCAGAAACCTTAAGTTAAATGAAATAATTTGATTTCACTTTATTCTTCCTCAACTTACTAAGTTATTTTGACTAATAGGGGTTTCAACAAATAGTCTTTGATATTTCAGCTCAAAACATTTTGCCCACTAAATTAGACAAATTGATCTCTAGCATTCCTCTGTTAAGAGATCATGGATGCACTCACAGGCTCATTGGGTATTGGGATCTATTGAACATCACAAAGTTTCATGTATTGCAGGCAAAAAAATTTTATTAGACCACCTTCATCCACATGCATTATATTTACTCCCAGTGGGAAAACATTCTTTATTCAAATTACTGATACACAACTTTTAAGTCCTGACCCATTAGGGACTATCAGTAGATCCTGGTCAAACCATACACGTGAACATTAACAGTCTTTTTATCCTAATGAATTTGATTCAATCATACCAAACTCTAAAAACAACATTAAGTAAGCCACATATAGACACATTGAATGGCCTCAAATTTATGCCTAGTAGTAAAACTTGGCATGGGTTCTGACTTCAGGGATTCCTAAACTACATTTAATATTGCTTTTTCCCAAAGACAAATTCAGAAAGGGCCTCTTTGGGGCTTTGCTTGTTCTAAGATGAGAGCAGGTTTTAGGGGTCCTCCTTTGAAGGCCCACTGATAAAGGACTAGAGACATGGGCAAGACACAAACCGCAAGGGTGGGATAAAGGGGACTTGGTTGATTTCAGTCTGAGGCAAAGTCCAGAAACAATTAGCATGAGTCCCACAACAGTTCCAATCAGAATGTGAATCCCTGATTGGTCCTGTGATTCCAGAATGAAATGCAACTCAGCCCAAAGGCACTTTTCTTTTATGTGCCTATGTGACCAATTAGGTCAGATGCCAAAATGGTATTCTTATATGACATTAACAAAAATGTCCTTTTTTGGTAAATTCATTCCACCAGATGCCATTCATTTTAAGTAACTTAACAATGATTTTTTCCAACTAAATGAAAGTGAGAATGAACTAAAATAAAAGAACAAGTCCCTCCCCAGTTACTATCCTTCAAGGTCTTCCCATCTCTTGGTCTATTTTCCTGATCTGGCATAGAAGGCTCCCCACAACCCAGCTCCCGCCTCTCTCTGCTCCCACCGCGTCGGTCCACTTTTCACCCCTCACCCAGGTGAAAATAGCATCTTGTCCACTGCACACAGCCATGTCACTCCGGGGCTCTGCACTGACATGTGCTATGTGCTCTTTTCTCTGACACTTCTTTCCCCTAAGAGAGCCACCTAGCTAGCTTCTTCCTACCCCTTGGACTTTGTGAAGTGCCACCCACTCTGGGCTCCCCCAGCATTTTAGGCACACTTCTACCAGCGCTCTCAGCAGTCTGTGTAGAATAACCTGTCATTAACTGCCTCATCCGGCAGCCTCCGGCTCCGCAAGAGCAGGCACCATGTTTATTCATGTTTGTGGCCACAACACCAAGGCACACTGCTGATCACAATGCTGGTACTTAATGTTAGCTGAATGGAAACGCAAATCTTTTACAAACAAATCAGGTTTAAATTGTCACTGGAATAAGTGTTCTTATGATAATAGCTAAAAGGTGCACTCTGAAATCTGACAGCCTGGTTCAGAAAAGGAACACAAATGAACATTTAGAAATTGGATGCCTTTCAATTTACTTCCTGTGTATCACACAGCCCATTTTTTATTATGTGGAATAAAAAGCAGGAAACTGAAGATAAAAACCATCCAAGTCATGTTAAATGAATTTTCTCTTACTTTTTCTTTAAGATATATTGGGTTGACCAAAAACTCCATTTAGTTTTTTTTCCATATGATGGCTCTAGTAGTGCTTAGTTGTCTTTAACTTCATTTGAAACAATTATGTTAGATTGTATTGTGACAGCTGTCATATCAGTGTGCATTTAAAAAATGACTTATCAAAGTTGGTAAATTTTTGTGCAGCCATTTTAATATTGAAGATAGAAGAAGATACGCAACATTTTCAGTGTATTATGCTTTATTATTTCAAGAAAGGTAAAAACACAACTGAAACACAAAAAAATTTTGCAGTGTATGGAGAAGGAGCTGTGACTGATCAAATGTGTCGCAAGTGGTTTGCGAAGTTTTTTGGCACTATTGACATTTTGGCCAAATAATTCTTTGCTGTGGGGCTGTCTTATGCACTGGAAGATGTTTAGTTGCACCCCTGGCCTCTACCCACTAGAAGCCAATAACTGGAGACAGCCGACATACTCAGAATATCCAAAACAATAAAGTTATTGATTTGAAAATGATTAAAAATGAAAAATGTGTCTTTTATTTTACAGAAAAAAAAATATGAACTTTTTGGCCAACCCAATATTATGGTAAAAATAGGTTCTCTCCCTGTGAATCTTGTTGAGAAAACAAAACCAAGATTATCATTACTGAAAAAATATGCTTATTTTGGCTAATTTAAATCTTTTAAGAAAATCTGTAGTTGCAAAATTTTCCATATTACAGCTCAAAATAGAGAATTTGAAAGAAAAAAATGCTCATGGAAAAGTGTTATTTTTGTAGTATATAACTACAGTTTTATGTACAGAAGACCATCTATAATGATTAGATGCTTCCTTTCCCCCTGAAAATGTCAGAAGAGTCTCACTGTTATCAGCCAAAATAGGCTCTTTTGGGTGTCACAATCAGTACCCAATTCAATTCAATCAATTGATGGCAGTGAAAGGTACAGGATGTAAAATTTACAAAATAAGTCTCTGATTCTGGATTTCTGGTCTTCACCTCTGCTGATATTTTTTTGACACTGAAGAGCTTTATCAAGCGCATTCCCAACTATGTCCCTTCAAAAATTCTATGTTTGTTGGTAGACTATAGCTTAAGAAGCTTTTCTTTTCTTTTCCTTTCTTTTTTTAAACTGAAAGCATAGACAGTTTATCAAACAGTGTTTTGGAGTTTGAAGGAAGAAACTTATTTCCCTCAGTGAGTGAAATTCAGTCCAAGACTGCATTTAGCATATTGGCTTCCTTAAGGAAGTGTTTGGCTGTATCCATTTAAGAATCTCCTTGACTTGCTGTTTTACATGACTAAATTTGATTATTTAGCCATGTTAAACAAAAGAAAGCCAAAAGCCAAAATCTTACTACATTTCTAGAAATGTCTAAGGCCCTTATATGTCATGTAATAATAAAATGAACTGACAAAATATTGGCTATTTCAGATTTATAAAGTTATCACAAAACTATACAGTAATATAAACAGCCTGGTATCAATGTGTAATGAGGGACACCAAGAAAAGTTGTTTATTATAGAACAATGCTAATATTATTTGTATCTCTTCAAAAATCTGTTCTCATTTGTCTATGATAAAAAGACCCAAAACCAAAGGATTGCTATGTCTGGGCCTAGTCTCTAGCGGTTTTCAGCATTAACTATTACAGACTTTCATCTATATATATCACATGCCTTTTATTTCTTTGCCCTCTCCCTTCCAGCATGTCAGCTAAATTCTTCTGTACTTCAGATCTAGTTTATATTACTCACACTCCAGGTATCTCTGGTCCTTCGCTAAATTTTGGTATTTAATATTTAGTACCATAATTTGGTACTAATGACCTATTTTTTAAAGCTATACTGCTAGTTTACAAGACCATCTTGTTGTTAGCTCTTGTATCCCCACCAATGACTTGCATAGTGGCAAAACATGACTCTAGAGGCACCTAGTGCTGTGTGCGGAAAGCCAAAGGAAGAGATACAAACTAGATGCTCCCTGAAGGCACATAGGGCTGATGTCATTTCATTCCTGTAACAGCACTGGTGGCTTACCTTGTGTCTGGTTTTAGATTTTCTACTGTGGAGAAGGTTTGATTTGTAATTTGGATGGACTTGTTCTTTCCACTGAATGACCCATTCTCTCTGGATATAACTTCATATTCTGAAAAGTGAAAAGGTCAACAGATACTCATCTTTATATTCTGGCTGATTTAATTGTTCTTGAGGCTAATAGCATAATAAAGTCACTCTCATAAAAACAAGCAGCTCAGATTGCAGTTCTGATCTTACACGCTATGTTTTGATCTTATATATTAGACATTACATATATCTCTTATACATTAGCCATTTCCAGATCTGGATGGTCAGTGGACGACAAAGGTTCCAAAGCATTTGGGGAGTTTCTCATTGACCATTTTTTCTTTCCTGTTGCAGAGCAGGGAAGGCCTGGTAACTGTGAACACCAGTGACGCTCTGAAGGTAACTTTGGAGACTGGTACCTATGGTCTTATTAGGAAAGTCGGTCCGCCATCACTGGAAAGCACCTTGTGGGTGGCTTCCTGCGCTACGGGGCTTCTCAATACAGCTGGGGAAAAGGCCACTGACTACGTCGTGCTGCTGCAAAAAACTTCTTTACGTCCGAAACCACAGCAGCAAATGACAGTTAACCCAGCAAAGAACAATACTTTTCTATAGTTCGTTATTCTGATTTATAGAGTTATGGGATTTTTGCACCTACTTCTTACATAAGTTACATAAGTTTTGTATGTACTACTTAAATGTTGCCCCTTTGATAATTATCATTGTATTTGTAAAAAGAAATTATGTCCTTAAAGTCTGAACAGAAATCCACATAACTTTCACTTAAGGGCATATTACCATGAACTTGCAAGACTAATCCAAAGAGAAAGAGTTTCAGAACATGAAATATAATTTACAAATTAGTTAATTGGTTTCCCCTGCTCTTGGCTGAGGTTTAGTTTAACACATGTGACAAGATCATACAAAGGATTTTAAAAACCAAACAAAAAACCAGACAAAACCCCACTCAAGATCAGCGCCATCAATACAAAGAAATACACAGATGGTGGGCATCAGCGAAAGTGGGAGGCAGCAGAGGGGGTCGCCAGGTGCCTGGGGATTTCTGCTATTAGCACCGAGATCAAAGGTAGGAGATGGACACTGGAAATAAAACTGAAGCCACGAAGTATCTCAGGAGGCTTATAATCACTAGTTTTAATTTGGGAAGGACTTTTAATTATTTTAAAAATTTAAAAAGGAGCATGACTCTTTCAGAATCATTTCTTTTGACTTTACTTCCAAAAATTCAATGTTAAACCGGAAGGCAATTTACACTGGACACAGCAATGTAGCCCTTAAAGGACCAATGGCTGGTATTTAATATTCCTTCCTCAGACTCTTTTTTGCTCCCAGCTGTTTGGGGTTTTGTTTTCTTGTTTCCCAACTCTTTGTTTCCAGTTCAGTTGTTTTTCTATTCTATCAAAGGGTGAGAAGGGGAGGGTCCTGAATTCAAAGTATCCATTTTATATTTTTTCCTCAGCTGTGGAGGGGTAGTTATTAGAAAAGGACAGTAGTAATTAAAATGGAAGTAAAATTGATTTTTTAAAAATGGAAACTGTATGCCTTGATGGAAAGAGATGGGCTATGCCTTAAAGCCATAATGGCTTTATAATAAATCCACCAACATTATAAAAATGGAATATTAACTTTGGAATGAATACTTGTAAATTCATCCTGAGTATATTTCAGAAGGTATAAAATTTATTTCTGTATTTCTTAAGTTTATGTCCATATTTCTTCTTTTCAAATATGAGACCATATTAATAATTTCATGAGCAGTAAAGGTATAAGGAAACCTATATAGAACTAACACTGAATAATTAGTATTTTGAATTCCTTTTAAAGGGGTTTATTGCCCTATTATGAGATAATTTGTTTAATAGAAAAAATTACTTATTATAAAATTAGGGAACATCACTCTGGTCAATAGAACTTAAAAATAGTAATGGTGATACTATTTTTACCTTTCCTACTACTGCAACTACTGACAAACATTAATTTAACAGCTGCTAACTTAGGCTTCACATTCATTCTCTTTAATTTTATCTTCAGGATAAATTGGTACCAATGGGTGTTATAATTAAGGAAACTAAAGTTTAAAGAGTCTAATACATACCCGAATTCTATGTTTAGGACACAACCTGTCTGGGATTTAACTCTATGTCAGCACAAGTCTTGGCATGTGACAAAGCAACACCCTATAACCAATTAACTCTAAGTTGCCCGAGGACCCAAGCAGGCTATAACCAATTTCTTAGGTCACCTATTTCTACATCAGAAGGGACATGTAGAAGCAACTAAATTTGAATGTATTTACTAGAGGTGAGCATGTGCCTGTCAATTAAAAGAAAGACTATTGACAGAAGCCAACTCATGGAATAAAGAATATGCTTCCCTCTCTTTTTATTATCTTTTTCAATCCTTTCCTTTCATATCATTTTCAGTGATATGAGAATTTCTGTTTTATCTGAGCTGCTGGTTTGTAAAAGATTTCATTGGGGATTAAGTGGTATTTAACAAACAATTTAAAAATAAATAGAAATGGAAAAAATAGGACAGACCATTAGGGTATATCATCCAACATTTAAATACAAACTAGATGAGTAATGGTTAAATATGGAATAATTCCTATGTAGAAAATACTACAGCTAAAGAGATATGGTCCTTATCCAAGAAAGTGGTTACTATAAATGCATTATTTTGTGAAAGGTCTCAAGCAGCCCATTAAACATTTGATAATAACATTCCAAAAGTAATTGATTAGAATACTTTGAGATTATAAAATATTTTTTTAAATGTTACATAATAAACCAGAAAGGAAAATCCTTCTGCTTTAAAAAATTAAATCAGATATAATTGACATACACAAGTGAATATGCATTGGATGTATCAGATCAGCAATTTTCAGCCTTTTGCATCTCATGGCACATATAATTTTCTGCAGCACACTAAAAAAATACATTTTTTGCCAATCTGACAAACAGAATTGGTACAATTTTGATTGATTTACCAAAAAAATAGTAATTATCTACCTTGATTATGCAATGTGACCAAGAAGATGTAACTCTATCATGTGACCTATATGTTTATGGCTCAAGACAGGGCTTTCACCCTGGATGGCTATTGCTGTGTTGGCTGTTGTTGATTTGACAATAGGAGGGAAAAGCCGTCAGTGCCCCTAACTAAATAGTCAGGTGTTGTATGTTTTAAAAATTCTGTGGCACACTGGTTAACAATTCCTGTATTAAATTATTAGATCTATTAGATTAACCAAGTCCAACATCTTCAAGGCAAATGAAATCTTATAGATCATTTTGTTTTGTGAGAACTAAGCCTCAGACTATTACAGGAACTCCTTATTAGCAAAGCATATGGATTGAAAGTTTTGAACTTTTTACTACATGTACATAATCAATACTTAGAAATTGATCGATTTTTAGATGTTGATTTAGAGTTTGAGATAGTAGATATTTTTGGATATTGACTTAGGTCCCACCAGCATAGTCCCAAGTAAAGAGGCAGGACTAGGCAGTCCCTAGGAACCATGGCCAGTGGCTGGTTTGTTCTCAAAACAAAGGTAAGCTTTGCATGAGAGAGAAAATTCACAACATACAGTTTTTTTTAAAAGCCAGCTAAGTAAAGGTATGCTGCTTATACTGGAAGTTGCCCAGATGGTTTTGTCTGAGGAGAAACAACAGCTGTTTTCTCCTTTATTTGTAGAAAACTTTTTTGGTATGTCTGAATGTCACACTCCCCATCCCTCTAGTGTATGGCTCTCTGCTCCTCCTGACAGCTTCTTAGGGGCTCCTCTATTGCCTGTCTACCCGCCCCAGGCACAAGGCAAGGGACCAGGTCAGCAGGGACCTTATACACTCAGGCTACATTCTCCAGCTGATTTAGGTAATTAGTTTTCTCCCCTCCTCACTAGTTTAACTATCCTGTTCACTATGGAGAATTAAATTCCCATATAACAAGTTCAAAAAATGGCTCAGGGTTTTTAATTTTCACAGCAATTTTTAGAGGAAGTGGGTGGATAGATAGCAGAATCAAAATTTCTGAAGAGGAGCAGAAAACTGACCAGGAAGAGAATTTTAAAAACATGCACCCTAAAATGATTGAAATAACATTTAGCCTGCTTAAAAGTTCTATGTAGATCCAGAAATTGGGATGGTAAAAGGAAAACTGATTTAAATATCACAGCAGTGGCAACTTTTCCTATATTATCTGTAATTTTCTTGGTAATGAAACAACTAGATATATCTTCACATTATGAAAAGAGAGTTCTACGAGGAGATATAGCAAGGACTCTTGGACAAAACCAAAGGGGGGAAAGATTGAGGGAGGGAGAGGGGGCAGGGAAAAGTGGTGGGGGGAAGGCAGAGACAAATGTATTTTGAAAAATAAATTAATTAAAATTTAAAAAAAAGGATGCAACTTAGATCTGCTAAGTTAACAGGGAGCTCGTAACCATGACAAAGATGACATTTTCCCACCATACTTTGGTAGTAATGTACCACTGGGACAGCAGAACTCTGCTAGCACTCACTACTCCTGAGCTATGACTCACAGGTTATTGTTTGACTCAGTGTTCCACAGTCCCAAAGTAGCGCATTATTAAAGTTTCTACCATAGTACTAACAGTCCTTAGGCCATGATCTTACCAGTAACAGTGTCATTTGGTGGCTTATCCCAGTCCAAGATGACAAAAGAAGGGCAGCCTTCCACAGTGACCACGGTGAGGTTGGAAGGAGGGTTCTGCGGTGGGCTGGTGGCGTTCCCCTCTGCGGCCTCCTCTTTGGGGAACCGTTTGATGGAGTCGGTGATGGAGCAGGGCCTGTTGTCAGGCTTTTGGATGTATCGCACATGAGGACCTAAGAGAGAGAGAAGGCTCTGACATTTAGCACTTTTTTTTGAGTAAAAATGGAGAAGGTGAGCTCATAAATATAATTGTTTGAGGACATTAGGTCTCATAAGCAGATGGATGAAAGCAGTGACATGCATGGTTCAGACATGTGAAAATCCTGTCTCTAGGATACATGATAAGAATGGTGTTGATTTACTTTTCTAAATCGTTTAGTGTATACTAATATCCAAAAGTAATCTGTTCCCCCTGAGCGTGGTTTACACCTCATAACTCAGGGGGCATTGGAATGAGTACTAAGAAGGGTCTTGCCTCAGTTGCGGGCAATAACAAGCCCTACACCAAACACAGTTCTGGCCCTACCTCATAAATATTAAAAGCCAAACTCAAAAAAATCAAGTGGTTTCAAGTAATTTAACTGCACTCAGAACAAAATTCAAAAATACTTTAGGAATAAAAAACATATCCAGAACCAAACAAGATGAAATTAACAGGAAACTTTTACTCATAATGAGGAGAAAAAGAAATCATTTGAAACCACCCTAGAACTTGCATAGCTGTTAGAATCATTAGACAAAAACAATAAAGCAGTTATTATCACTATGATCCACATGGTCAAAAGTTAAGATGTGAAAAGTATAAAAAAGATGCAAATCAAATTGGTCACCAAAGTAGAAAGAGAAAGGACTGTTCTTGACCCAGTAAAGGGCTTCTACAAAAAAACCTACAGTTAACGTAATATCTAATGGTGAAAGACCAAATGCTTTTCTCACAAGATCAGGAACAAGAAAAAGACATCCATTCTCACCATTTCTATCCAGCATTTTACTGAGGCTCTTCTCAGTACAATAAGGCAAGAGAGCAGCCACCCAAGTTGGAAAGGAAGAAGGAAAACTTTACTCTTAGATACTATGATTTTGTGTATAAAAATCCAATGGATTTAGAAAAACTCTACTAAGTGTGTTTTTGCAAGACTGCAAGATACAAGATCACTGTACAAAAATCTATTGTTTTTCTACATATTGGAAATTAAAATATACTTTTTATGATTTTTTATACACTGAAAACTGTAAAATATTTGTGAGAGAAATTGAAGAAGACCTAAATAAATGGTAAAATATACCATGTTTGTAGGCATGGAGCCTTAATATTGTACAGCTGTCAATTTTTCCCAATTCTAATAAAAATCTAAGCAGGCTATTTTTTTATATATCAACAACCTGTTTCTAAAATTCAGAGAGAAATCTAGAGGACCCAGAATCACCAAAACAACTTTGAAAAATAAGACCGACATTAGAGAACTAATACAACCTGATTACAGCACTTATGATAAACCCATAGTAATCCAGACACTGTGGTATTGATGTAAGGGTAAGGAGGTCAGTGGGATAGAGAACCTCGAAACATGTACACGCACACACACACACACACACACACACACACACACTCTCTTGATTTTTGACAAAGGTACAATAAATTCAGTGGAGAAAGAATAGCTTCTTTTTTTTAATCAACAAATGATGCTGGAAAAATTAGATATCCATAGCAAGGAAATTAGCTTACATCCATTCCTTGTGCCACATACAAAATTTGATTCAATACAGATCATAGAGCTAAATGTAAAATTCAAAGACTTATGGAAGCAGAGAAGTTCTTTATGATCTCTGATTAGCTCATGATTTCTCAAATACAACACCAAAAATACAATCTATAAAAAACCAAATTGATAAGCAAAAATTTATTAAAATTTTTAAAAAAGCCAAACAATGGGAGAAAATATTGCAAAGTCATGTATCTGAAAAAGATCTTCTACCCAGAAAATACAAAAACTTTCAAAACTCAACAATAATAAAATAAGCAATTTTATAAGAAAAAAATGGACAAAAATTTTGAACTCCCCAGAAAAGATATGCACATGGCAGATAAGGACATGAAAAGATGTTTGGCATCCTTAGTCATTAGGAATTTGCAAAGTATAATCACAATCAGATACTACTACACACCTATTAAAATGGCTGAAGTGAAAAAGCCTGACCATACCAAGTGCTAGCAAAGACCTGGAGAAACTGGAATATTCTTAAAATGTTAACTATAAAGTTGCATGTAATCCAGCCATTCCCCTAATAGGCATTTGTCCAAAGGGAATGAAAACATATATTTACACAAAGACTTGTGCATGAATGGGTCATAGCAGCTTCAATGGTTAATATGTTCAATAAAAAAATTAGAGACAACCCAAATGTCACAAACAGGTTTAATAAATAGATTGTTATATAGCTATACCATAGAATACTAGTCAGCAATAAAAAGGGATGGACTATTATTACCATTACTTGCAGCAACATGGATGACTCTCCAAATAATAACATTCAGTAAAAGAAACCAGGCCAAAAAAAAAAGTTCATACATTTATATAAAATTCCACAAATACATACTCATTTACAGCACAGGAAATCTGTAGCTACCTAGGGACTAAAGGCTGGGGGAGGAGTGAGACGGAAGGATTATAAACTTTTGGAGGTGGTGGCTGCATTCATTACCTTGATCATGATGGTGGCTTCATGGGTGTACACATATGTTAAGATTTATCAAGTCTTATACTTCAGAACAAAATATTACAAAAGGAAATGCTGAGCTCTGTATCTTTCCTACTGTGTTAGATTAAATTACTGCTCAAAAATATTCTCTATATCCATGAAAGCGTATACTTCCCTGACTCCTGATCTGAGCTTTGCTGTGTGACTTTCTTTGGCCAATGAATATTGGCAGGCATAACACTAGAAGGAGCTTAAAATGTGCTTGTGTATTTGGATTCCCCTTCTCTCGACTTTGTATAGTCATGAGAATGGCTTCTCCTGGGTCACTGTTGGTCCTTCATCTTAGGCACCAGAATGAACAGATGAGGAACAGACCTGTCCCCAACCCACAAGAGGCCAAGTGGAACCACCCAGCCAAGGATGTCCTAAATCAGCTGACCCCCATTTGTTAATATCAGGAAGGTGACTTGTACACATATGAGAAGTAAATCCTTATTATAGTATGCCACTAAGATATTGTGGTTGTTTATTAGACAGTAATGGCTGACTGATACACCCACCAAAGATAGCCTTGTCAAAATTGAGATTTGGATCCAGAACGTACCTATGAATCTGGGCTTCCCAAGATGATCAGTTTCTCTTGTTGGGCTTGAGCTAAAGTCAGTTACATTACCTGAGAATGGAATATAATAAACAATTTTTGCAAAAGGTAAAGCTTCACAATACAATAGAAAGTAATAAAGGCTCTATGTATTTAATATGCCTATCAACTGCTCATACCTTTGATTTTCATTTTTATTACTTTTCATATTGCCTGCAATAAAATGCCTTTAATTGTGTCCTGCTACAGGTGTTCTGCAGTATAACAAATAATACTTTAAAGATTACAACTAAGTAGCTAATACTTAATAAAATAAAGTATGTATAATTAGTAATGACATGTGATTTAGTAAGAAGCATTGGGTAATCTAGATTTTTTTTTTTCAGGAAGCCTTTCCTAAAAAACTTAGGCACTTTCCTCTCTGTGAAGAAAAGGATCATATTCTATACAAAACATTAAAAAAAAGTATTATTTTAAAATTAAAAAGACTTGTATTAATCATAAAGTTGAGTAAAACAGATGACCCAGAGCTGAGACTCTTTTCCCCCTAATTTGAAATCTTTTAGTACTTTATTGCTAAGCATCCAGTGACAAGAGGGAAGGAGGGAGGGGGGCTGGGGAAAAGGAAGGGAAGGGGAAAGTCAAGGAACATATAGCAAGGACTCATGGACAAAACCAAAAGGGGAAGAGCTGAGGGAGGGAAGGAGGGAGGGGGCGAGGGAAAGTGGTGGGGGGGAGGCAGAGACAAATGTATTTGAAAAAAAATAATAAATTAAAAAAAAAAAAAGACTGACATACTAACCAAGATCCTCTCCTGAGGCCAGAGCCGTTGGTTGCTTTTTATCTGTCTCTGTTCTCTCTGAGGGGACTCCCATAGGCCTGAGTGCTGCCTTCGAGGGCGGGGAAGTTCCTAGGCCTGAGGAAATGATTCCTGAAATGTAGAGCCAGAGCAGTCAGGCTTTACAGGAGCACTGCCAAGTTCCCCATTTATTTATTCAATAAATATTTGTTAAGCACTTACCATGTAGCTTGGCACTATATGCCAGGCTTGGAGAGAAAAGACCTGGTATCCTTGATGGAGAGAGATGTGCGAGCCATATAGACTGAACCATTATAGATATTATGAAAGAACTGGCTAAGGTCACAGAGAGGCCAAGGGGAGGGAATAGTAATTCCCTGGGAAAGGGAATTTCTACTTTCTGGGAAAAGGTGAAGGGTTTTACTGGGAAAGATGAAGGATTTTTGGGGCGGGGGGGTAAAGGAGCTAAAACTGCCTTCACAGGAGATGTGACAGTAAAGAGAAGTGATCAGAAGCTGGGTGTGAGAGCTGTATTCTAATCAGCTCTAATCTTCAAGAAGAACCAAGGCAGGGAAGCATGTAACCGTTTGGTAGTTTTCATTTGAAGGTGTGAGAGCCAACAGTGCTTCTGGGTGCCACGCAAGCTGAGAGTGGAGGGCAGGGAAGTGCGGATCAGGAAGAAGTGTGCACACCACGGATTTGGATGTTATTTTTAGGCAGCAAGGAGCCTCTGAAAGATTTTATACAGGTAAGCAACCAGACCAGATGAGAAGAGAATGAATGGTTAGGATGCAAGGCCAGCGGCAGGGAGAGAAGTGAGGAGACTAAGGCAGTTGTGCAGGTAAGGGCAGGATGCCACATGGCAGGCTCAGACTGTGCTCACAGGCGCGTAGGAGAGAGGACAGGGGCTCAGAGAGCACCCAGAACATTTTGTTGATTCCTGAATTCAGGATGCATTTTCATAATCAGACCAAAATTGTACAACTGCTCTTCTTGTGTTTGGCTCCTCCATGTGCCCATTTCCTTTGAGAGAGAGGTGGCTAGCAAGAAAAGGGTGGGGTGGGGAACCAGAGTTAACCTCGGAAGTGGAATGTGCTTGTGCTTCCTCAGGTGGGGCAGGTTGTACCAGAGCCATGCTTACTGATGAGGGAGAACAAGGGTTTCATATGGCAGGAGTCAAGGCCATCAGCTCCCAAGTTTTCTATGGGGGACACTCAGGCATCACTTTCAGTCTGTGGTCATCCAGTTTGACCCAGGTTACAATCAACGAGGAAGACCAGGTGCTCTTACTGGAGCCATGTCCCTGGGCCTTGACTTGGGCAGGCACTGGAAACATGCACAAGAAACTGAGTCCTCCTTCAGCTGATGGCAAAAGTGACCTGGAGTTCTCTGTGCATGTGACACATCAGAAAAGCTTCTACATCACAATACCCTCTTATCCCATGAAAAGAGTTAACATCCATTCCCTTTTACACAAACCCTTAACACTTTCATCATTCATTGTCATCTTTAACATTTTTGTTCTGATTCTACCTACAGAATATTTAGTAAGTAGAGATGGTGGAAAGAGGGAGGAATGATGGGGAACATGCTGTGATTTGCTGGCAAATCCAGTAGAAGGGCCCTAAAGAGAAATGCAGTGAAGCTTTGCTTGGAGCCAGGTCACTTTTCATTGATTCTTAACTTCTTTCATTTATCCAGACAATGATAACTTATAAAATATTGTCTAGGTGCAAAGTACCAGATTTGGTTCTGGGAATTTAGAGAAGATGTACCAGGGATTCTGTCCCCATGGAACTCCTAGACTAGTAGGGGAAGAAAAGTGTGCACATATAAAAAAACTTGCTCTTTGTTCTAACAGAGGTATTTATCAAGGACAACTTGAACAAAGAAGCAATACTAAGACTACTTTGAGGAGTTACAAAAGGCTATTTTAAGAAATGAGTAAAATATGATTATCCCAGGTGACTGGGAGGGGTCATTCTATGAGAAGGCGCTAATACATGCCAAGGCATAGAGGTGAGCGGCAGGTTGACTTCTAAAATATATTCCTGTCTTGTTGAATAGCATAGAGCTACTAATATTTTAGTCCCCAGTCTTTCCCCTACTCTGATAATGCTGGGGCCAGCATAAAGGCTGGTGGACAGGTGAACTTTCAACGAGATGTATAGGATTTTATTTCAGAAAATCGACTGATGACAGAGCATCCCATTTTCTACTATACCTGGTGGGTTGGAAATGTATTGGGTTGGCCAAAAAGTTCACTTAGTTTTTTTCCACACAATGGCTCTAGTAGTGCTTAGTTGTCTTTAACTTCACTTGAAACAATTTTTTTAAATTGTATTGTGACAGCTGTCATATCAGCATGCATTAAAAGAAACATCAAAATCGGTGAATTTTTGTGCAGCCATTTTAATATTGAAGATGGAAGAAGATATGCAACTTTTCAGTGTATTATGCTTTATTATTTCAAGAAAGGTAAAAACACAACTGAAACACAAAAAAGGATTTGTACAGTGTATGGATAAGGTGCTGTGACTGATCGAATGTCTCAAAAGTAGTTTGAGAAGTTTCTTGGTACTACAGACATTCTGGCCAAATAATTCTTTGCTGTGGTGCTCTCTTATACACTGGAAGATGTTTAGCAGCACCCCTGGTCTCTGCCCACTAGAAGCCAATAGCAGGAGATAGCTGACATACTCAAAACATCCCAATCAATAAAGTTATTGGTCAAAATGAAAAATGTGTCTTTTATTTTTCATTTTCAAAACAGAATGGACTTTTGGACCAACCCAATATAACATCTTGCCCAAAATAATCCGCATCTAGAAAGGGCCTGAGTTGGCTTCTGTCTTGGTTCTAAGAAGACACACTGGCTTGGATGCTCAAGGATGGTTTCTTTCAACCCACCCATCCAGAATCAGGATATGAGTCCCCAAAGCTATTTACAATGTCCAGCCTACAGGGCCAACACAGGCATGTATCACACACACCAAGGGCTTGTCCATTGCCTGAGCTAGTATACCAAGAAGGGCTTGTGGTTGGTTAGTAAAACTGAAATCATGGAGGGAGAAGGAAAAATGTATATGACTGACATACCTGCACTTCCTGGCTTTCCAGTGACATTATTTGGTGGTAAAGGCTTTCTTCGAGGGGGCGTAGGTCTAGGTGGAAAGAGTGGGCGGCGAGTGCCTGGAATAGTGCCTAAAAGATTATATTACAGAGAAAGATTCATAAGGATTCACGCTGTGAAAATGACAGGTTTAAAAATATGTAATGTTTGATAATTAGTAATTGAATGACAGAGAATAGATTCTACAGAAAAGTGCTTGAGTAATTTCTGATATTTCTAAAGTAATGACTGTAAAGTACCAAGGGATAATGAAGCACATTAGTATATGAAAAAAAAATTCTGTTATTATAGATAAAAGTGTATAGATATATTTGCCTTTTGAAAAGCTGTATAGGTGTAGAGAATGTAACATGTTTAGTTTCCCATATAGTCTCAACAGTAGCATTTCTGCACTTCATTATCTCTAATTGCCTTCGATTTTTGAGACTACAATTCTTACACCATTTAGCTTGAAATTATTAGTGTATAACTTCTCCTTTAGTGGGTGATCCACCCCACCCCAAATCTATTGTGTAATTATAATTGAACACACAATTTCAGAACTTACAACCAAGGAGCTCTGATGGCAGAAGCTATAAGCTGGTGCTCACTGAGAGCAGGTCATTGTGAACAGCTGTGCAGCGCACAAGGGCACGTGGCCAGAGGTGTGTAAGTGGGAGCCAAAGTTTAACACTCACTCTGCTCACCACTCATGAGCCCTGGCGCCAAGTTGCCAGCCCAGAGGAAGGGTACGTTTTTGTAAATAACTTACCTAAAGGATGCAGGGAAGAGGCAACATTTAAAAATTGTACAAAATGTCTAGAGATGCCTGGAGCAGTCTACCTTAGCCCATTTTTTTTTAAGTCTGTGTTATAGCTTAAAAATTCATCTCAAACTTCTGGCCAAGACAGAGGTGTAGGTACACATGCTTCGCCTCCTCATACAACCTTAAGAAGGATCAAAACTAACCTCAAAACTAAAAACAACCAGAACTTCCAGAAAATCATACTGTATTGAAGTCCAACAACCAAGGATTTAAAGAAGAAATATTCATCCAGATGGGTAGGAGGGGCAGAGACAAGGAGTCAGTGCGGAGAGGATGTAGCGTGGCAGTGGAAAGGTGGCAGCAAAGGCCAGCAGAACAGGCAGTCCCACATTTATGTGTGGCAGTTAAAAACCGGGGGGAAAGCTGGGGAGCAAGCAATCCCAGCCCCAGGCCTGGCAGCACAGCCCAGGTTTCAGGGCCAGGAAAATAAAGCCTCATAACTTCTGGCTGTAAAAATCAGTGGGGAGTGGAAGAAACTGCTGTTCTCTCAGGAGAGTCAGTTTAGAGGACTCACACAGTCCTAGAACCTATGCAAACCCACCCAGTCTCGGATTTAGCACCAGGGCAGCAGCTAGAAGGACACCAGTTGCTTATAGGAAGTGGGGGAAGTGACTGGAAACAGGGCAAGAGCTGGGCAAGTGGTATTGTTCTCTTTTTGACCCTTTCCCCACATACAGTGCCACAATGTGGTGAAGCAGCTTGCTGCCCCCTGGTGAGCACCTAAAGCTCTGCCTCTTACAATGTAACAGGTGCACTGAGACAGGGAGTCAGAGCAGCTCTACCTAATACACAGAAACAAACACAGGGAGGCTGCCAAATTAAGGAGACAAAGAAATACGGTCCAAATGAAAGAACAGATCAAAATCCCAGAAAAAGAATGAAATGAAATGGAGATAACCAACTTATCAGATGCAGAGTTCAAAACACTGGTGGTAAGGATGCTCAGAGATCTCACTGAGTATGGCAGATGCCTAAGGGAAGAAATGAAGGCTACACTAAGTGAAATAGAGAAAAATCCACAAGAAAACAACAGTGAAGGGAAGGAAGCAGGGGTTCAAATCAATGATTTGGAACATAAGGGAGAAATAAGTATTTAATCAGAATGGGAAGAAACAAGAATTCAAAAAAAAAATGAGGAGAGATTGAGATGACTCTGGGACATCTCCAAACATGCCAACATCTGAGTCACAGGAATATCAGAAAGAGAAGAGGAAGAGCAAGAAATTGAAAAAGTATTTGAAAGAAAAATGAAAGGAAACTTCCTTAATTTGGTGAAGGAAATAGATATGCAAGTCCAGGAAGCACAGAATCCCAAACAAGATGGACCCATAGAGGGCCACACCAAACACATCATAATTAAAATGCCAAAGGCAAAAGATAAAGAGAGAGTCTTAAAAGCAAGAGAAAAGAAGAGAGTGACCTACAAAGGAGTTCCCGTAACACTGTCAGTTGATTTCTCAAAAGAAACTTTCCAAGCAAGAAGGGACTGGCAAGAAGTATTCAAAGTGATGAAAAGCAAGGACCAACAAACAAGATTACTCTATTCAGTAAAGCTATCACTTAGAACTGAAGGGCAGATACAATGTTTTCCAGACAAGGTAAAGCTGAGGGAGTTCATCCTCACTAAACCCTTATTATAATATGAAATGTTAAAGGGACTTATTTAAGAAAAAGAAAATCAAAACTATGAACGGTAAAATGACAACAATCTCACGCCTATCATCAACTGATGCTAAAAAACAAAAACAGAAACAAACAAGCGAACAACTAGATAGGAACAGAATAATAGAAATGGAGATCACATGGAGTGTTGTCAGTGGTGAGGGGGAAAAGAGAGGCGGAGAATGGGGAAAGAGGTGGAGATTAGGAAGCGTAATTTGTAGGTGTAAAACAGGTAGGGGGATGTTAACAGTATAGGAAATGGAGAAGCCCAAGGATTTATATGTATGACCCATGGACATGAACTAAAAGGGGGATATTGTTGAAGGAAAGGGGAGTACCAGGCAGGGAGGGGGGCAAAGGGGAAAAATTGGGACAATTGTAATAGCATAATCAATAAAATATACTTAAAATTAATTTCTTTCTTTGCACAATAATGTTGACTTAAAAATCATCATGTATAATTGACAATACAGGAAAATGCCCCGTGGCTTTGAGTACTTAGCAGAGGAGAAAGTGTGTGTGTCGGGGGAGTGCACGGAGCTCGTAGAATATAGATCTGTAGGCCAGGCATTAATACATGAGTGTAGGTTTCACACAGTATCTTTTCAAAAAGCACAGAGTTCTTATTCAAAGCAAAGATTTTTGAAGTCACCAGGTATTAAATAATTTTGGGGTAAAATACACAGCATATTTGTAAATTAGAAACATAAAGGGAAGAAGGGTCAAGTCAAGGAGCATGTGAAAAGGACTCATGGACAAAGTCAAAGTAGGGAAGGATTGAGGGAGGGAGGTAGGGGAGAGGGGCAGGGGAAAGTGGTGGTGGGAAGGTGGAGACAAATGTATTTGAACAAAAAATAAAAATTAGAAAAAATAGAAAAATAAAATAATGGAACAGAAAAAATATATATACAATTATATTTTGTATCTAATGCATAAACATTTCTCTCAGCACTAAATAAATAAATAAGTAAATAAATAAATAAATCTATGGATTTTTATCATCGGATACTATAAGGACTAGATGCAATTGTATCTTTCTCTAAGTGGAGCTACCTGGTTGTTCCAACATAATACTATGTGGAAGATTCATCATTATTGATGCACATAGCTACAGTTCATTCATTTTAAGCATTAAATTCCATTGTGTAAATAACTCATTTAACTTCTCAAAAAAAAAGTCATTTTAGGCAAAAGGATATTGTAGTAAAACACACAAGAGCAAAACTTGAACATGATGAAGACTAGAACCCACAGTGATCCATCAGCATTTGTGGATTGTGGACCATCAGAACATTAAACAAAGTAATTATTCAACTGGTACCCCATCAGAGGTTCTTAGCAATGTTTAACTTGTGCACAGAAGCAGATGCTGCTGTTGCTACTGCAACAAATGGTACTGCCATTACTGCCCATGTTCCAGCGCAGAGCTGCGTAAGGGAGTCAGCATCCTTTCCCTTACCTGGTTTCTTTGTGAAGTGGGTAGAGTCCACGGACTTATTTCTACCAACACCTAATGGTCCCTTGACCCCTATGAACAGAGATAATAAAGGGCATAAATATATAGCAAAAATGTGCTAAATGTTATCCACGGAAACTTGGTGGAGTCATCAGTGATAATGTGCATTCTTTCCAGAGCAGGGACACTGGTGATTTTGTGCCCAGATGTATTAATTGGTTTCTCCCACCTGCTAACAGAAGAATTTCAAAGGGCTACCTTCATTGGTTGTGGTATTTTCCCTGAAGAGTTAACGTTTAGTTGTGGTTTGTGGTTTTTGTGTTAGTTTTCCATGCTGCCTGCGCTGCCTTCCTGGGCAGTTCTGCTTCACCAGGAGGTTCACCACAGTGACTGGCCATTCTTTTCCAGTACTTATGGGTACATTTTGTGGTTTTGAAAAAAATTTTTTCCAACCCCTTTACTCCCATTAAAAAACCCCTAAAATTCCAATGTGTTTGGGTTTGTGCTTAATGGGTTGACTTTTAAAATAGTTCTGGAGGGGCCTTGGCTCTCATACTGGTTAGGTCACAAACTGGATCTGTATCTTTGAGATTTGTAAATTAATCCTGGGCAGGCCTAGAACTCCAAATTGCAATTTGAAAGAAACTAATCTGAAAATTACTTTGTGTGCTATTTTACCTCCTAAATTTTTCAAACACAATCTTGTGGTTATTACTCAGCCATTTACCTAAATACCCATGCCTGGAGTGTGGGTGGTTCTCCTAATGGTGGAGAAAACCAATTTAGGTTTCATCCTGTTATTATTATTGTTATTATTATTAATATTATGATTATTCTTTTACATTACAAAATAATCTTCCCTGACATGGCTGACAGTCTTCATTAAGAAAGAATAGAAACAGATATTTTTAGATGTAAGAAGTAAATATCACATTAGATATAATGGTTCATCCTAAAAGAAGAATCCATACTTTCAGGATTTGACAATAATTCACCTGTTAAAAATTAAGGACATTTAACTAATGTAATAGTATATCAACCATGACAAACAACCAAAACCACATCTCATTAAATTAAATATACAACAGGAGCTTTGCTTGCCAAAAATTAGATAATATTCCCACATTAATTTATGAAATTATATTATTAATTATAATATTGTAATATAAATCAACATGGGTATTAATGTTATATTATTAACATTATTATAATTAACATTATAATAACAATGATAACATTAATTATAAAACCCTAATATTACAACCCATACTCTTTGCTGCTTGAATAAAAGAAAATATACAAAATCATGGTGAATGTTTATATGAATTAATTGGCATTTAGTGGTTGGTACGAAGAGCAATTTTTCCGGGGTCAGTGACTGTTTTGTGGCTAACCCCGCAGGCATGGTGAAAACAAGCGGACCATTAGTTTTCTTGCTCCGCCCTGCTGTCAGTGGTGATGGGGCCAGGGAAATGACTCATGTGGGTGGTTACTCTGGGCACCGCACAGGGAAATGGAAAATACTTTCATCTGTGTCACTAGGATAACCTGGCTTGGTGGGATTTGATTTACTACTATTGTTCAAGGGTAAATAAAAATGTATTCTCTACTGTGGAAGGCTAGTTGGCTTCAGTATACTTCTTCATAGTCCTTCTCCAAATTTTTCTACCCTTAAAAAAAAGTCGAAGAATTTTGATTCAGTGCTGTGGAAGCACCTTTCATGTTCATTACCTGATTTGATCCTTCTAGGTCTTCTGTGTGGGTGACACCACCCAGGTGCCACCTATGAGGAAACCCAAGATAAGAGGAGAGGAGATTAAGTACTTGCCCAAGGAGCACAGTGAGAACGGGTGGGATTCACACCCACATATGTCCGGCACCTACGCCAATCTCTTAAGCCCTAAGTGGAATAGTACAGATACTATCTTTCTCTTGTCACTTTCTTCCTTCTTTTATTCCTTATAATGACTCTAAGTGACGTTAGCCCTAGGGTCCTATACTGGTCCTAGGGCTACCACTGTGTAAAGGCTCAATGGCCATGACTGGCAGGCATGTAGCATCGAGCCATGTCACAAGGACTCCCTCAGCCCAGCAGCATCCCAGATCCACCAAGCCATGGGCTGGTGAAATGCAGATCTAGGAGAGAATCCAAAGATCTGCAGGATTACTTTATGAATAAGACCATTGATATACGCTCCCCTGGCTTCTTTTCTAATGGAGAAATCAGCAGAAGCCAGCCATTTTCTCTTACTTTATGTGTCAGTAGAGACAGAAGCATCATATTGTTATGATTCTTAAATGTAAATGCCCAAATCAGTAAAGTGTCCATTGATAAAGTGGATTTTCACTAGCTTGTAAAATACGTACAAGCTGGTGGTAGATGAGAATGTTGGTAAAAGCCCTGCAAAAGGCAGCCCCAGGGCTCAGGGATGGCAGGTTGAACTGGGGACAGGAAACTGAAATCCAGTTCTGGCCTGGCCTCCACCTAGGTGTGGTTTGCCTGTCAGCTAGGCAGCAGTGTGAGCACAGAGCTGGAGACCAATGAACTTCTGTTTCCCTGCATCAGAGGTGAGCAAGTGAGGGCCAAAGGTAGCTGAAAGGAAAGGGAGGGAAAGGAGGAAGCCAGTGAGAGAGATATGGCAGAGAAAGCATCCTCTGGAATTGGCACATAGTTAGCCAGTCTGGCCCAGGCTGTGACCTAAATTCTTTTTCTCTCTGGCAGGATTAATCCCCATATTTTCTAAAGTGCAGAGTTGGTTTTGGAAGCACCAATACTTGAGCTTCGCCATGAGTCCTACGGCCTAATGTGAGTTCTCCAAAAATTTCTGGATTTACACAGTTAACCTCTTAGGAATTTATTGTCAAAAATGAATAATGATTCAGGTATTTTTAACCATGGTAACAAATACTTTGCAAAGAAACATAGTAAACTGGACATCAGTTTCCAAATGTATCAGAGACTTTATTTCCTATAACCAAAACAGGGTAGTATTTATGGATAATTGCACTCTTCACCATTGTCTCTAAATCTTGGCATGTAGCTAAAAAGTCAGGAGTGATGAGCCAGAAGACTGAAAGTTTAGCCACAGCTCAAACATATTCCTTACCCAGGAGTCTGGGTTCTGGTTGTCAAGCACAATTCATATGGGGGCAATGAAGTGCGCCTCATTAAGATGTAGAAAAGGGAGTCTTGAGTCTAGATATTGAACATATCTGCCAAAGCACATATGCCAAGGTGATTTCCAAAGTACATTTTACCTGGCATATAGTGGACCTTCAATAAATGGTTAAATGAAATAGCTGCACAACTCAACAGCTGTCTTCTATAGGGAGAAAGTTGAGAGACTGTCTAATATAGGGTCAGCAAACTTTTTTGTCAAGGGGCAGATGGTAAGTATTTTCAGCTTTGCGGGCCATATATTTTTGTCACAACTATTCAGCTCTCCCATATTGTGAAAGCAAGCTATGTTTCAAGAACCTTTATTTACAAGAGTAAACAGTGAGCTGGATTTGGCCTGTGGGCTGAGGTTATGTGATCCCCTGATCTAGTGCATCCTTGTTGCATCTCTGAAATCAGATCTCAGTTTGGTTATAATATGTAGAATACATCAAGTAAGCTGAGACACAGCTCTAGGAACCATGAAAAAAAGAGATGCTGGAACAATGACCTACCTAAAACCCCAATCTCTTGCACTTTCTAACTTTGAGATAGAGAAATATTTACGCACATAGGTATGGAATGCACATAAAGCAGGAAAAATATCTGTAATAATGTTATAAAATAAGACACTTAGCTCAATATGGTTTAAAGATTTCTGTGGTTTATGGAATCACTGGAACAATTTTTATAGAGGTCCAAATATTCAAAAGTTGAATATTTTTGAAGGCTTAGAATCTTTCTCTTTTATTCTTCCAAGGGCACAACCTTAAGACACTTAAGATCATGAAGAATGTGTCCTTTATATCCTAATTGCTTCTTTATCAACTCATTTTCTTTTTTCTTTTCTTTTCTTTTTTTTTGTATTATGAAGTATCTGGGCTGAAAACTTCAAGCAGGAAAACTATAGGAGATATGCATATGAGATGGATAGGAAAGACAAATATTCTGGGCAAGATGTCAAAAGTTGGATAAGGAATTAGGTGACAGAGAAATGCTGTCTGATTAAGGCTCAATGGAGGCTAGAAGAGAGTATGAATGAGAGAGCGGGTCAGAGAAGAAAATAAACTGAATGTGAATACCTGCATTTCTGTAAAAAATCTGATGAAAACTATGCAGAATCAAAGAAAGGTAAACTCATATAAATCTATAACCTGGAGAAAAAAATATATTTAAACATTGTTTTTCTTATCAATTTTTTAAAACATTCCCTGGCAAATAATTTGAGAGCCATTAAATTTTCCTTTCATAAGATGCTAAATAATGTCATCTGTGATACCCAATTTTTATACAACTTACTTCTTTTCTTGCTCTATTGCATTGGCTACACACTCCACTACTACTTTCAATAGAAGTGGTAAGAAATAATAATCCTTGCTTGTGTTCTTGATGTTAGGAGAAATAATATTTAGGCTCACTCTTAAGTATGATGTTAACTGTAGTTTTTTCCACAGATGCCCTTTTTCAGTGAGGAAAATTTTTTCTAGCTCTAGTTTTTTGAGAGTTCATCATGAATTTTGTCTAATGGTTGTTTTTTGTATTTATTGAGAGGATCATATGATTTGTCTCCTTTGTTCTGTTAATGTGGTTAATTACACTAATTTGTTTGGCTGTTGAACCAACCTTGTATTCCTGTGGTGTCATTTGGCTGTTATGTATTATTGTGGTTGACAAGAAAATGTACTATCCAGATCTTGAGAGGCTGACCCTGAAGGATCTGACAATTGAATACTACATGCTGAAATCACTCCCTGTAGGTGGGTGCAAGTATTTCCCTGAAGGGAAATCCCAATAGACAGACATTAGAACATAGACTAGCTGCAACATGGCTTTGTTGGGGATGGAGGTGGAGAAAGGATAGGGCAAAGAGTAAACTCAGCTTTGTCTTCCTATTCTCACCAGCCCCTTTCAATGAGCAACTAACTAATTAAATCAAAGAAACCCTGATTAGGGATCATGTGAGGCTCATTAGATGAGTTATTACATAGTTGACTTCATCTACAAAACAGGGTAAATATATATATCAGTTTGTATTACAAGTGACTCTAAAAAATATTTATATTGCTGATAAACTAAAATATAATGAGTCTATTTCCATCTGAAGAACAATTAGTATTTTCCTACTGAGGATTAATGCTTGATTGTGATGAAGGTTGAAAGCTTTCAAGTTTGATCAGAGCTAGTTGTTCTTTCATTTTCTTTGTTGACATAAATGCTTTCTTCTATTTCTACTTAGACAAACTTGAGGGAAATACTTTGAATATTAAGAAGTTGGCTCTATTTAGAGCCAGATTGTTTATGTCAATTTGAGAAACTATGTATTGCCTAATCTCACTGTCGGGAAAATAAAAGGAGCATCTGAACACAAATAGATAACAGAATTCTTTCTTACTTTCCATGAGTCAGGAATTTATAGCAGTTGTTTCATTACTTGGTTTGAAGGGAACTGAATTCCTAGAACTTCAGACGCTGTAATAACCTAGTAAAAAAAGTGCATCTAAAACAAATCTAAATGATTTCACACTGAAGAGCTTCAGGTATTATTCACATCTTTTTCTCATTAGGAAACCATCATGGGTTGATTAAATATATATCATAAAATAAATTCTAATTTTCATGCTTTTTTTTTTTTTTTTACATAAACAAGCACAAATTTTACACTATTTAAAAAATATTACAAGGGAATAATGCAATCCCATATTAAGTCATTGAAACTACCAATTATTTATTTAGTGAGTTAGGTGTTTGATCTTTTATCAGGTCATTGTCCTAGTTATCTGTATGATGTCTACTCCCAGATCAGACTAGGTTAGGGCAGTGTCATTTAATTAAGCTGAATGATATGAAAACATTAATATGACTATAACAAGGGTGATCAATGGCCAATTCTCCTTCTTATTTAAACACTATATTCCAGATTTCTAACAGATTTAGGTCTTTAAAAAGTTATAACCATATTTATGAAATTATAAACTTGAAAACCAAGTGATTTCAGTCTCAAAGGCCAAACCTATGTATGAAAAGTGTTTTGAAATTAAAGAAGACATCTATTTTGATATTTTAATTCAATTATTCATATTCAATCAGTTTCTTTTAAAGAATCAAGATTATGTATGGTAGTTAATTTAGTGGACTGGATTTAGAAAAATGATAAATCCTTCCTTAATATTTATTTACAGAGATATTTGAAGTTTTGATTTTTGGAATGGATCACAATTTTAAATTTGTTATGCTAAGACCTTCCCATACTGATAAAAAAAATTGAAGTGAGAATTCAACAAGATTCTAAAAACTGAATGAAAATATTTATAGTTTAGGTAACATCAAAAGGAAATAAATCTGTGAACATTACCTGTTCCCATTCCATTTCCTTTGGGTGTCCCACTGGGTTTTGGTTTACTAGGTCTTGTAGTTGTCTTATTCAGAACTACAATAAAGTGGGAAAGAAATCATTCGGACATTTTCTTATGAAAATTTGCAGCCATGGAAAACAAAACTTCCCAGAAAACTGTAAATCATTTAACCAGGCAATAAAATAATGGCTTACTAAAAAGTATTCAAAATATAAAAACCACAATTCTGGTATAAAAATCATAGGCTTGAACTTGGAAATAGAGACATGAGTTTGTACTTTGATCTGATCACTCAGTTTGGAAAAATAACTGCCAAAGGAATTTATATTTCTAAATGGGAAATATCTTGCTTCATTTATAAGCACTAGATACATTCCAAAATGGAACTGAAGAACATACAGGATTACCTATGTTAATGGAAAACTAAAACTTGAAGTGTATTTATTTGTCAAAGCCTGAATTCATAACTCAGAAATTGATGGTCCTTTTGCCATGAGTCTCTAGGTATAGATGGTCCATGATAATCCTGGCAGAAGTCCATCACTTAACCCAGAACTGTAATAAAACCCTTGGAGTTTCCCTTCTGCTCTGTTGACAGCCACAGCATTACCACAATTTTCAGAGGTCAGTTATCTTATTCTTTGCTTAGAAGACTCTTTAAGGAAAAGCACTAAATGTATTGTGGTTAAAAGAGCAAGGACTGGTGCCTCATTGCTTGACTTTGAATCTACTTGCTAGCTCTTCTCATGTCTTCCTCAATGCTACCTAACAGGATGCATGGCAAGCACTCAATCAATGTTAACCATTATTGCTACTATTTATTATTTTGTAGAAACTAATATAACCAGCTTTCAACAGCTATCATGATACAAAAGTCATATGGAGATATATTTATTTATAAAAAGACTTTTGTGCCTAACTATCTTTAGGATTTGGAGGATACTCCAAAACTTAAAGGCTTTCCATAAACCAAAGGATAGAAATAATTATTTGTTTTATCTTCCATGTGCCTGGAGAGCTATCAACCAAAACATTAATTTATAAGTCAGATTAATCATTTAGAAATTCAAGAAGACTTTTAGAAACAAAGTGGGGAAAGCACAGAAAAACCCAGTCTTTGGTCCAACTTGTGTTTTAGCATAGAAGTGATTTACATGGACCAAATCAACCTCTCCAGCTAACTTTTCCTTAACAAGCTCCAGTAAGGGACATATAGTAGAACCTTTGGAGAATTTAATAAATTTAAAGTATTTTCCAGTGTGTCATTATCCCTTTATTTTTGCTATTTACAACCTGTAAAATGGGTTTGTTTTTTAATCATTAGAGGAAATCATATAAAAATATTCTCCCAGATGAGAGCCTTTTATACTGAAGAGACTAGCTTTTCTTAAAAGATAAATAATTTATCAGCAGGGATATTGTGGAACTGAACAAAGCATTAGATCAAATTGACTTAACTGACATATATAGAACCTTTCATTCCAAAGAAGCAAAATACACATTCTTTTCAAATGCACATGGAACATTTTCAAAGATAGACCACATTATAGGACACAAAACAAGCCTCAACAAATTCAAGAAAATTTAAATCGTAACAAGGATTTTCTCAGACCACAAGGGCTTTAAACTAGAAACCAACCTCAAGGAAGAAACTCAAAAACATTCCAACTCTTGGAGCATGCTATTAAACAATGAATGGATCAATAATGAGATAAAAGGAGAATCTAAGAGTTTCTGGAAACAATTGAAAATGAACACACAGTAGTCTAAAACCTAGGGGACCCAGTGAAGGCAGTCCTGAGAAGGAAGTTCCTAGTGGTACAGGACTACCTAAAAAAGATAAACACTTCAAATAAACGACCTAACTCTCCAGCTTCAAGGACTGGAGAAACAACAACAAACAAAGCCCAGAGCGAGTAGAAAGAAGAAAATAATCAAGATCAGAGCAGGATTGAATGACAGACTGTAAAAGAACAATTCAAAGGATCAACCAATCCAGGAGCTGGTTCTTTGAAAAGATAAACAAAACTGACAGGACTTTAAGCAGACTCATCAAGAAAAAAAGGGAGAGAACCCAAATAAATAATATCAGAAATGAAAGAGGAGAAATAACATCTGATACCACAGAAATACAAAGGATTGTAAGAAATTACTATGAATAATTATATGCCAAGATATTTGAAAACCTCAATGAAATGGACAAATTTCTAGAAAAATATAACCTTCCAGCACTGAATGAAGAAGCAGAAAGCCTGAATGGACTGATAACAGCTGGTGAAACTGAAGCAGTAATCAAAACACTCTCAGCACACAACAGCCCTGGGACAGATGGTTTCACAGGAGAATTTTACAAAACATTTATGGAAGAGCTAACCCCTGTCATTCTCAGACTATTCCAAAAAATCCAAGAAGTGGGAAGGCTCCCAAACTCTCTTTATGAGGCCAGCATCATCCTAATTCCAAAACCAGAAAAAGACACAAGAAAGAAAGAAGACTGATGAACATAGATGCTAAAATTCTCAACAAAATATTGGCAAACCACATCCAGCAATACATTACAAAGACCATCCACCATGATCAAGTGGTGGATCCCAGGGATGCAAGGATGATTCAATATTCACAAATCAATAAACGTAATACATCACATAAAAGGAAAGACAAAAACCACATGATTATCTCAATAGATATGGAAAAACCATTTGATAAGGTACAGCATCCATTTATGATAAAAACACTCAGCAAAGTGGGAATAAAGTAGGCATACCTCAACATAATAAAGGCCATATATGAAAAATCTACAGCCAAAATCATACTTAATGGGTAAAACCTAAAAGCTTACCCACTAAGGTTGGGAACAAGACAAGGTTGTCTGCTTTCACCAATACTATTCAACATAGTGTTGGAAGTCCTAGCCACAGTGATCAGACAAGAAAAAGAATAAAGGGCATCCAAATTGGAAAGGAGGAAGTAAAACTATTATTGTTTGCAGATGACATGATAGTGTACATAGAAAACCCGATAGACTCCACCAAAAAACTATTTGGCCTAATAAGTTAATTTAGCAAAACAGTAGAAACTGAAGGCATTTTTGTATACCAATAATGAAATATCAGAATCAAAAATCAGGAAAAAAATCACATTTCCCATAGCAACAAGAAAAATAAAGTACCTAGGAATAAGCCTAACCAAGGAGGTAAATGACCTGTACACAGAAAACTATGCCACACTGAAGAAAGAAATTAAGGAAGACATAAATAAATGGAAGCATGCACCATGTTCATGGATTGGAAGAATTAACATCAAAATGTCCATACTACCCAAAGCAATTTATAAATTCAACACAATCCCTATTAAAATACCAGTGACGTATTTCACAGATATAGAACAAACATTTAAAAATGTATATGGAACCATAAACGACTTTGAATAGCAGCAGCAATTTTGAGAAAGGAGAATAAAGTAGGGGGGATCACAATATCTGACATCCAACAATATTACAATGCTACTGTAATCAAAGCCATTTGGTACTGGCATAAGAACAGACACATAGATCAATGGAACAGAATAGAGAGCCCAGAAATAAACCCATGTCTCAATGGTCAATTAATAGTCAACAAAGGGGGCAGAAGCATAAAATGGAATAAAAACAGCCTCTTCAACAAATGGTGTTGGGAGAGCTAGACAGCTACATGCAAAAAATTAATTTGACTTCCAACTTACACTGTACACAAAAATAAACTCAGATGGATAAAAAACTTAAATATAAGTCACGATACCATAAAACTCCTAGAGGAGAATGTAGGCAGGATACTCTCAGATATCCCATGCAGCAATATTTTCACTGATATGTCCCATAGAGCAAGGGACATAAAGGAAAGAATAGACAAATGGGACTTCATCAAAATAAGAAGCTTCGGCACAGCTCAAGAAAACATCAGCAAAATGAAAAGGGAACTAACTGTATGGGAAAATATATTTGCCAATGATCCCTCAGACAGGGGTTCTCCAAAATATATAAAGAACTCACAAGGCTCCACTACAGGAAGACAAACAATACAATTAAAAAATGGGCAAAGGACCTGAACAGGTACTTCTCCAAGGAGGACATACACAGATCCAGAGACATATGAATAGATGCTCATCATCACTAGCCATCAGAGAAATGCAAATTAAAACCACAATGAGATACCACTTCACACCAGTCAGAATGGCCATCATAAACAAATCAACAAAGAGCAAGTGCTGGCAAGGTTGAGGAGAAAAGGGTACCCTAGTACACTGTTGGCAGGAATGCAGATTGGTGCAGTAACTGTGGAAAACAGTTTGGAATTTCCTCAAAAAGCTAAAAATGGAACTGCCTTTTGACCCAGCCATTCCACTTCTGGGATTATACCCTAAGAGTCCTAAAACACCAATTCAAAAGAACCTATGCACCCCAATGTTCATAGCAGCACAATTTACAATAGCCAAGTGCATGAAGCAACCTAAGTGTCCATCAGTAAATGAGCAGGTCAAAAAACAATGGTACATTTACACAATAGAAAACTACACAGCAGAAAGAAAGAAAGAGCTACTGTAGTTCATGACAGCATGGATGGAAATCAATAGCATTATGCTAAGCAAAATAAGCCAGGGGGCGAAAGACAAATACCATATGATCTCACTTGTAAGTGGAATCTAATCAACAAAACAAACAACCAAGGAAAATATAATCAGCAACATTGAAAGAAAAAAGAAACCAACAGTAACGAGAAGGAAGGAGGAAGAAGGTAATGGGGAAAAAAAGGAGAAGGGTCAAGTCAAGGAACATGTATAAAGGATCCATCGACAAAGCCAAAGTGGGGAAGAATTGAGGGTGGGAGGTGGGGGAGGGTGGTGCAGGGGAAAGTAGTGGTGGGGAAAATGGTGACAAATGTATTTGCACAATAAAAAAATTTTAATAGAAAAAGATAATATTTGAAAGCAATTAATATTTCAGAGAATGCTAATGCTATATATGTGTCATGGAAAATTGAAGGAGTGTACATGTGTGAGTTATGCACAAATACTATTTAAAATAATTTATACTGATAAGTTTCTATAGTGGTCTCTGAATCTGACCCTCCTTAAAATCTTCAGTCAAGTTTTGTCACTTCCATGGATTCATCATTACCTCGCAACTTCCCTGCAAGGACCAGAATTTCTGTACGTATGTCTTTTATTTCAGTTCAAGTATACAGCTCTCCTTTGGTGCATATGTCTGTTTCAATACATTTTATATCTTCTCAGATGTGCTGATTGTTTAGGTTATCAGAAAAAGAAATAACTTACCAGGTCTGATGTGTGGTTTGTCTGGTATCCTAGGCCTCACAGGGGTAGTGTACAATCTGTGTGGTACTGAAAGAGAGGAAATGCTTTGTGTTTAATATCCAACATTCCAAAGCCCACTAAATGGAGATTTAGAACCCTAGGGACCAACAACTTGTATACTTTGCATGAAAGTACAAAGAACATCCTGCAGCCTTCAGCTATGCATTGAGACATTGATGCTAAAAGAAAATAAAACAAGTGAAAATATTCATGACTGAATATTAAAGATGTACATTGTCAGAGTGAGGTAGATCATTTCTAACGTGTGTTAAGGGTGTCATCATTTAGTCCGTTTTTCAAGGGGATTTATTTTACCAGATGGTTGTTTAATATGGTAAACATATAAGGCAGCCAATCATCCATCTATCATCCATGTGTCCATCTGTGTGTCCATCTGTCCATTTATCCATCTATCCACATCATTCACTTAGGTAGTCACTGTGAAGTGGTATTTTGCCAAAAAAGACAAATAATCTTAAAGGCAAAAAGTAAAATATTTTGAGGTAGGTAAGAAGAAAATAGTAAAAGCATGATCTCTATCAAAATGTATTAACTCCTGAACCCTGAAATGAATAAATATTCGGTGCCATTGATTACAGCGTTAGGATGAGAGAAAATAACTTCTGGTGTCCTGCCCATTGAGAGAGGGGAGCAAGGAGCAAGAACTCACATAAGCTCTGGGACCAACACATCAACTTGTTGCTTCCTGCTCCTGTAATCCAGGGCCTGGCACAGTGAGGACTCCTACTGAAGACTCGCTGAATAAATTAAAAAATGAGCGACTACTATGAACAGGCAAATTCACGAAAAACTCAGCTAAAATATTTTTGCTTCCTAAAGTTTCCAAGTATGCATTCATCCTGGAATTTTTCCATCCTCCCTTCCCTGCTCAGCCCCCTTGGCACAGCACGCTGCCTCCTAACTCCAACTTCCTTGGTAATGCTTTAGCTGAGGGTGGAGACGAGTTAGCAAGTTTTCTTGCAAACTTGTAAGTAAATTACATCTTTACATTGGTTTTGCTCTCATCTTGAGTGAGTGTTTATATAACCATAAATCAGCAATACTTTACCTAACAAATTTTAAAAAATACACCTGCAAACAGATTATAATGTAGCTCATTTATAAGCTTCCAATGTAAACACTGATGAACAGAATTTTGCCATACTTCTTGCCAAAAAGAGCAGACACATATTGAAATTCTCTGAAGATTCAAAGTGTAATAACTAGAGTGAACAGAGATACTGATGTTATAAACTGTAAATTCTCAACACCTAAAATGCGTGTTATTCTTTAATTTTCTTTGAGAGTGACAGGATTCTCTGTCAAATTAACGTATTTTACCTTTTCATGTTAATTTCTTTTGTGTTAGATTATTTTCACTTAAAGGACTACAACAATCATGGTTCTTATTAGCCTCATTTTAGAAAAAAATATAAATTTTAAAACTTTAGACAGAAAAGAGACAGAGCAGAACACAAAAGTAATCAGCACTATATTAATTATCTCAAAGCCACTGGATCAGAATTTAAAATTTTTTTCCAGTCTCTACTTAAATCTAGAAAGAACTTTCCTTAAAGAGCTGAATTATAATTTTAATTTAGGCTATGAACTACTCAGAAAGCTCATCTCCAAATAACACATAGTCTTGAGAAAGCTACTTTAGGGTTTGAATCATAAACTAAAACAAACAAACAAACAAAACAAGACATAGGAGCTCTGTGACAAGGTACTTATGTAAACATCTCCATGTAGTTTTTGGTGACCAATAATAAAAATAATTTTAAAAGATGGCTTCATAACTGAATAGTTTTATAAAAATCTATGTAAAACAAACATTAAAAATACGGTCTGACAATAACATCAACACTAAACAAAGAGGGATTATAGGAGAAACATTTTGAATGATGCATGTTCTGTCCAGTATAGGGAGAAGGGAAGGAGTATTCAACTCTCCTTGGGTGGGGTAAGTATCAGAGGGCTGAAAGGAGTAAGATAATCAAAACATTCCCCAAATGCCCCCAGCCAAGTGGATTTCTACTATGGCTTGAGATGAGAAGGGCAAAGCAGAAGAGCCTGAGTATTTCGGGGCTGTAGGATGCATCAGGGAGCTGCCTCAGTAGACAACAGAGCAAGGGTGCCACAGAGAAAAGGTGCTGGAGTTTCTTCGGAGCACTTGTGTCCCAGGGATGAGGGTCTGGAAGGGTCATGGTACGTGCATGGGTAGAATGCAGACATCAAGAGGAACATCTTACTACTACAGCATCTCTGTCAAATTGTTGTGTGCTGTTTTGTGCTCCTGATGCTTGATATTAAAAACAAAACCTAACAGAGCACATCAAAAACAGAATGGTTGATTGGGCTCTTCTTCTATAGAGGTCAGGCACACATTTATGAGGACTGGGCCACAAGGTGCTCCTAGTGACACATAGCAGGCCTTTACTAAAGTTCGCCCCCTCCCCTTAAGCAGCGTTATTGGGCCAGGTCCTGGATGCTACTCTCATTCCTAAAATGGATTCTTTCCTAGGATGTCCTGTGTCACCTCATGCAAATGAATCCCTGGTGAGCCCACTCTCAAGGTCCGTGGCACAGTCTAGAAAAGTGTGACTCCTTGGGTGGTTCAGATAAGGCTTAAGATCCTCAGAACATAAAATACTTAAAATATAGTACATTATATAAACATGTTAAGACAAGTCATATAATGACATCAGATACTGGATATACATCCAATCAACTGTGAAGCTTCTATCTAATATAACCATGCTTTAGAAGGATTTAATAAAAATTCCATGTACATTCATAATGGTGACACAATACTGATATTCCAATTAAAGTAAGAAAGTGCAAAACAAAACAGAAGCGCCCTATGATTTTTTACCCACAATTTTGAAATCTATAAAGCTTTAAAAAACTGAAAACTTTTTCTTATTTGGCAACACAACCTGAAATGAATAGTCTTTATTTATGCTGCTTTATTGCATGTATGTTATCTATTTTGCTACAAAAATTGATATGCTTGATTATGAGAATCCAAGTATCTTCTATTAAGCCAGACATTTAAAAGGTTTTCAAAAACATAAAAAAAAAAAACCCTTATAAAAATGTGCTTGGAGTATGAAGGTAACATGATTAAACATCTCTTGTTCTGTTATTAATGAGGATGTGGGAGGGCTGTCATTGTATTAGGCTTGTGTGGATTTATAAATAAATAAAAATTTAATAATTGGAAAGGTAATAAAGTAAATAAACATTTAAAATGTAATAAAAATTAAACCAAACAAGTAAAAAAGATATAGAAAATTTACAAGAACTATCCTATGTCATAGTGTTCACAGTTATTTATTTAATAAGGACTGCACTACTTACTATAAAATATATACCATAAAATTAGCTTTCTTTTATTATCATTTACTCTTTTATTTCAAATTTCTTCCATTGAATTTCCCCCACCCTCAATTCAAAACTGACAATGAATAAAATAAATTTGTCTTCCAACTCCTCAAAAAATGTTTGCTTTTGTTTTTGGGGCTTCCTTCCATATGAAAGAAGCACAGGTGGACAAAAGGGATCATTTAGGAAAAAAAAAATAAAGAAAACATGAAAATACTGGAAATCCAAAATGGTTATAACCCAGGTAGAATAAAAACATCCTTCTGAGAGCAGGCCGATGAGATAGAGGTTTGTGTAGGTGAGTTTACTTCCTGAGGCCACAATATCACTATGTTCATCAAATTGGGGAAACACAAGAAGAAAAACGAGAGAAAAGGGTGAGAGAGGAAGATAATAAATATTCTTATTTATCAGATGTAGAAACTGAGGCAAATGAAGGTCAGTTAAGAAATGAAAAAAAAAGAGCTTTCATTGTTAGTTATTAGCATCAAGTAGTGAACCATACATTCAAAAGCAAAGCTCTGACTAAAAAACTTGTGTTCCCTACATTCAACTGATAGTCATGTGGCTATTCCTATTTGGCTGCACCTATGAAATAAAAAAAATCAAGTAATTCGCTGTGATGAGAAATTACATTCTGTAAAGAAATTTTATTTCCTAATTAAAAATGAAGAAAGAAGAGTTACTATCCAGAGGTAGAAAAAGAGTATTTACCCTGAGTTGTCTTTGCCAATTCAGTTGTTCGTGGAATCTTAGTTGTGAAGTGTTCCTGGGTGGATTGGTCTGTTTCTGCTGGGGATAAAAGCACAGAAAGATGGCTTGCTTTAAATAATTACCCATTATGAACATATCAAAAAACCACTCTTTACTGCCCCAAGCAATAATAAAAGGGAAAATTACATTTATAAGTATGCTCAGTAATCATAATAATTCAAAGTTAATGGTTCATTTTAATAACTCTCATTTATTGTATTTTCTCTCTTCTTGCACTAATTATTTTAATGATTATTTTAAGGATGTCCAAAAGCTTTTAGCTCAGGATTATTGTTTAGGAGAAACACTCTGGGAGGTGGTTATACTTGGATGTGCCTCTTAACTGCCTTCATGTCTTCTACCTATTCCATAAATTCCACAAGTTACTGAGGTGAGCTGGAAAAGAAATAGGTCATATATATGGTATTTACACCATATAAGAATAAATATTATCCCATTTTCCTCACATGAAAACAAAGTCTATGTTTATTGACATACAGACACATTTCTCCTGACAAAAGAAAAAAATAAGCGTGGCAATAGTTCCACCCTTAATAATATCTTGGATTCATTACAACATTATGCAGAGACAGGAAATTATGTTGTTCACTTTGACACATACTGGAGTCAAGGAAAATAATTGGTACAAATAGTATATTGTCATCTTTTTTTTTCTGCTTTGCTTTATAATCTGGATTCAGCTCACAAGTGAGATACTTGACATAAATAGCAGGTGATGGTTCTTGTGTCAATAAACCAAGATTTTTTTTTTAAAGGGAGTGGAAGATAAATAATTAGCATATCTGGCAGTGATTCTTGAAAGTACCTTTGACTTCACCATAATGGGGGATGTTGACCTTGTGGGCCTAGACTACAACAGACGAATATTTGATAATTAGGGTGTATTTGCTCATTCAGTTTTCAATTTTTTCTCCAAAAAGAATGTCATTTAAAAATTTGATCAGTAACTTCATTTCAGCAGACATATACAGAGAATGGATTTATTTGAAGAGGATGAAGGGATAAAAACAAGGCTGCTAATTTAAATACGGCCATGTGTGACGTGCCATGGACAGGGCAGGGCAGAGCAGCCAAAATCACAGGCTGGGAACATTTGTTTTCTGGTTCACGCTCAGCCTAGAGTCAGGCAAACTGGCATTTCCTGTACAATGAACTCCTCGAAACTCCCAGCTCCTCCCTAGCAACTGTCCCGGCTCATCCATCCTCACTTCTGCAGGTGACCTGCCTGCTCAACAGGTTAGTTTGGCCGTCAGTCTTCACCCTGTGCCTCATTCCCACCTGTCTTTAACCCAAAAGGAACTTTGCATCTTTCACTTCAACTGTCACTCCAACTTGAACACCCAGTGTGTCACCTCCTCTAGGCAGCCCTCCCTGATGGCTACAAGTATTTTCCTTGTTCAGCATGTTGCTCACTTCTTTATCACACTCATTGTAAAGCAGAACACTGGGGTGATTCCCAGGAGCTCTGGTGACTGAGTGTGTGGGTTCCAATCTCACTCTGACATTAGCTGTGCGACTTGGCCCAAATTTAAAATCTCTGTCCCTCAATTCTCTAATCTGTAAAATGGAGCAAGTAGTAGAACCTACCTCACAAAGCTGTTATGTGGCTTAAATGAAAAAACATGTGTAATGCACTGGGTGGCACTTGAGAAGCACCACGGTCGCTAAGCCCTGTCTGTGTTAGATGGCAAGCTCTCCAGGGAAAGGGCCCATTTTTAAAACAGTTTTATCTTGAAACTCCCATTGCTCAGCATTGTGCTTAGTGACCATAAAATACTCAATAAATACTAGATTCAATTTTTTTTCCCATGTGCAATTTCAAATTCAGAAAAAGCAATAAAAAATATAGCATTAATACACTTTGGGAACATTCTGCTTTTTCGGATACGTAAAATTTTTCAGGATGCTTTGAAATATTCTCATTTTATCTTAAAATCACCATAAATATTAGGACAAATATACAATTAATGTAAAAGAGTGAAGTGAAATGGAGATTTTTGTGTAATGATAAAGAGAGACCTTCTATTGCTTGGAAATAACCCATGAACACAATGTACTTATGGCTTCTTTCAGGGAAATCTGTAAAAGGTAGGTCTTCATTGGACTGAAATAGCAAAACAAAATTTACCCAGAGTGCTTTGTAGCTCCTCTTGACTAGGACTTGGTGAAATCATGGGAATGAAAGGGCTGCCTCGGGTCTCTAAAGGAGCTGCAAAGATAAGCACCAAGGTTTTCAATCTCTAGATTCAAAAGCCAGCACCAGACCAGAATATTACATGAGATTCTTTCATTTGAAACAGAAAATAGAAAACATTGAGTCATGGAGAAGGACATGAAATGTGCATAGAACCTTCAGGAAAATGACTGGAATATTGGAATAATGGTTCTCAACTGTTTTTTTCCACTAGGATAGATAATAAATGACATTCAGTGCTTGATACACCCCATGACCACACCTGGTAAGATGGTATGTGGGCCAGTCTCAGTCCTGAGTCTGTCAGCTATAGCTCTCCCACCTAACACAGCACAGAGGGTTACAAAATGAATGAGAATATCATCATTGTGTTTGCTATGATCATCTTATGTCAGCTCAAATTTATTTTTTAGATCAGACTGGGTGTGTTCAGGGTGGTATGGCCATAGACTCAAGTTAATTTTTTAAAATAAACCATTGGCAAATATCAGTATCTTGAGCAATATTAATGATAATTACTTGCCAGTACCTTTTACAACTTACTAGTACATCGTAACAGTAGAGCTGAGAACCATCATACCAGCAGAAAATGTTAGCTGGATAGGCATGAGTAAGGTGGAGTCATTCTGAACAGAGATAAGTGAGGTAGGTAAGGACGGACTTGGTAGTGAGCTGTCTTAAGTTGGTCTTCAGAGGAAAGCTTTTACAGCAGTGAAACCATTACTTTTCTAGTTGGGAAAGAGTAATAATGAGAATGAAGTGATGGAATGGTTTAAGAAGAGATGACATTTCAATATGATTGTTTGAGAAAGACCTGTAATCCTGATGGTAATAAAGAAAATAATTAGAGGTAGTCAACATGGGAAAACTATTACCTATTGTTGCCTCTGGTAGATCAATTCTAAAGGTAACAGGTTGCAGAACTAGGCCAAAAGCAAACCAAAGAAACATATTTGTGAGAATTACTACCTGGTGAAGTAAAAATAATTTGTTTCTACATACATTCATTTGAACCTTTAAACATTTTCTAAGAATCATAATAAATATGAGAAAATTCTATATATTAGATGCCACCTGGGAAACTTAGTTTAGTTAAAATATTAAAGTTTGCATTCACTGTCAATTTAAGGAAATTTTTGAGTAGGCTCCTCCATGTTTTACTTAAATGTACACCTACCATTGGAATGTAGCTATATTTATATTTTGAAAGAAGGTAAAAATGGTTGGCTTAGTTAATAATTATTTCTTATAATTTTAGCACAACCTCCTACTCATCAAAAACACTCCCAGAAAAAGTAAACTAATCATACACTATTCCCTAATGTTAACCAGGGAAAAAATTCAAACAGATTGTATGATTAAAACTTCCCAAAAAGAAGTGTATATTTTATATCCATAATTTTCTTCAAACTTCTTCTATATCACAACCATTAAAAAAAATTGCCTCAATAATAGATTTTGAAAAATATACTTCCTAATTGGGAAAATAAATAGTTCATTTACCAGGTTCACTCTGAGAGACTTGGTGGTCTGGTTTATGGGGAAGGAGCACATCTGGAACTGAAAGAGAAAGGTTAGGAAACATTATGTACGCTAAATGTCATACCTGGAGTGAAGCAATCCACAGATATACAATCCTGGAAAGCAAGAATGAAGCAAATATTTTCACAGTGGCTAAAGGGCAAAGCCAAGAAGACATCATTCTAATTAAAATGGAAAAACATTACTGTCTAGGAAAGATTCAAGTGGAAGTAAACCAGAGTTAGTCACTGTTCATTTTGAAGGCTCCCTTGTGGGGGACAGGAGGAAATAACTAACGCAATTAAGCACAAGGCAGGTCTCGCTTAAGCTGACTTCAAAATAGAAAGTCAGTTTTTGCCTGAAGTGATTAGGTGCTATTTGACACTAATGCTAAAATTCCACTGATAGCAATAGAAAATACATTATCTTAGATAAAGTGTCTAAATGGGCTTACAAATTGATGGAAACACCAAGAGAGGGAAGATTCTTGAATATCTAAGAGAACAAAGTTTTATTCTAAAAGACACTAGCAGTTAATATGGGGAGAAAACACAGCAAAAGAACTCAGCCATTCAGTAGAAGATATCACTTGAAAATTTGATGGAGTATTTGTTACGTAGTAAATACTAGATAAGTGTTGCCATTTTTGTCACTCTTAGTGATGTGGCTTTTAGTATAGTAGGTGTCAGGGCCTCCTGACATATGAGAATATGAAAACAATGAACAAAAAATGTCAGCTAAGCAATAAACCTATTCATTTTCAGTCCCTGATGTCCAGTATATTTTTAACACTTGTGTGGAGTTCTATTTTTGCAAAATAAAACAGTAGTCTGAGAATTTGATACCATGGGACAAATACCAGGGTGATTTGCTTATGCCCAGTACCAGATTTCTACAGCAAATTCTTCTTCCAAGAACAAGACAATGTGTTCCTTTGACTCAGTTTCCCCAGAAGGAAGTCATTCTCAGCCCTGCTCTGTCACTGAAAGGTTTTCCTACTACTCTGAGCACTTCATAAATACCAGACTCCCTTTGGTAGGCAGTGTAAATTTCTTTCATCTTACATGAAGCCCAGGAAAAATAATTAGAGTTCAGTCTAGAACTATGCCTCAGAGAAAGATAAAAAAAATCTTTTGTATCAGGCAGCCAACCACCACTTAACCATTAGTATAAAAATGGCTATGTTAAACAGACATTCTCTTTTTGTTGCTTTTGGGGATCATATTTAAGGTACATATCACATCTGTTCTTAGTCTAGGCTTCTAAGTAACAGTGAAATTGCAGTTGTGGAATCTGGTACATTGAAAAGAAAACTTGACTCAATTAGAACTTCTATGAGCTAAAAGGTAACATCCAGGGGAACTTAAAAACCTGATTTATTTTTTTTAAGGAGAAAGGCAACTTCAAAAGGTCAGTCATAGAGGAAGTTAGAGAAAACCCATCACAACAATGAATATTTCACCTTTGCTATGTAGTATTTTGGGGAATTCAAATAGTAAAATATGAAGAATTTCTGATTGTAAATCAAACTAAATATTTATCAGGATGGTGAAGGAGAGGGCACTTTGATTTGCTCTGTGAAGGTCACGACCATACAAAACGCCAGTAGTTTATAAATAACCTAATTGGTTCCAGGGCTAGACTATACATAGAGGAGCTAGGATTAAGGAAAAGAGAAACAGAAGAAATGTGCAACCAATAAATCCACCATACTGTAAATACATTACTTTCTGCCTGTGTTAGTTGACTGAGGAATTTAGGCTGGGATAATGTGGATACTTGCTGATGTGACTGGCCGTTTTTAACCATGAAGTGACGATTTAATAAACAGCAATAGCAGGCTTTCTAACGCAGCTAAAATCAGTGGAAAGAAAAAATAGACATATTCACAGGAAACGGTAATGAATCGTTCTCTTGCTTGGTCAATTGCAGCTTCAAGAAATGCAAGTTTTATTTTTTTCTTTTTCCATATGTGGCATGCCACTGTGTATTAAATGAGAGCATGATTCCTAAAACCTATATCTTCCATGCTGGTCGAAACAATATAAATAATGATAATTTTTATGAGAAGGCACTTATGATTTCCTTGTAAGTATGTACCATTATTATATTTTAGACTCAATTATATTAACCAACTTATCATGTATATTAATGAGACAATAATGAAATTACATATCTTTTTGAATAAAGGGCACCACTCTAAAGAAAAGTTTAACTAACACAAGACAATTATGAGTGAAAATGTCTAATATGGACGAATGAAAATGAATGTGTATGGCTACTTTTCCTGATGAGAGAATCAATGTGTTATTTCCTGATAAAGATGGTAAAATATGAAGTCTGCAATAAAGTTTGCCCCTTCAAAAAGTCTACAAAGAGACTGATTCTTTAGCAAAGTAATACATGTAGACTACACACCCTTTTCACCTGCAGTACCCTATTCCTTTATTCTAACCTTGTACCCGTAGGTCCAATCTGAGAGGAAGCTGGTCTCCCGCCCTTCTGCAGGCCAGTTCCCAAGCTTAACCTGGGCTCTTGGACCACCCTTCCCCTCATCTCTTCTGGGCCTTTTACTTTCCATTATTTCTATTATCTTATAATTTTCTCCATTAGCCCACATTTCCATTTATCCATAAGTTTCTTCCCCACCACCTATAAAACAGCTCAAATGCCCCAATATCTTTTTTTTTTTTAATCATTCCCTTGACATGGCTTACTTTTTCACACCCTCTCTTGCCCTAGTTCCTTTAATCACAAATCTCTATCTGTCTCTCAATTGTATCTTCTCCATCCACTGTGGTCGGCCTACCACTTCACTGACCTTCTATAGCCACGGGTCCACAATTCCTTACTCATAGTTCTAAAGTCCAAAACGCTCTGAAACTGAAAGTTTCTTAAAATCTCATTTGATAGCCAAACCTGACTAAAACTGTTCTATTAACATATATGTAATTTACCTCTATTTTGGGGGGAATAACCTACAGAAGCCAGTAAACAAGGTCTTGGGTTCATTAGGAAGCAAATCTGAGCCTAGACACAAACCAGACACTGTTTGAACACAACAGGTTGTTTAAACACTTGTATGAAACACAGTAGCAGCTGCCTTATGATTATTCTTACAGGCTTCACACCCCTGGAGCAACAGGGAGCCCCTGATGAATACAGATCATAGTGGAACCAATACCAGATTTCAAGACAGAATTCTAACTGAACTGTTGGAACTGGGGAGTCAATAGCATGAGCTCAGTGGAGGCTCCCGGGAGAGTGTTTGTGCTGTTGCTCTTCTGCTTGCACTTATAGGTTAGAATTCCGGTGGAAACTAAGGTTGATGGAATTATGGCTAATATTAAACATCTAAAAAGAAAAGTTTAAATATTAGATACAGTGGTTTAACGAGATTAAGTAACATCAAGATCAATAGTATTTCTCTAATGGAAAAAAAAAAAGGGCAAATCACTCCAATCTACTGCTGTTATCTGTGATAACTCAATTTCTGTTACATTTTTTTTTTCACAATTGAAAAATAAGATCTCTTGCAAATAAGAAGATCAATATTTTTTTTATTGCCATTTATAATATTGGCTGTTGGTTTAGTGAAACAAATTAAAATTCTAGGCTTCAGGGCAGAGGTGACTCTCCGTACCCTACCACCACCTGCAGCAACCTGACAATTCCACAGCAGTAGCAGCACTTCCCACCACCCCCCAATCTGGAAAACACTATAGCAAGTGAATTCAGACTTGCTTCCAAAATGCTATCATTTCACCCTGTCCGGGTGGCTCTGCTGGTTGGAGTGTTGTTCTCTATACCAAAAAGGTTGTGGGTTTGATCACCGGTTGGTGCACATACATACCATACTTTGCCATGTATAATGCACAGCCACATTTTTGGCCCAAACTTTCAGGAAAAAATCTTTTAATTTTTTAATTCAATTATTTATTTATTTATATTTAGAAACAAAACTGATGATTATATTCCAGAGTATTATTTTTGTATTACAGATATTGTTACTGTTTTCTAGAGTTATACTTTTAATGCATAAGCATAAGTAAAAGAATTAAAATCATTTATATAGATAGGAATTAATGCTATCCATGTATAATGCACATCCTTATTTTTCCCTGAAAAATTTGGGCACAAAAGTGCACATTGTACACGGCAAAATACGGTAGGTTGCAGTTTTGATCCCTGGTTGGGGCACATACAGGAGGCAACTGATCAAGGTTTCTATCTTACTTCCAAGTTTCTCTCTCTCTCTCTCTCTCTTTCTCTCCCTGCCCTTTCCTCTACCTCTAAAAATCTAAAAAAACTTATGCTTGGGTGAGGATTTCAAAAAATGCTATCATTTCAAGCTACAGATTAGAAATATTTTGGGTTCTGGGAATGTTTTATGGGCTTCTAGGAACACTAGGAATTTATAGTAATTGGACCTTTAAAAAGAAAGAGGAAAAATATTGATAGTATTTTTCAGATACTCTAGTTAAAAATGTGCTCAGTTTTGTGTATTATAGAACTGTTTGGCTAACAACGTCTTAGGGTCACTTGAAGACTGAGAACATTGGTGGCAAGATGCAGAAAAGGTCTTCTCTTCGTAGTCCCCACTGCCACTCCCACATATATGGGATTATTCTGTCCCATAGTGGACAAAAGGCCTTCTCAGATAATAAGCAAGATATATATCTACATATAGATATATAGATATTTGTAGCTAAAGAAATCATTTTTTGTGAAGCTAATTTCTTACTTCTTAACGCAAGCTATTGTTGCATGAACTGGTAAAACAGCATTTGACAGGAAAAACAGACAAACCCTCAATGCCAAATAGTATAAAATCTCTAAGCCTAAGAAAATGGTTAAACATCTTTCCTCTGTTTGTAAAAACACCATTTTATCATTTTTGTGGAAAAACCCTGAATTCTCTATTTTATTTTGGTGAAACATTGGAGCATAGCAGAGTTAGCATTGATAGGTCATTTTTTATAGGTCATAAGATAGGGGAACTTTAGTTCTAAAAGAAACATTCTATTCTTGGCCTGAGTCTCTGCCTTTCAATTGTATCAGTAGCTCACTATGTGAGCACTTAGATAACTCTGTAACACCTTTGAAATGATCACACCCTATATGATACAACATGGTGTCTAAACAGAAGTGAAACATTGACCTCACATCCATCAGCTCTCATGATTCACTGCAGCAGAGTGTGACAGTAGAATGCATTTGACTCAAAAAAGAAATAAAACATTTACCAGGTGGAGTATATGACACTTCTGGCTTTGGTGACATTTTTGGCTTTGAAGTAACATGCTGGAGCACCTTAACAGCTGCAAGAGAGAACTCAGGTAATCAGTCATTTTGTGTCTGCATCTCCTGGTCATGCTTAACACAGATTTCACAAAGTGTAAGCCTAACCACTGATTTTTTAAAAAAAGGGTATAAACTGGAAGGTAAGCAGAAAAATAAACCTTAGGCTCTAAAAATAGATCGGTGAGATTTCCAGATAGTTTCAGAAAAATTAAATCTGAGAAATACAATATTTGACTAAGCATAAGGGTAGGATGGGGAATCTTCGTATCAGAAGAGATTACCAGTTAAATTAATACGAGAACACTTTTCTTGTCCGGATGTTTGCTTGAATTCTCCTGAAATTACTCCCTATACTCCCATGTCTTTCTTTGAAGATGAGTTCAGTGAGTCAGAGTAGAAGCTCATGAAGCATGGATGAGAGATGCTTCATGTGGATGTGGATGTGGATGATCTTCAAGTCAGATCAGGCCACAGCAGGAAGCGGGGGAGCATGGAATGGAATGGAGTGGGCGGGCTGGCTTCCTGCTCTCGCTGCAGTTCTTAGGCCCCAAATACACCTTTAAATGAACATCTTGGCAAACTAAAATTGTGTTTCTGCAACTGGTCCTTTGGAGTAACAGGTGCTAATGGCATACCAGGTAAAAAAAGATCTAATTTATTTAGATCTCATTTAACAATATCAAAAATGCTTTCACCTTATCAAAATGCTGGGAGGAAGGAATTATCAGCTTCATTTTAAAGGTTTGGGTTGGTGACTATCCACCTGAGGTTACACAGATGCTAAGAACCAGAGGTAAGACTTAAACTGAAGCTGAGGTTCAGACGTTATCACTAGATCCAAACACTTGGGTGCTCTCTATCCAAACAGGTCACATTTTAACTTGCTTCTCATTTTTTTGGAAGAAATAATAAACTTGTCTTATCTTAAAGGGTGGATATGAGAATTAAATGTAAAATGTCAAAATGCTGTGAAAACTGTAACTTTTTTTCACTTTTAGAAAATCTTTACAAAGTTGACTTTGAAGGATCTGAGAACATTCTACTTTTCACTTTGCTCCTACAAAAACTAGGAGAACCCACAGTATGAATAATTATAAGATTTCTAGGTATGAAATTAATAATAGGATTGTTAAGGATTACCCGCAGACACAGAAATCTAAAAATCAAAACTTTATTTAAGGACAAAATATTCTTGATGATTTGTTCCTAATTTTTTATCCCATATTGCCTTCAATGGCAAATATAGATTTAAATTTTGCCTTGTAATTTATAAACATAGTTTAATTATACATAAGAAGAAAGGTGACATGCCCAATTATAGAATTTCATCCTGAAAAAAATGATAGATGAATATCTATCATTTTTCACTATCTATCATGTTTCACTTTAAGGTGCATACGCTCTTTTCAGATGAGAGCCTTATAGCCCAAAAAATAATAAATTTGCATTTGGTATTGTACATATGAATAGAACATCATCCCACCCAAAGAGCTTTTTGAAGTTCATAAAGAGCTAGTCAAGGGTTAGAGGGGAAGTACTAGGATTTGAATATCTGCCATTGAAATACTTAGTAATACATATGTGTAATACATACACAAGCATTCTTGAAAGACTACAAAAACCCAGGACATTAGTGGGACCTGTTCAGTAAGATCATATTCTCTTGTGTAAGAGAGATCCTAATTTCATTCACTTTTAAGAGGAATAATTAGAGTGTATTTTGTTCTTCATGATCAATTTTCCAAATTGTTCCCTTGCGTTAAGTAACACTGACAAAGCCAGAAGTATTTGGGTTGCAGCTATTTTCCATAGGAGACGCCGATGGGCTGGGAGTTAGCTAACTGAGCTGAGAGAGAATGTGGAGGCTCTCTTGCTTGCTTGGCAGCCAGTCAAGGGTTTCAGATTTAGAGAGTGGAGTGCAGTGAGCATACTAATCTATCCATTCTGGAGCTGAATATCTTGTGGAGAAAGGTTGGCTAAAGGTCTAAATCAAATCTGAAACTTTAAATATAGTATAATAATGGAAATTTAGAGTAAGCTACTGATTTATTATTCTGTATTTTTATATGTAGAGAGTACAGCTCCAAAAGAAAATTATGAATGTCTTCCTTGTTATTTCATATCTCCTTTACTTTTTAAAATTTTACTAACCAGGAATTTATATTTCCAGTGTCTTAACTCCCAGCACTTATTTTTCATCTCTACTCTTATTTTTCCAACATTCATTAAGCTTTCATGCTTTCTTATTTATTTCCATTTCTCCTTTTTCTGCTACTTTTGTTCTATGCTTTATGTTCAGATAAAAAGTTGAAAGCATCTTCATATGATTTTATCTGTTGATTTACTTTTTAAAGTTAGATTTTAGTTACCTATCTACAAATTTAATATACTTGCTTTGGTTTTTTTATTCCTATTCTATTCATTAGTCATTAATCATTTTTCTCAGTATTTCTTATATATTGTTTCACATGTATTTATTTATTTTAAATGTCTCATTCTATTAGGGGAGTACCCTCATATACTTATGTATCACACCCATATTTTTTTCATAACAATATTTGAGTAATTAAATAATACACATTTTAAAGTATATTAAGCACCTTTAAAATCATTAGCTAGATGTGGAACATACAACTGTCTTTTAAGGAAGTACCCTTTAAACAAACAAACAAAAAATAACAGGTCAAATTTCTCTCTGAATCAGACACTAAAGATCATGCCCAAATATTTAGTTTTTTCTTTAAAAAGGGATACTGAGATATGATTTGAAAATTTGTAGTGGGAATTCAGAACCACTAACTGCTAACATTTTCCTTTCCCCAGACCATTAGTGATAGCAAAGGTTCCTTTCCTAATAAATTGGTAGGTGCACCTCATATACCTTTTGGAAGCAGACCATGTATAAATGATGAATTTAAATTTAGGTGATTGGCATAGACTGTAACTTCCCTGACCACAAAGGGTTCAGTTTTGTTTCATATTTCTAGTCTAGTGCATAGCCTGGCACCTAGTCAGAAAGCAATAAATATTTGTTGAATGACTAACTGATTAAATAATTAGTTAAGCAATCACTTAAGCATCAAGGGTGATACAATTTGAAATTAGGAGAGGAGAGGGACAGGAGATCAGTTGATTGATGACAACAGACTAAGCATGCCTGGGTGGATGCTCAGAGTGAGCACCAATGCTAGAATGCCCCACACCTAGTAACAAATGAACTGCAGAGGCTGCATGAGGGAGAGGTAAAAATCAGATATAAAACGCTGAGAACCTGCCACAGATGTAAATTGAAAGGCTAAACAACAATAGACTTTCTTTGAGGAATGTCAAGTTTATGATAGGCTAAAATGGAGATTGGTAGAGGCAGTTGGAGAAATTAGACAAGAGCTTGGTGAAGAAGTTAGGGTCAGAATTAATCATTCATATGAGAGCTTCTTCAACAGAATAAAAATAAGGTTATAATGAATCCTGTTTGGGCCCTTTACAGCAAAACAATATCATGTAATTGTTATGTTATAGGATAGGCTATATACATATATAATATATATAGCAGAGGACATATATGTTATGCATATATAGAGAAGAGGATATATATGCAATCTTCATGACATTATATGTAATATATAAAATAGCGAATATATCTATATCTATATCTATATCTATAAAATCTTCATGACATTTGTGTTAAATACAATCTACTGAAGGGTAAAATAAAATTTAGGTGATTGGACCATGGAAGGGCTAGGGATTTTCGAGCTGGGAGAGGCAAAGACATTCCATTCTACTCTTTTAAGAAATTCCTTTCTTCTCCATCCTCTTGCTCAAAATAATGTAACAATAGGGAAGTTTTCTGGAATAAGCTATTCCAATAACATACTTTTCAGTTTAAAAATAAATGTAAATATTTATTAGGTTGCAAAGATGACTTGTTTCATGAGGGTTAAAACCCAACTCGCTAAAATTCAACAGAATAACTTCAATAACATCAAACTTTTCAGGCCAGAATATAAAATATGTATTTACCTTGCTGTGTCTGTGGGACTCTTGGATGTGGAGATGTTTTTGGTTTGGGAGGGATGAGCGGTATTTGCTTGGAAGCTAAAAAAAAAGGATATAAAATTTGGATCTCTAGAGCTCTTCAAGAGTTACAGTATTTAATAGCCTCTAGGTTCTCAGAGATGTTTATCAAGTGCCTGGTGACTTAAATACAGAGCAATTAATGCAATTAAAGCTTCCAAAGAGCTACAAAGTATAGGAAAATAATTTCTTGTTATAACAGAAAACAAAACAAGAAGGCACATTAAATAATATTCAAGATATTCAGCTGGCAAAGGAAACTGTTGAAATTCCAGAAACATCTACTTCAAATACCTTTTAAACAAGTTAAAATAAATTTTATAACAACAGATATTCATCCTTAATATTTAATACAAGTTCACCCCCTTTTATCAGATTATTCCAGTATAATACATGTTTTGATTATGAATAGATACAATGGCTTCTAAAAAAAAGTTAGCATGTCACATTCCAAATATTACCTAGAAAATGAATATATTTCAATAGTAAGTGCTGATGGAAATAATTAACCTTATTAAACAAAGTAAATTTATTGATCATACTGAAGAAGAGAAATTGAATAGACATTAAAAGGATAGATTACTGAAGAAAGTTATTCCTTTGCTGGGCAATTCCCAAAGGAGTTCTAGGACATTCAGGATAAAAACCAATCATTTTTTCACCAAGGAAATTGAAAGTATATCTTGCTAGAGAAAAGAATTATCAAATGTAAGGCTGTAGTTTGTGGAAACACCTTACTTGGTTGGATTAAAATGTATTTGGGATAAGAGAGTTAAGAAGAAACAAAATGTTTTCCAAGGTCATGAAGTTTCAGGCACCTTAAGAAAAGATTGCTGAAAACAAGTGTGATTAGATACTAGAAGTTGTTTCTAAAGAGTCTGCAGAGACTTCCTCTTGATACTAAATCAAAATACATAAGGCGCGCAGTGGTTTCAGTGGGATCTTCTCACCTGTAAAAGAGAGGAACGCAAAGATATTTTGGAGGTTACAGTGGTTTAGGAAACTGGAACCTGGAGCTGGAGACGGCCCTTTGCTAATCACTGGGTGACAGATGCAGGGTTTCCATCAAAAGTTACAGAATTTGTCTCTGCCTCCCCAAATGTATTTGAAAAAATAAATTTAAATTAAATTAAAAAAAAAAGTTACAGAATTTTTAAAGAGCCCTTCTGGTTCTAAAATTCTCTGATTCTAGAGTTTCTTTCAGTCTTAGGATTCCCTGACTCCCAACTACTTGCTGAGGTTCCTACTGACAGGCTATTTACATCCCCCAGGGTATAGGAGAGAGAGTTTGTAGGTCAGGGCATATCAGGAGGCAAGTCCACCAAAACGATTCAGAAAGAAAGAAAAATCACTAATAGCATTCACAATTAAACATTTCAATAATATTCACTATTATAGCTATTAAAAACAATAAACATTGAAAAGTTAGAGATAACTGACACAGATTCAGTTAATGCAGTCAATGCAAAATTTTGGTAATAAACTGTAGAGTTTAATAGGCAATATTTAATTAGATATTTCTGAGGACAATCAGTAAAATTAATACCTCTATCTCCTGTGGAAATACAGCCATATAAAAAAGTTTAATGGCAATCAAAACACAAATTTGGGCTTATTTGTAGTAAACTCTGATTTCAAGAGAGCCTATAGGCATTGAAAGGACTTTTCTTTATAAGAAGCAGCACCTTTAGTTATCCACGTTGGTGACTTGTTTTCCTTCATTTCTAAATCCACTATCAAGTAAACCTTTTATGATTTGCCCAAGAAACTGGTTTTATTTCAGTTTCTCCTATTTTGCATTCAGTGAAATGGCCAAACCACTGCAGGAAGAAGTGGAAAGAAGTAAATGACCTGAATAATGACAAGGTTACTATGATCAGTTACACCTTTTCATGTGGATTCCACAGAGAAACCTGTTTCTGTTAACCTCAGACACAAATTAGGTATCTTAAAATACTATTTACATGACCATAGAATTTGTAAAACTAGTCAAGATGATAAAGTATTTAAGCTTCTATTTAAATGGAATATAAATGTTCTTCCCCAGAAACATTACTACTTCCTAGGTTAAACACTTGCCCAGCAGCTGAGAGGTGTTTTTCAGTTGTGTCCTGAAGAATATTCACAACACTGCCACGTGGTGGCCTGCAAAGGATGGAGAGAAGCGGGGCAGCGGCGACTGCGCGCTGAGTGGTTAAGGTAGGGCTTCTGATGTCAAGCAGTGCTCATGTCATCTTTCCGTTCTTATATTTTGCACACTCTCACCTTCTACAAGAAATACAAAATGATGCATTTGCCCGGCCCGGTTTGAGGCTCACTTGGGCTGGGTAGGATTATAGTTTGGGAAGGCAGAATTGATGCTCCTAACAGTCACTGAAGGAGAATAACCAAGGTGACCGTGATCCTTCACACACGTTGAGTACAGATGATAGATATGATGGTAACAGGTAGATATTTTTTTAAAAGAAAGAAAATTGCAAGTCTGCAGCAAAATAGCATTCCTCCTTCTTCATAATGCATTTAGTTTAAAAAATGTTTAGAGATGCCAGGTTACAAAAATACTTTTAATGTAAGCAATGTCCTTACTTTTTAAATCTTCACACTAGTACCTCCTCAACAATGCTAGAAAGACATATTCAGTAGCAATTGTAAAGGAAAAAACAAAGTAATAAAAAAGTGTTATAGCATAAACCAATTCAAGAAGCATTGAATTCCACTTAAATAAGGAAAAAACATCAAACATGTAAACGAACGTGATGGAATGAGTGTTAATGGAACGTATGTTGTCAAGGTAGAAAGTATGAATGGGTCATTATACAAAAAATATTATCTGAAATATTCAATACAACATCAAGCTGGCAGAATACACAGTGTTAGGAAAAAAGATGCTTTAGATTGGAGAGTTTTGCTGACTTAAGTAGAGAAAGGGTCCAAGTCTACATACAAAACTGAATGGAAGAGGAGACTTATTGGACAATGGTTATGAATAGAAGAACCTAGAAAGTAAATTAACTGCTATGACAAAAAATGATGGTGCAGCATGACTTCACAATGAGAGAGAACCCGAGGTTCTCAGATAATGGTGACAATGAGGACAAAAGCGCTGTGGCATGTCATTACCTAATGTGGTCTCAGGTGGCTCAGACACATTTGTAATAGATTCCACAACTGTATCAAAGCAAAGGAGAAAAATTTAAAATATTGTAAGATGTTAAGCTACAGTCAAGTATTTTTTTCTTTAATATCAACACATCTTATTCTCTTCAGACTTTGCAGGACAATGAATTTAGAGAAGAAAAAAGAGAACCAAGAGTAGAAATTCTATCCTATAAAAGTAACCCTCCAACTAATATTTATGTTTTAACTTTCATTAACTGCTTATAAATTATTATGCCTCAATATTTAGGTACCACAGAGAAACTGAAATGTATTTCTGTATTCAGAGAGTAAATTATCATGTTAAGAATCCAAGAATTTGGGAAACTATAGTTCTTCAGATCTACTCAATTGTAGACCAAGTACCACAGCTTGAATGTTCCTGTTCCATGGACATAATATTCACTAATAAAAGTTTGTTGAATTAAAAGAATCAAAGCATGAAAACCTTTACCACGTTCAGTCTTTAGTTCTTCTGGCCTGAGTGGTGCTTTGGCAGTGGGATATACATAATCTGTTTCTGTTGATGCTAGGGAGGAAACAGGGAATGCCTGGTTAGTGGTGGGTAGCGCCATAACACTCTGTAAGGGAACACTGTTTAATTTGAAAACAAAGATTAGTTATCTCAAGTAGATACATTCATGAGAATAACATTTAAGTGGTCGATGAAGATGACTGCAATTTAAGATGACAGAAATGAAAGCAGGAAATAAAAGAAATGTGTTGTGTGGGAAAATACACACACACACACATATGAGAGCTGGTAGGGTCTACGGCACTTTCTACCTGGAGTAAAGCAAGTTGTTTCACTTCCTGACATTTTTTAAAAAGCATTTTAGTGAAAAAAAGACATAGTGTGAGTCCTTGGAGAACATGGGGATGAATACTACAAATGACATTAAAATGAAGAATAGCTTGTGCATAGTCATGTTGAAAGAGTGATCAGAACATAAAAATATTAAAATTTCATTCAGACTGAGAAGAAACTAAATAAGGAAATGGTGAGACTTGCATAGCAACACAGCAGACACTTGCACAATGTGCTGAATATAATATTTGAGTCTCAAGATTCACTGGATGAGCACAGGCAAGATATGAGGAGCCATGAAATGTCACAAAGCATGAGGGCATTCAAAGAGGACTTCCACAATGAGATGGAAAAAGCACATATACCTGACTTCCCATTAGGAAACATTTTTACCTAGAGCTTCCTCTGATGACCCGGTGCTAAATGTAACAGATTCCTGGACTTCAGAAACTAGAAAACAAACAAAAAAACAAACAAACCCCAAACACATGATGATACAAGTGATCAAGGATGGGTTGTTGTAAGCATTGAATGAACGAAGATTAAGTATTTAGAAAAATGCACTGTTCCTATAACTGCTCTATACTAACCAATATGATAATATTAACACTAAAAGAAGCTCTAATAACTGAATTGAATTCACAATTTTCTAAGTATTGTAGGTTACCAATAACAATCATATCTTGTACTGTCAACATGAATCCCAAAGTGCCATTAGTTAATTAAAGATGCATGAAGGAGATGAAAATCCTATGCTACAAAAAATTAAGATCCAATCTTTCAAAATAAATGTTAGGGTGTAGCAACAGCATTGCTAAGAATAATTAAAAATTTTTGTTTTCAATTTGAAAGGCCAATATGCTCAGGTTCATACTGTATAAGGTAAAGTTTTTTCATCTTTACAAAAGGGAGAACTTTATCCTTCCTTAGTGGTCACAATTCAACTAGCATTCTTCTCACACGGCAGAGCACAAACTGAGCTTACTACTAAACAGCACCACAAATTCATAACTGTTAGTGAAAAGTAAGGATAAAGAATAAAATCGGTTCTTCTAAGTGGTTTTTTTGACTAACCACATACATAATTATTATCTAAAATGAAACAGAGCAAAAAGTAGAATGATGTTTTTCTATACTGTTGAGTAACAATATAAATATAATACATTACTAATTTAACACCAATAAGCAATCATAGACCATTGTGCAATATGTAAACAGAGTTGTTAAACGTGTATTTTTTTGTGTTTTTTATATTTGGAAATACAACACCTGGAGTTTGTCCTTTGAAGATCACAGTGTACCCAGACAGATAAAACAATCTATTTACCAGGTTGACTTTGTGTCATTTCTAGGCTTGGTGGTGTCACTGGTCTCAAAATAAGAGTTTGCAGTTCAGTGGGAGCTGAAAGAAGAGGGTCTAAGTTGTCAATTATGTATAATTTATTTCATAGGTTTAGACAAATGTAGCAATGAATTGAAATATATAGACTTTCAAAACAGCAGGATGATGGAGAGTGCCATGCAGAGTATGCATTATTTAAAGCAGAAATTGGCAAACTATGGCCCTTCCTCTGCTTAACCTGTGAGCTAAGAATGTTTTCTACATTGCTAAATCATGGGAAAATATTTAAAAGAGTAAACTTCATAATGTAAAAATGGTATGAAATTAAAACTTTTATTAGAACAAAAATACATCCACAAACTAAGATAATTCAAGGCATATTTACATATCATTTACATATTGGCTTTGATTGACTTCAGGCTACAATCGCAGAAGTGAGTAGTTGTGACAGACTGACTGGCCTATAAAGTCTAAAATAATCACTATCTAATTCTTCTTGTAAAAAATCTTGCTGACTCCTGATCTTAAGCATCCTCCCAGAAAAAGCAAGGGTCTATTTGAAAAAGTTAGGTTCTTATTGATTATTGCATCTGAATCTAAATTCTCACAGGGTATTTTAAGAGCTCACAGCTGATTTTCTGACAGTACCATTAACAAAATGCTCAGTACCATCTAGAAATGTTTTGTTATGTTTTCCTGTTTGACTACCCTCTTGTGTACCCTCAATAGTGGTCAAGATTTTGTGTTTTACTTTTGCTGTTCCCACATTTCCATCTACTAATTCAAATCCTAAAGTTATTTCAAAGTCCAACTATTTTCTAAAAGCCCATATAGATCTTTGACTCCTTTAAATATTTTCTCTATTTTTACCAGTCAATTAAATAAGCTGCTTTTGTATAAGCAAATTGTCTTGTATCTAAGAAAAACTCGAGAACAGATTTTTTTCCACAACTATATTACCGTCTGTTCAAAAGGCAAAACATACCCTTACTTTTGATCTCCATCTCTGTTTAGCACCTCACCCCACCCCACTCAATGGCTAATATAGTGCTGGGAACCCAGGGGGCAAGGAAATGTTTGTTCGCATAAACTAAATAAGCAGCATTTTAAAAAGAGAAATGAATGAAAGTAATAACAAGTGAATTGAGTAAGATACGCCTTTTGTCAGAGACAATCCTTATGCAGGGCACATGATGAATTTGGCTACCACATATATCTCCCCAACCATGAGCCTTCTGGTCAACCATGTAGTTGTAGACATGCTAATCGCTATTTTTGCCCTTCTCTTAGAAGGCACAGATGGGAGAAGTACAAGTTAGCACATCATTGTCACTCCTGGGGCCCAAATGCAATGGGCTAGAAGGACTCTTTAAACCAGAAACCATATGTTTCAACCGAGAAGCTTTGGGAAGATTCAAGTTTGGGAGGAGGATGGGTTTTTTTTTCTTCATTGCTTTGAAATTAAAGAAAGAAAATCTTGGGTTACCTATAGTGTTTGTGGGTCCAGAAGCCACCAACAGCATTGTACTTTGACCTATGTTTTCTAAAACAATAGATTTTCTTGAGCTTATTTCCAAAGTTTGAAAAATTTTACTATACTAATATAATTTGTTCCATATCTTCACTGGGGGTCCTTTAGAGACCAAAATAATACATAAAATTTATTGATTTATTAAAGGAATACATATTAACATGCATAATTAGATACTCAGAGAGATTCCTACTTACTAAAGATTAAGAACAATTGCTAAATTGTGGTGGAGAATAAGGGATAACCAAATTAATCAATGGCTGAGGAGCCTGTAACATATTTATTAGGATTGGCACTTCTGGGAAGCAACTTTGTTTTGATAACTTATTACAATGAGGAATCCTTATTTCTTAAAACAGGAAGAGAGTAATGAGAATATGACACAGATCTTATAGAAAGTAAAGTTGTACAGAGAAAGTTCATTATACTTAATTGGCATTGTTTTATAAATGTAAATACTAAACAGAAGGAGAGCAATTTGAACTTCAGACTCTTCACTGAATCATGTAATAAAATGTTAAAGGGGTTTCATGCCAGATAGATTTCCTCAACTGGACCTAAGGATATATGTTAAAAACAATAGGTAACAACACTTGAGTTAAAATCCTGAGTACTTATATGCTGAAGTGTGAAATAGAATGACAACAGCAGTCTAAGAAACCAAGAGCAACTCCGGCCATAGCAGCCATGGAGTGACTTTTAATGGGCAAGGAAGTACCTAATGAGGCCATAAAAATTATTACCTAATGTTCCTCGAGCTTCAGAATTATGAATAACAAGTTCAAAGCCTGTAGTAGGAACTAACCAAAAACAGCAACATGAAAATGAGAAAGTTTAAACACACATACAGAGTCTTAATTTTTCTTTCAAAACATTAGCTTCGAATGACAAACAATTTTTAAAAATTTTTTAATTGGTCCTGACTGGTGTGGCTCAGTCGTTTGGGCATTGTGCCACAAACCAAAAGGTCACTGATTCTATTCCCAGTCAGGGCACTAGCCTGAGTTGCAAGCCAGGTCTCTGGTTGGGGACGTGCAAGGGGAAACCAATCAATGTTTCTCTCTCTCTCTCTCTCTTTCCCTTCACATATCTTTCAAAATAAATAAGATCTTAAAAAAAAACTTTTGAATTGACAGGAAGTAAATAGTTTCTTTTGAAGATTTGGTAAACTGAAGCTAGGAATAATTCATTGCAGAAGGTAGTCACAACCTTTGAACTCTGTTAAGCATTTTATTATGGTCAACATGAGGTTTTCTGCAGTGTTTGATTTTCTGACTCTAATAAGAAAGGTTGCTTTAGAAAATCTGTTTGGGATGTGGATGATGGGATCATTGTGATGTTTTAGGAGCTGAAGGAAGAAATGTTGGTTTACTCTAGTGACGGTGGTTTTGGAAATAAGCTCTTGGTCTTCTAAAATATGCTATTTTTTTCTCAACATTTTAGGTATATAATTTTTAAGATTGTAATGTTTTCTTCTATTGCATTAATTTTTTTTATCACTAAAGTTTCTTGAGAGATAAAACACACAAGATTAAGTCAAAGAGGGAAGATCCTTGTATATCTCTAACCTCAAAGAAAGGTAAGTACTATAGCCAAACTAGGTTGTGTGGTCTTAGATTCACACCAAGAAATTTAAATAGACCAAGGAATCCATGGCACTATACTAACTGTTATATTTATATTTAGGTGGTCTACAGAAGATTGAGACATTACCCACTGAATTTGAAACTCAGCTTTAAAAGTGAACCCTCACTAGACAAAAGTACATGACAAAAATTCAAATAGCACAGACATTCTGATATAGGCTCAGGCATAGCTTTTAAAAATAGGTAACTTATTTTAAGAGTCTGCAATACTCTTAAGAGGAAAAATTAAGTTGAAAGACAGCAGATGATGACAAGACAGTCCTTTGAAGTTGATGACAATGTGATTATGATGATGATAGAATGGGCTGACAATAAGCATAAAAAATTAATGAGAAACACGGAATATCATTATCTAATCTTGTTTCTGGAGCGTTAGTTCTAATAGTGATAAGTTCAAGGACTGTAGGCATAATTGGCCAAAAAGAATAAAATAATCCAAAGATATTTTAAAAATTCACTTGATGACTAATTTTAGAAGTCAATTTTTAATCTTCAGAACTCAGAGAAAAGAGACACTTGTTCTTTGTAGATTGACCAAATGGTCAAATACTCATTAATCCCATAAGATAGACATAGCATTGCACACAGCTAAAAACTATGGTTAACAAGTTCTCGTACATGCCTCTTCTTAATATGGAAGACTCTGCTGGACAAACTTTTTTACACATTTGTGTAATATATACTTTTCTAACTCTACTGAAATAAAGCATTCATCAGTCTACTTGCCCTCTGTACAAATTAAAATAAATGCCTATTATTTTTGCCTAGAGTTTAAATAATCATGGTATAACCATGAGTTTATATGTTTGGAAACATAAGAATCAATGCTCATCAAAATTTCAAAGTGGTCCTTGATTCAAGAAAAGCTAAGAAACATTTTAATACCCTGTTAGAAAAGGAAAAAGAGTCAGCTTACTCTATCATATATGCCTATCACTTGAACTTTCAAGTCTTAGCACATTTAAAATTTTGACAATTAGCTAGAAACATTATTCATTGAAATAATACATCTACCAATATAACCACACAGATCCTAATACAACATAATAACATAAAAAGTAATATGAACAAAGAAATATAGTATTTCCACAATTGACAAGACATAAGCATTGGAAGTAAGGAATGGATGGAAATTAATGCTTGAAATGAAGCTTAAACTAATTAATGCTGTTTAAACAAATGCACATGATCATATGACACAATGTTGAGAAGACACATGGCAGTGATATCCTGAAATTAGTTTATGCACAGTTCTCTTAAATTCAACAGATAACTTGACATAGAGTTTAGTATAATTTGAAGATAGAGACTGTAATGGATTAACAACAGAGGATGTTGAGATAGTTTTAAGATGCAAGAGAACCTGTACCTACAATGTTATGGCAATGAGTAGGAAAAGCACTGTTTGAAGGACACATATTCTCATTACCTATGACTTCTGGAACTTCAGTTCTAGGAGTACCAGGCTCAAGATCTGTAATACGAACTAAATCAAAGGCAATGAAATAAACACTTGTGAAAGTCAGCAAATTAAATCTTACAAGTATAATATTGCTTCAAGAGGTGTACAGCAGTTTTTAATTTTTTTCTGAAATTAAACACTTGTTATTTTAAAGGTTATTTAAAAGTCAGGTAAATGTTCTGTTATAAACAGTAACAGCCTACACAAATCTGGTAAGTACTTCAATAAAGCTAAAATGATCCTTCTGTCTAAGCACCTATTTCCAACTGTTGTAGAAGACGGCTCTTGGAAATTTATTTAAATGTTTTACTAAACATATGCTTAGGTAACTATTCTGGCAATAGTTGATTTATCTGTGGAAGCTTTAAGAAAATAACATGTATAAATAATTATAGACATAATAAATAGTGTTTATGTGTGAAAGAAGGCATAGCAAAGTAAACCATGTTCATCTTGTTGAGAACTCATATTTGAAAGTAGGCTGAAACCTTAGTTAAGGCAAGGCACTCAACAAATGAGGATAAGGAACATTCACTCAGTGTGTATTGCCCAGTAGAACGCCTCTATAATTACAAAAATGTGGTATCCTATAAAGGTGGGAGAGACCACCGATGCTTCTAAGGTCAGATCCAAACATTGGAATCACATTCAAGGATTTTTCTTTAACTACTATTCTTAGGGATCCTTCCAAACATAGCACTATTATAACCACATAGAAGCAGGACCCCCTTTTTCCAGAAGTCTGTGCCTTCTAGTTGGTCTCCATATCCCCTTTCTTTCAGACTCTGTTCATTTTCATGATTTTAAGACCCAAATTCTTTCCAACTCCTTATTCCTGCCCTTCACAAACTTCTCTCTCTCTAAGCTCATAGATGTTTATGGCCCCTGAAAACATCAAGCTAGATTTTGACTGCCTTGATTTAATCTCTGAATGTTCCATATTGAGGCAGGTTTTGACTTTGACTATACCATAGACTGCAAAGTAAAAATGAACTGCCTGCTTTTGTGATACCCTCACAGTGGCTGTAGGGGGATGGAAGGCACTCAGCGTTTGTTTCTGGAATTAAAAATGCTTTATTCTAATTAAGTTATTTTGTCTTTAATAAAAGAATATAATGAAATAAGAAAAAATAAGTAAAATACCTATTAAATGAGAAGATCTTTATGCAGAAAGTACACGGAATTCAGTGTAACGCAGGTCTCCCCCAACCATGATTCCCTTTGCTAACTTAACAATGGGAGCAGGAGCAGCTGATCTTGTGCCCTTACCCACAGAGGACTCACATGGGCTATCACTCCCACCATGGACCCCAAACCCAAATTCCCAAAAGCTGTTAGGACTCAGAACCTTAATCAGAAACCCACATTTACCCAGTTTGGTTTGAGGTGCCTCAGTAGTTGGTGTGGTTTTAGGTTTGGGACGTGGACGACGGGTCCGTTTTGGTGGTTTAGGAGCTGAAGAAAGAAACCTTCAGTTACTACAGAGTCTGTAGTTTAGAAGCTATGCAGAGCATGATCCATGGCTCCAGATTTTCTAAAACTCATTAGATTTCCTTACATTTTAGGAAATTGTCTTTTTAACTGTTTAATTTGAAACTTTTACCCCCAAATATGTCTTTTTTACAATAGAAAATTCATTAGAAATGAATCATAAATAAAATTAAGTTACTAATTCAAGAAGTGAAAAATCATTTGTAGGACTCTTCTGCTGAATACAAAGGGTAATAATCACTGGTAAAATATTATGGTGGTATGGTGATACCCACATACAGACTTTGACAGTTAACTAAATAAGACCACATAATTAACTCAAATGTCAATCAAAGAACAACAATCACATAATTAAAAGAAAGTAGACTTTTAGAAACACAAAGAAACTCCTGGACACAGTCATAGTTGTTAGAGTCAAGAGAATTGCTTTTTAAACCAAGCTTTCAGAAAACATTAGTTAAAAAACACACAAAATGACATTTCAGATGGTTATATGTATAACAGATGACTTGAGTTAAGTTCATGCATGGCTCTCTTGAAGATAAAGGATAACTTGTTTTAAGAATTAGATCATCAATGCTTTTATGATGAAGAATATAATGGAGTGACAACAAAGGATGGTGATGTAGCCTTAGGAAGCAAAAGAACTTGTAGCTACAAGGCTGATGGAATGAGTCTGACGGTGAGAAGGAAAGGACTGACTGAGGACTACAATGTGTTATTACCTTGTGTTGGCACCCAAGTCTCAGTCCTGAATGTAACAGGTTCAAAGTCTGCAGTAGAAACTGACCAAAAGTATTTAAAATAAACCAAACTGTTTTAAAGAAAATGCAAATATTTACCTGAAAATGAATCTTAGTTGTATAGTTCTTAGTTGAACTATAGAGCAACTTTGAAAAACTATTGAACTAGACAAGAATAAATATTTTCTAAAATGTAGCCATACCTATGTTAGGTATTTATTGCCTTATTCCTCTTTCTTTGATCATCTAATTCTAACTAATAGTCCAAAGTGGGATGTGTGGGTTTGCTAAGAACTTATCTTTGGAAAGACTCTGAGACCTCAGCATGGTGAATTGAATAGGGTATTCATCTATTCTAAGCTAAGAAAGAGCATGTCGTCATGCGCAAAGAAGAGCTTGCTGTCTACTAGACCAAATTTTAACTGGCCCATCAGATTGCAACCATGAAAGTCCATGGACTGATCTAGACCCAGAAAAGCTTTGACTACCACCTTGAAGTTAGGCATCCTCTATACTAGTATCGTGTTAGGCTTCTTCTTCTGGTTAATCTCTATTTTTACCTCCTTTTTCTGATTTTATTCCTCACCATCTTTCTACTCATCCATGTGCTATAGTGATTTCAAGTCTCCATTCTTTCTTAATCTACCTTTCTCTGCTCCAAATGTTACTCTTGAGACCCTGCTGGGTTAGGCTACTGGGACTCTAAACCAGGAACATATGTTTACCTGGTTTGGATTCAGATGCTTCAGAACGTGGTGTGGTTTTTGGTCTGGGACATGGACGGCCTGTGCGTTGTGATGGTTTGGAAGCTGAAGGAAGAAATTCTTGGGTTACTACATAATTACATTATCTATGGTTCTAGAAGGTATTGGAGGTCAAAACATGATTCTATAGGTTTTCCATGCTAGATATTTGCCTGTTTCATTTGAGATTTCTCTCACATATACTTCTTTTATATACTCTTTTATCATAGGAGATTCTTTGGGGGAAAAAATACTTTTAAATTAAATAAATAAATGCTATTAATTATAATCAAAGTCTCATAGGACAGCTTGATTGGGTAACAAAAAAGTTAAAAACTGTTGCTAAATTTTAGTGGATAATGAAGCTCACACTAAATCTGAGATTTATAATTTAATCTTCCAACTTTGGGTGCATTTTCTACATGACTATTAAAATAAGAACAACAAATAGTATGCAAATAGAAAAAAGATAGAAATGTAGATATGCAGTAATGAATCTTCTTGGCCCTATGATGGCTGTTAATGGCTTTATCTTATGGGATCAGAGATAGAGAGCCATAATATGTTTTAAAACTAGTTTTTCTACAAATACTGCTTAAACAAAACACAGAATGTTATGACAGAACTTCAAATAGGTTGCATGGCAAATAAATGTCTTAATATGGTTCATGCATGACTGGTTCTATTAAAAACAACAGGTAATTTGTTTTACAATTTTTTGTAATTTTAAGAATAGTATAAATGAATGACCACAAAAGATGACACTATTCTCACATGAAGCAAGATGAAACTCTGGATTTTACAATAATGAGAATAAGACTTGTTGAAAACACATGGTATCATTACCTAATGGTGTTCCTGGGGCCTGTGGTCTAAGAGTGACAGGTTCAAGGACTGCAGCAGGAGCTGACCAAAAAATACAGTAATCCAAAGAGATTTTAAAATACATGAAAAAATAAAACATTCACATCCAAACAATCTTGTATACAATCCGTCTATAGAAAAAAAAAAAAGAAAAAATAACTGAGAAAAAGAGTAGGTGTTCATTCTTTGACAATTTAGCCAAATTATATTCACAGTTTTAGGATTAGCTTTTTGAACTAATTTAGTATCTTAAGGAAGTCAGCATTAAATTCTCCTAGGTTTTAACTCATAGATTCTGACTGGTATGAAAAACTCTAAGTTTATTTTCAAATCTAGACATAGAAAAGAATCTGTCTATTTAGGAAATCTGATCAATCTCTACTTCTATGGCAACTGAACATGGATACTTAACTATGTTTAAGTCAACATAGATAAGTAGACTTTATAAATTTGAAATAGATATAAAAATTAATCATTGAAGTGGACTACGTTGATCTTGCCAGGAACAAACCATAGCATGTAAGAGAGCAGAATAAAGATAGTCACTTAGTCTGTAGTACTCAGAAGAACCTAAGTCTGGTCTATGCCCACAAAAAGGAGAGAGAGAGCTGATGTCTCTGAATCAAATCTAAGGTTGTTCAGGTACTCAAAATCTTCTTTCAACTCTGTAGATGGACCCTTCCAAATGTAGCACCATCAACATCCATGTTTTGATTATCTAGAAGTAAGACAGTCTGTAATAGACTGGACTGCTTTTACTCAACTCCTACCCAACCCACATGTCTACTCCTTCTCTTGGTTCACTTTTCTCTCTATTCATTCATATCCCATAGTGGGTCCAGGTCCAAGGTCCAAGTCCAATCCACCCTGACCTTTTCCTTTGCAAGATCAACATTTAAAATGTGTATTATCATGCAAACATGTACTCAACTTCAGTGTTTTAGAAATAAAAGAGGTTTCCTACAGCTGACATGTCACCCATGGTTGCCAATATTGATCCAGGAATATTTATTTACTCAACTAAATATTGGCTCTGCTAAAAAAGTTTTAAGATTTTGATGAAATTTGACAGCAAGAAATAGACTACATATGCGTATCAAAGAAGATTCTCAATAGAAATAATAAGGTATTCTGGCACCCATGATATCTTGCACAGTCTTATTCTCTGTGACACATGGGAAGAGGGGATATTACTGACTATGCCTCATGACCTTTTGCTTAGAGAACATAATCTTGGCACTGCTTTGGGTCCTCAATAGGCTACTAGGGCTCACTGTTAAACCAAGGAATCACACAGTTACCCAGTTTGGTCTGAGGTACTTGAGGGCTTGGTGTGCTTTTAGGTCTGAGACGTGGACGATGGGGCCTTTTTGATGCTTTGGTAGCTGAAGAAAGAAAAGTATTGTGTTACTCTGGGTCTTATGCCTCTTGATACTAAGGAGAGGTTTTTGCAAAACTTGTTAGATTTCCTAAAGTTCTAGGAAATTGTCTGTAGTTGAAAATGTTTACTCATTTCACGCCAATGTGTTTTCTTTTATCATCGAGGATACTTTGGGGGCCAAACACTCATTCAAGTCCTGAAGGTTAGCACTTGTAATCAGATACTTAGAGAGTTTACTCAATGGAAACCAAATGATTGAGAAGGAGAGAGCTCAACTCTGATGCAAGGGAGGAGGAAGTTACGGTCATACTAAGGAAGAGGCTTGTAATTTAAATTTTCAAATTTGGGTAATTCCTTATTTGTAAAATTAGTAATAAAACACATTAGTACTTCAAACACAAAGAAACAACATACCATGTAGATAGCTTTTTAAAAAAATCTAGAAACAGATTTGCAAAGGAAAATAAGAGTAGCTGTTATTTAAAATCAGCTTAGATAAGAAATAGATCCCAATTTATTTTAAACTCAGTTTTAACACAGAACACTATTCAAGGAAGCACAAGATGATATGACAATTTCAAATGCAGTACAAGACAGGTAAATGTTTTTGACTAAGCTCATGCCTGCTCTCATAAAAACAATAGGAAACTTGTTTTTAAGAGGCTGCTCTATTCTTCAGGTGAAGGAAGTGATTGAATGGCAATGGAGGATGATGATGGCTGTTGCATAAAGAAGAAAAAGCCACATTATGTGGATGGAGACTGAATGGAGTACATGACGAGTGGCAAAAACCTTGGTGAAAGCACAGGGTCATTACCTAACGTTGTTCCAGAGGTCTCAGTTGTAAAAATAACAGGTTCAAGGTCTGTAACAGGAACTGAAGGAAAAAAAGAGTTTTTTTAAAAATGAATCTTGCCATTGTACTATCACCTCAAGAGTAATTTGAATAAAAATTCTGGATGAAAGTATTTATGGACTTAATTGTGTCTCCCTAAAATTCACATGAAACCTTAACTCCCAATGTGACTGTATTTGGAGATGGGGCCTTTAAGGAGACAGTTAAAGCTAAATGAGGTGTTAAGGGTATATGGCCCTAACCCAATAGAACTGATGTCCTTATAAGAAGGGACCCTTGTACACATAAAAAAGACCATGTGAGGATGGCGGCCATTGGCAAGCCAATGAGAGAGGCTTTGGTAGAAATTAAGCCACCTGACACCTTCACCTTCAAGACTTCAACTTTAAGCCTATAGAGTTGTAAGAAGTAGACTTCTGTTATTTAAGCCACCCAGTCTGTAGTATTTTTCTATGACTTCTCTAGCAAACTAATACAAAAGGAAATTAATTGTTTTGTCTAGATTTGGACAAACTGTAGTTATGGACTTCTTCATCTCATGAGTAGTCATTACTTTTGGTCATGTTTAGTGCCCATCCACTGTCAGTATGGGGAAAACTTAATTCAGTGTGGAAATAAGAGATTTCTCACACCCATAAGAACAATATAAGCCTCCTTCAACTTCCCGCGGTGCAATCCAAATGCATAATCACCAACAAAAGTACTTTGACTTGACAGAAGAAGCAGGATCTCTTCCCTTTCTGGTTGTCTCTACACAAATTCTATTTTTTCACCTTTGTTCACTCTCACCTCTCCATTTGTGTAAATTCTGTTATGACATCAAGGCCCAAACTGTGTCCCTACCTTACTGAGCCTAAATTGATATTTTACTTCTTTAAGACCTCATATGATGTGTCTCACACCTAATGTTTATATACTCAAGAAAAACCTTGAATTTGCACAAACACCCTGCCTTATTCTCATTCTCTATGTTTTTCATGCAGGAAAAGTTTTTGTGCTCAATTATCCTGCAGACTGAGAAGTAAAGCATGTCTCCTAGTACTCAGAGTCAGAGGGCAGATTATGTTTCCTCCAAATACAAACTCCTTGCCAACCCTGATGGGGGAAGGACTCTTCATGATTCCCTCACTAGGGGTTATGTGGGTTTACATTCTCAATCAGCGGCTGGCTCATAGTCTCTTTTAGCCATGGACTTGGCCTTTCTCTAGTATAGTGTCAGGTGCATCCGGACATGGAATGGTTTTAAGTTTGTGTGTTAATGACATGTCCATTTGGATGTATTTGGAGGTGGAAAAAGACAATGTTCAGTTACTTTAAAGTTTACAGTTCTGAATTAGAGGGTTTAAAAATCTTTAAGTTTTCCAAAGCTTTATAGATTTTATTGAGTTTCAGAAAATGGATCTTTCTAGTATGAAAAATTTGTCCCTACTATGCTACCATATCTTATTTGTTATTGAAGACATGGCGGGGGGGTGGGAATTGACATAAAAATAAAGTTATTAATTCATAGAGTCACATCTGTATTTTTTTACATTATCTTAATGCAAAAAGACATCTGACTGCATTTAAAAAGTTAAGAATTATTTCTAAACTAAGGTGGAGAGTAAGGGAACTCAGATTAACCTTAAGGATTGGGCTTGCTATTTGAACTTACTGGCCTTGATCACATTATCTGTTAGACAAATCACTGAAAACATATTACCCAAATGTCAAGAAAACAACCAAAAAACCAGAGAGATAAAAAACTAGATGTACAAAGAACATATAATGAAACTTTCCTATTACAGAATGGTTAGCATAGGTCAAGATCAGGCACGTCTATAGATAAATGTAATTTACCTTAAAAGAGCACTCTAGTTAATCTAAAAACATAAGGTGGCATGAAAAAATTTTAAAGTAAGTTACAGCGCAAGAAACTACCATACACTAGATGTAGGCATGGTTCTTACCTCTTAAGAACAAGAGGTAACTTGTTTTATGCATGTTTAACTCATAAGATGAAAAATGGAATTAAATGACAACAGAGTGGAATGGATTTGACAATGAGCAAAAAACAGACTTGCTGAAGGTCAGAAAGTGGCATTGCCAAACGCTGTCCCTGGAGTCTTGTTTTTAGGGGTAACTGGTTCAAGGACTGTAGCAGGAGCTGATTTTATTATTTTATTATGTTTTATTATTTTATTATTAAATTATTATTTTTAATAATAATTTTAAAAAAATCAGTGAAATGGTAAACATTTATATTGTTTCAGAACATTCACTTCAAAAAGAATTGTACCAAAGTAATAATGTGTCAGGGGTACAAAGCAAACACTATTAACCCTCAAAGCTGAGAGATATGGTGCCTTTGCACTCAAGTATCAATTTCTCACTTAGAGACTATCTTTGTACTCAGATAACTACCCCTGTGAAGTGTCCCTGAAGCTTCTCACTTTGATGATCCTAGCCTAAGTAATGCACCACAGCCAACCATACCCATCTTGTTGAAAAGTCATCTTTGGAAAGGGAACACAGGGGTACTAAAGAGAGCAGGCAGCCTGAGGTACAGCAGGGTATCTATCCCTCTGTCCAGCGCTTAGGGAAAGCCTGACCATATATGGATACTGATTATTTTAACATGAAATCCAAACTCATAAGTCTAACATTCAAAATCCCTTTGCAACTGGTTGCACAGGCCCATTTAGTTGTAGCAACCTCAATGAAATGCTCTGATCAACACTTAGAAGCCTGGCAGCCTTCATCAGTCAGAGAAGCCTCTGACTCCTCTCACTGGCTTCCACACATGTCCTTCCTTCCTGTACTTCTTCACTCCCTTCCCCCCAAAAACTATGGCTCATGCACCAAATCTTGCCCAAGTCTTCTTTTCAAACAGCCCATGAGAGCAAAGAATGATTTTTCTATTTTAAGTGGTTGTTTAAAAAAAATAGGATAAGAGAAAAATACTCAACAAAGACTACATTGTCCCCAAAGCCCCCAAATATTTACTATCTAGCCCTTTATAGAAAATGTTGGCCAACTCTGGCACTAGATCCTTACTATGATTTACACAACTTTTATAGTTACCAAGAAATAACTTCCTATTTCCTCAAACATATGTCGTTCTGTAGTTGTTTCAGTCCACAACACAAATTCAACATTTAAAGGATGACTACAAAGGGAGAGATTGACAGTAATATAGTCAGAATAGGAGATTTTAACACCCCATTGACATCAATGGATAGATCTTCCAGACAGAAAATCAACAAGGAAACAGTGGCCTTAAATGACCCAGTAGATCAGATGGATTTAATTGATATTTTCAGAACATTTAACCCCAAAGCAGCAGAATAAAGGATGTGGAGAATCAAATAAGAAGTCAATTACATAGACATTTAGAGGGAAAATTCCAGTGCACCAAGTAAGGAATTTGGCCACCACCTAAGGCCTCTCCAACAGTATTCTCAAGCCTACTGTGAAGTGGCAATAGCTGCTGACCCTAACTTGTCCCTTCACTTTCTTTGGGATGGGCTGCCAGGATTCCTTTTCCAAGATCTACGCATTTACCCGGTTCAGTCTGAGGGCTTCAGGACTTGGTGTGGTTTTAGGTTTGGGATGTGGATGGTGAGTTCATTCAGGCACTTTGGGAGTTAAAGGATGAAAATCTCTGGTTAATAGAGTGTTTTAGTTCCAGAAGTTGTGAATAGGATTATACTTATTATATTTAGCTTTCTTAAAACAAATGAGTTGTTTTAATACTCTTCAATATATTAAAAAGTAATTGACAATAGAGGATGACACAGAGATGCTGTGAAGCAGGAGGAGCTATAGTGATGAGGGTGATGAAATGGGTGTGAAATGAGCAGGAAAAGCAGATGCTGGTGAACATAATGTGTCATTACCTAGTGTCACCCCTGGAGCCTCAGTTGTAAGAATAACTGGTTCAAAGATTGTCGCAGGAACTGATCAAAAATAATAAAAAGAAACCAAAGAGATTTTTGTGAATGCATGAAATGTCAGAAAATTCATCTTTCCAGTAAAAAAAAAGGCTTCTAAGGGAGAAGAGGGAAAGGGAGGGAAAAGATGGACTACACAAAACTTTTAACACCAAGAGGCAGGAACTACGGGGGTGGGAGGTGAACTGGGGCAGGGAATAGGGGGTCACCTAGCGTCTGTCGACCACACATACAATAGATAGCCAACAGGAAGCTCAGACTATACTCACTACAAGATTAATCCTTAGTGAAAACAGTGGTATTCAATATATTGGGTTGGCCAAAAAGTTTGTATGGTTTTTCCCCATAAAATAAAAGACCCATTTTTCATTTTCACCAATAACTTTATTGATTTGGATGTTTGAGTATGTCATCTATTTCCTGCTATGGGCTACTAGTGGGTAGAGGCCAGGGGTGCTGCTAAACATCTTCCAGTGCATAAGACAGCCCCACAGCAATGAATTATTTGCCTAAAATGTCAATAGTACCAAGAGACGTCACAAACCACTTTTGACACATTTGATCAGTCATAGCACCTTCACCATACACTGCACACATTTTTTGTGTTTCAGTTGCATTTTTACCTTTCTTGAAATAATAAAGCATAACACTGAAGATGTTGCATATCTTCTTCCATCTTCAATATTAAAGTGGCTGTACAAAAACCAATTTTGATGTGTTTTTTTAATGCAGGCTGAGATGACAGGTGTCACAATCTAACAAAATTGTTTTGAATGATGTTAAATACAACTAGGCACTAATAGAGCCATTGTACAGAAAAAAACTTAATGAACTTCTTGGCCAATCCAATGATAAGGTGAGGAACCACCTCTCAGTTTGTGGTATCTTATTTGACTAGGCATCTTCAGTTATAAGAATAGAAAAAGCATGGTATAGTGCAGAAAAAGGATACTCAGCCCACTGGATCAAATTTAAACTCTTGAGTAGACATCCCAGACTCCCCCAACCCCTTTATTTCATCCTGTGAGCCCATTTAATAGGAGGGCATCAACAAGCCTCCTCTATCTGGCGTGCCAGTTTCATCACACTCCTTGCTTGTCCTCCACTAGTCCAAATTCTGTATTGATTTCTTTCTAATTATCCTGGATTTATTTTCCTGCTCTTGACAAATATTTACTACACTCCTAGCATGCAGCAATTATACCACCTGAGAACTTAATTTACATTCATATAAGTATGCTGCCCTATGTTATTTTCTATGTGTTTAATGCTGGAGCAGCTTTTGTTTACAATTATAGTACGAACTGATTGGGAACTAAAACATACTTCCTACTTCTGATGCATCTTGCAGTTGTTAATATGGTTATGGGAATTTAGAAGGGGCTAATAAAAGTACTTGAGTTGGTTGTGTAGGCTTAATACTTTACTGAGAAAACTTTATCTTTAAGACATGATTGGAATTAAATAATAAGAAAAGTAAGTAAAAAGGACATTATGGAGAAGGTTCACACACAGAAAGCATGGGGTACACATGTATCTCACGTACTCCTAACTAGTAGCTTTTACTCTTGATAGATACATAGGGCATGTACCAATTATTTGCATAGAATTTAGGGTCCCAGCTTGGGTGGACTGCTTGGATTTCTTAATTCAGAAACCACATATTTACCCAGTGTAGCCTGAGGTACTTCTGGATGGGGTGTGGTTTTAGGTTTGGGGCGTGGACGACGGGGCCTCTTTGTTGTTTTTGGAGCTGAAGGAAGACAATTCCATATTAATACAGTGCTGATGGATTCATGAACTGTGAATTGGATGATATAACATGGCTTGAAACTTTCTAAAGCTTGTCAGAGTTTCTTTAAGTAAAGTTTGTTACTTTGGTTTGAAATTTTCTCCCTTAGTATATCAATAGGCTTTCATTTATAATTAAAAGTTCACCTGAGATTAAAAATTACATTACAATTATGTATAAAATATAGGTTAGAAACTTATTTTCTTGAAAGTACCCTTAATCCAACACTGATTACAAGTCCTGGCTAAACATCAATGGTGTGAGAGAAGTTCAAACCACTGTATAGTTAGTATTCACTTACATTTTAAAATGATTAGGCTTCGGCAAATTTTCTACTTAGTAATTTACTAGAATATAGTATAAAAAATTCATTGAAACAGGAACAAAGTAAAAAAGAAAAGTTATGTAGAACTTGGAATGTAGAAAGTGAGCTACTTAAGAAACTTCATGATATTATAATTGAGACTGTACCAGTGGTCTAAATAAGGGATATGTAGATAATCATATTTAGACCTCAGCTCTTACAAACAGTACTGTTTAGACAGACTCAGTTCAACATGATGCAATTTCAAGCTGAGATATGGAGCAGATAGCTGTCCTGAATCAAGTGCATACACATTTCTGTTAGAAAGCCTTTTTGTATTTTAAGATGAATACTGTAATAGGATGACAAAGTATGACCTCATCATCTATCTATCACCATACATGGGTTTGACAATGACTATAAATATGAAAAAGCTCTTGCTGAAGGACATAAAGAATCGTTACCTAAAGATATCCCAGGAGCAACAGGTTCAATGTCTGTAGCAAGAAATGATCAAAAGTAATTTTAAAAAGAAACGTTAAACACATGAGAAAAGTCATCAAATTCTCTTAAAAATGAATTTTGCCAGAATCACAGAGAAAAACGTATTTCGATGGTCAAAGAAGCAAATAAAACACACAGGTACCAAGAAGATACTAAGCAGTGTGAGGAAGTTACAGGTATGGACTAGGGCCTTTGCTCTTAAGGGTCACAGGATTTATTAGGTGGCAAACTAAACTGCCACCCCAGTTATCACATTCAGCAAGGTTCCATAGGCACCAGGAACCATATATTTACCTACTGCAGTCTGAGGTGCCTCTGGGCTCGGCGTGGTTTTATGTTTGGAAGGTTTTGGATGTTTTGGAGATTTGGGACGTGGACGACGTGTTCTTGGTCGTTGTGACGTTTTTGGAGCTGAAGAAAGGAAACTGGTTAATATCATATGTATCCAGAAACTAAAAGAGAATTTATACATGGCTCTAGGTTTTCTAAAACTTTGCTAGGTTTTCTTGAGTCTTCAGACGTTTATCTCTTTATTTCAAAATTTTCTTTGTCATTCATATGCAAAAGTAATTTAGGGGGTGCTCTCTCAATAGTTCTTTTGAAAAAGAGTATATAACATTATTTGAATAATCTGAAAGCATGATTATTATTGCTGGTGTCAGACTTTCAAAGGTGACACTGACCCCGGGGAAGTCAGAAGCACAGCACGTACCTATGACACTAGAGCAGGAGTCAGGCTCACTAGCTTTAGGGAGCCTGTACTTAGATGATATTTCACTTAGGCAAACATCCCATTAAACACTATCAGAAAAAGCACATTTCATTTCTTAATCCTTGGTAGGCAGCAAAACACACTGCATATCTTAAACCAACTTTCTGTAGACGGACAGGACACAGAGTTATAAAGGATGTTTATGGGGCAGACACTCCTAATTGCATTTTAAATTCAGCTTTATCACAGAACACTGAGCAGAATCACAGGCTCTGTAAAGTACTGAGAAAACTGGATAGTATGGGAGATAGATGCTGTGCCCTGGCTTCAAATGGGCTTATATCCTAACCAAGTTACTTGTTTTAGACATCTTCTATACATTCTAAGTGAAGAATCTAGTTGAATGACAAAGAAGGATGATGAGAAAATCTTAGGAAAGAGAAAAGCCCTTGACCAAGATAGTTATGGAACTGACTGGACAATAAGTAGAAAACACAGTTGCTTAAAGACATAAAAGTTCATTACCCAATGTTGTCCAGGGAGCCTCAGTTCCCAGAGTTACATGTTCAACGTCTGTGGCAGGGACTGACCAAAAGCAATACAAAGTAATGGGAGATTTAAAAAACAGGAAAATAACAAAATTACCTTGAAAATAAATCTTCTGAACACTGTAATGTTTAAATAGCAGTTCTGAGCTCTGGAAAAATAGTATTTGTTCTCTAATAACTGGCTGTACTCTGACATCCATTTATCTTACAAAACAGCCATGCTCCTTGCACTTTGCATCCATATGAGGCCAATGAAGAGCTTTCCCCTCCAGCCCTCATGTTTAATGATCTGATTCCAATCATATTGGAAACCTGGCTCCAAAAAATCGGACAATTAGTTTTCTGATACATATTTAAATTACTCTGAAAAATTAACATGAAAGCAAGCCTCTGTTCATATCTGAAAGCCTTTTACTGCCATTATTAACACTTGTTTTGAGGAATGTTGGCAGTGGTGAGAATTTTACAAATCTTAATCAGTCTTTTTACTGGAGATCTGTGACATTTAGGCAAAAGATAAACGTTTGCCTCTGCAGAATAAATGTGGTATTTTTTCTTACTATCTCATTTATTCATTTATTTCAAATGGATAATTAGGAGATAATTATTTGAGTGAGAAACAGAGATGATTAAGAGAAAAGCCCAAAAAGCAATAATTTAACTTTTTTTGTCTGGATAAAGAGGGTTCATATAATTCTATAGTATCCTGAATCATTAAAATATACATAGATATGAAATTAAACTATGACTCTCTAGTTTTAAATGTTTCTATTTTTAAATTAAATTCATAAAATTAAATGTAACATTAAAACATTTTTATCATCAAAACCTCTGTAAGCAATTACACAAAGATTGCCTTTCACTGACTGTCCAAGACGCACAGCACAGAGTTGGCTTAAGCTACTTCTGAGAGCATCTTTGGAACTGATGGAAACAAGGCAGACAGAGGAGAGGGAGAAAGAGAGGACAACAGGGGAAAAACAATATTCAAGACTGACTGTCTTCAAACAAAAAAAGGGGAATCCCTATTTTGTTTGGAATTCAGCATCATAAGGTAAATTTGACAACAGAAAATTGACATTCATTCAAGTTGTGTTTGAACAGTATGGAATCAAGAAGCAAGAGATTTTTTTGAGAGACAATTTTATATATTGTGCCAAGCCCTAACCAGCTTTTTATTGCTATTCTCCCAGATCCATAAATTATACACATAAAAACAGAGATGTCAATAATTTCCTGGTTTGAAGATGGATGGAGAGAGCACCTGTGACTCTTGACAGCATCAAGTGCTGGAAGCGACTGAATGTTTCTGAAGGTGACCAAAGAAAGCTTAGAGCTGAGCAGCAGATGTGAGACTGCCTACCATTATAAAAGTCCCTAACAATGTTGGGAATGAATGAAAAAAACCCTCCTGAATAATTGTTTACACAAGAGAATACAAATAATGCCAGAGATGACAGTGGCAAGGCCAGAGAGACACCAAGAAAGAAGACATCCATCATTACCTATAGTTATGGCAGGAGCTTCAGTCTCAACTGTAACAGGCTTAAAGTCTGCGTCATAAAAAACAAACAGATATAAATAATAAAAGTAAGGGAGTCTAAACTTTTAGGTGCTCACTGACGCTTAATTCACAGGAGACAGAATCTGGTTTATTCTCTATTGATATAAATTGCCTCCTTGATAGGCTTATTTTAGTATGAGAGGCACTCTCTTAAGTAAGTTAGAATTTTATGCTAATTGGAATCTTGGGAGAAAATTTCAATTGCAAAACAGTTGACTTTTCAGAACTATTATATAAGTAGTCCCTTATTTGGTAGGAAATCGCTTAGTAAAAGTTACTATTTCAAATGTCAATAGGGAATTTTAGAGGAGGGCAATGTCCGGCTGTGTCCCTGCAGAGGAAGAACATGGTGTCAACCTCCTGAGTGCTGCCCCTGAGGGGCTGTTCCATTCACGTTCAGAAATATTGCAGGTACAGAAAAACCAGGCTTCTATAATTTACAAACCCAATTCGGAAAACAAAGCCTAAAAAACTCTTAAAGAAAATGGAGTCTGTCAGTATCAGTTGTAAAATTTACCAATTTCCCCACACATTGATTTGTTCATTTAACACTTAAAACATCAGTGTGACTACTTGGAGAAGATAATGAACAAAATCATGGTGCTTGGGTTTCTATGTTTTGTTGATATAATAAATTGTAAACACTTTCAGCAACATTTCCAAAGAAAGAGCTTCTTAAACTAAAGCACTGGAAATTATGTTTACCGGGTTTAGTTGATGGCATGTCTGGTTTTGCTGTGGTTTGGGGTTTAGGAAGTAATTGCTTTGGTGGTTTTGAATCTGAAGAAGAAAAGGTACTATAATTAGTGTCACAGCAGAGCTGTGAATGTCAAGATTAATGTTACTTACAAATGTTTTCCTAGTTATAGATCAAGGCACTGAAAGAAGTAGTTACCAGGCTGGATTTGGGGTGCATCTGGTCTATGTGTGGCTTTAGGTCTTTTGGATGGTTTTGATGCTAAAGAAAAAGGTATTAAAAATTAGCATAACGGTCATGGCTGTAACTGTCAGAATTAGGGACATAATATGCTTGAGCAAAGATATTATATAAATTCAGTGAATACGCAAAAAAGTTAACTCCTGGGTTGTGGGAATGGTAGAGAATGCATCAATTTCTACTCATTTTTCGAAAAGGAAAACTGGGAACTGCTCAAATGTGTCTTTGAGCAAAAGAAATAAAAACTGTAATAAGACTTTTTTCTCCATAAGTAATTTCAAATGCAATAAGTATAACAGTTCTATTTCTTAATTGATTTTTTTTCAGCATAAAAAAGGTACAAATTTGAAACTTGCTTAGCAGGAGACCTGGAAAATAATCTTTAACACTTGAAATTTTACACAATGTTACATGGCTACTGATTTCTGGAATTTTCTAAAGTAAAGCAGAGACAGATTTATTGTGAATGCTGAAAACTTACAATGACATAATTATTATTAAACAGCATTAGTACTAAAAACAATAAAACCGGCTTGGGACTTTCAATGTTCTGAAGTTACAAAGACCATACTATTTTTATTTTGGACCCTAGACCAAGAAGAGTATTTGTGCTTCTAGTTATCAAAACATACCCAAAAACATTTTTTCAAAAAATCAAACATGTTAAAGAAGCCATAATTTCCTGCAGTTTTTTAAAAGAAAGAAAGTCATACAAGTTGAATGCATAAATCAATTAAATGATAATCATGGCACTGGAATAACATTTTGTCATTTGTCAAGTCGAGGATGAGCAGAGGAATCCCTGCCTGCGAAAGAATAGATGATTTTCTCAACACAAGGACACGTATGATGGAAAGACTGAGGGTTTGTGGAAAACCAGGAAGTTGTGCCCAAGACCACAGACCTTCCTTCAATAAGCACACAGGATTCTCCTAGAAGCTTCCTATCTTCAGGTTCTTCAGAGCCAGATAGGAAATTGAAGGGACATATGGAATGAAATTGTGGCAGTGAGGTAGAAATGTGGTCATGCCTGGGTGGAGAGTAGGCAAAGCAAAAGTGACAACGTGAAAGCAGTCGAGGAGGGTAAAATTACCGATTGTGGGCACCAATTGCTCAGGTGGTACTGTAGCAGGTTCCAGAGCTATAGAAGCAAAAAACCAAAAATACCAATTATATCAGGAAGTGGCATCTTGAGGTAGGAAACATTAATCCTCAATTTTTACCTAACGTGCGTACTTTTTAAAATGTGATTTTTTTCCCTTTGATTTTCCTCCCATTCCCTCCCCATCTCCCTCATGGTTTCCCACAGCTCATCTGCCACAAATGTTCATCCTACATAAGAGTTTAGGGTGCCCTATTTAATAATACACTTAGTGAGTCGGGTTATTGCCATGTGTACCTGTAAATAAAATATAAATATCTTCATATAATATGAATATAGAAAGTAAGTATAGATGCCTAAATATAAAAACCAACTATAATGGTTCCTAAAGTCTAGCTATTCAGGTAGTAGGCAGCTACTTTATCAGAAGCTGTCATAGTCTACTTTCTGTGTTAATTGAAACCCTGACCATTACATTTACCAGGTTTAGACTTGGGCACATCTGGACTAGGTGTGGTTTTAGGGCGGGGTCGACGACCTGGTCTTTTGGTCTTTCGTGGAGCTGAAGAAAAAAAAAATTAGCTAGTTAATATAGGACAAACCATACTACATGTATCTTAGAAGCATAGTGAAGCTCTTCAATTTATTGTTGTTATGTACCCTTCTGTTTTGCAACTTTCTATCATTATTTACCTAGTTAAGTGAGGTCTTCAATAATTTTTTATTTTTGGCCAAAGATTTATAAACAATCACTGCTCAAGAGTTCCCCTATTCTTCCATTTTGAGATGGAAAATCCAGAATTTTGTATAGCTTAGAAAAGACAGTCTCATAAAACTTTTTGAAAGTTCTTGTTCAACAGGAACATGAGAAAAACTACTTCTAAAAAGCCAATAGAGATAAAAATTAAAATTGATTTGGCCTAAGATTCAAAAGGAAAAGTTTTGCACTTAGCATTAAAAAAATCTGCAAATCAGTGAGATGTGTTAATAGGCTTTGAATTAAAAAATTATTTCAGGGAAGGCAAATTTTAAAAATGAGATATAATTTATAAAACGACAGATTTAAAATTTTTTCATGGATAAGAACAAAGAACACACACATACAAACAAATGAATATTAACGAATTAATCCATTAATGGGAGCCTGTTAATAAAGACACCAACAGTCAGGAAAAAGGGAAGCGAAGGTCACCCACTCAGTAAGTGCATTACCTAATGTTGTTGAAGGTTTGGTTCCCAGTGTTTCAGGTTCTAAGACTGCATGAAACATCATCAAAAAGGAATCAAAATCAAAGAAAAAATGATAACATCTATTTAAATACGAAAAATTGCTTCATTTTAATTACTAAATTGAGAAAATATAAATGATGAAAGTTTTATCCATGTAAGAAATTCCTTCTTTATTTAAGCCAATGCCTGTGTTTTTAGACAAAATGAACAAAAATATAGCCAGTCAGTTAAGTTTGGAAAGAGAAACGGAAAGAAAAAAAGGTATGATTCTTATTTGGAATATGTGAATGCCATAAAGTAAGCAACAGTTCATGTTATGAAGGAAAATATGGGTAATTGGCTAAGATGGCACCAGAAGAACACATTATTTGCTCTCTTGAAGAAAAAGAAACTATAAAGATTGGGGTTATTTTTTATATTTCTCTCTTTTAATTAATTTCCTAGTGACACAGTGGGATTTTTAGGTCTGGAAAGACCATAATGTTTTCCAAGAAAATCTGCAAATGTTGGAATTTCGAAAGTAAGGAAAACACCTCCAAGACTGAAAGCACAAATATGCCCTAGAGAAGCAATAGTCCTCCAATGGAAATTACCAGACTAAAAGTTCAGGACTCATTCCTCCAATAGTAAGGAGTGACAATAAAGAATGTGTCAAATCAAAACCACTGTGCCTTTCATGTTGTCTCAGAACCCCTACACCATGGAGCATAGGCAGAGAGTTTATCTTCTGGCAAAAATGGCTGAAAGAAAGATCTGAAGGACAATGAAGAAATAAATTTTTAAAAAGCCAAAGTGAAGGACAAAAGTGAGGGTGTAAAAAATAGAGATAATTCTTTTTCACTAACTATAAAGGAAACTTCATTACCTATTGTTGACTGCGATGGTATTGGAGCCTGAGGTTCTGGGGCTGCAATAAAAGCAAGCATTAATCAATGGCAATGGGAAGAGCACCATCTAAGATAGAAACTAAATGTCCTTTAGTATAAAAAGTATTCTCTCATTGATGACCAATCAGGTTCTACTGGCTTAACGACAGAAATGTTCAACATCCACATCTTCTCCACAAACCACAATAAGAGTAAGAATTGAGATTTCTAATTTTGGGGTAGATTTTTAGCTATTTTTTCCACTGCCCAATATTCTGAACAGTGCTTGCAGAGGCACACCATTAAAGGGAGGTCAAGGCCGCTTCTGCAAGGTTGCTTGGAGCTCCTGTCTGCCTGCATTTTGTTTTCATGCAGGACAGTCAGGTTCGTTCAAGGCAGTGGGAACAGATAGCAGGCCCATTAGACCTGTTGCTGTGTCTGAGTTCTGTTAGTTTTGAATGACTTTTGGCCTGGTTGTGTTTGATATTATTTTATGAAAAAAAGAGTTGAACTTACGGTCTAAAAAAGGCCAAAAGTGTTCATACACTCTTCTCCAAATTTACTAGCATTTATTGCTGGTGAACAAATTGGTTTACATATGAAATTTAGTCCGTTTTGGTTAGTAAATCAACAGAAGTCAAAAAACAGTCTCAGGTTTCATGAAATGCTGATTAAACTGAATTAACAATATTATTTAAATATTCTAACAGATAACAAAACCTCCAATTTCATTCAAATTGTCAGAAAGAGAAAGAGAGAGAGGGGGGACTCTGAATGTTTTAGACTCTATAAGAGAAAAGGTAAAAAACAGAAAGCATCAATACATTCAACACAACAAATATTTAAAAAAGTACCACATCTGAAAATAGCAAAAAAGAACAAAAATTCTTTTGACACTTTGAGGTAGCAATTCATGTCTTAATTTCTACAAAGTTGCCTTCTAAAAATGTGAAAAAGTAAAATTTGCTATTCAGCAGTTGTAGCCTTTACAAAGAGTAAAGAATACTGCCTTTTTAATTTTATAAAGAAAAATCTGCATTTTTAAAATTCCTGACAGACTGAGACCACGTAGGTATGGACCCCATCAATTAAGCTTCCAATTCATCTGCATATAAAAATGTTAAAGTCAGTATTTATTAAAGCAAATACATGTTCTGATGACTTCCTTTATTGACAATTTTAAAGTGTTATAGATAAAGGTATAAAAATTTCCATTAAAAAGGCTGAGTGACATGCAAATACCACACCACTCACCTCAGCACAAAACAAAGAAAAACACAGCTGGCTCACCACGGAGTTGTGGCTAGCCGTGAGAACAATACACAATTCCATCTACCACACATACAATTAATTGGAAGACTCTCCCCCCTTCTTTTGTATTAAAAGTCAGTACAACCTTCAAGATTAACTATGAAAGAAACAATCCTTATTGGATGAGGCAGACAAGTAGGGATGCAGTAGGTGGCTGGGATTTTCAAGAAAGCACTGGATTTTGTTTATAAAACAAGCCAAAGCCATTGGTGGTTTTTACTTGTTAGTTTAACCACAGAGGAAAACCAAAGGAAAAGCAGCCTGTGTGGAAAGTGAAGTGGAAAAAAAGGGAGTGTGAGGAGAGGGCTGGGAAAGGCAATGAATTACTCAAATCAAAAAGCTTTTGGTGGTTTATTTGCTCTCCTGAACCTTGGCTAGAAACAGAAATCTTGAGCAGAGCTATAATGGTGGCCTGCCCTAAAGTAAAAATAAAGGGTTTGCAGAGATTCAGTCATTACTCCGTGTTGCCTCAGTGCCAGCTTGAGTTGGCACACATTTAGGCGCAGATTCTGAAGTGGCTATACTTGCTGTTAGGAGGAAAAGCGTGGATATTCTTAAGTGATTAAAAGGTAGAAATCAAAGGAATATAAACTCATTAAGCTTCCAAATAATTTCCTACACTTTAAAAGGGAAATGTCAAATTAAGAAGTCTCTGCTCAAATACCTTAGAATAATAATACACCCTCCAACTCGCCTCCAACTCTTATTTGTCTTAATGAACTGCCTCTCAGAAAACTTTTTAGAAACTGTCGAAATTAATGATGAATCTTGTGTAAATTGTAATTAACATTTGGAGACATGTTTGATGTTTTCAAATTTTATCTTGTAGTAACAGAAATAATTAGAGAAATATTTATTTAAATTTGGTGACCCAAGAATACAGTACTATTTCTCAATCTGCTTAGTAATAGCCCTCTATTAAAAATATAACTTAAATATAACAGTTACGACCTTATTTCAAGGTCCTCAAGTATGATTTAAAAATAAAGGTATATTAAACCCCTCTCTCACATAGCTCACTGTTGGCATTCTTTGATTTAAATTTCTAGGGCTCTTGAGTTTTATTAGCTATGCCTCTTGCTCTAAATAGCCTCTCTGAGTAAGGACACATCATTCCATTTCTCTTATTTGGAGACCCCACCCATGGTTACACTTCCCTTGCCTAATCCCTAATTTCTTGTGGTTTGACCCCTATACCAGAAAACCTCACTGCCTCTCTAAAGGAAGTCACTGGAATTCTTTTTCTGAGCAGTTACATTTTCTGCTCATTTTACAGTGAATTTCATTGTAAAAAAAGTAATACCATATCCACTGAAGCAGAAACTCTCTTGCTTTAATATTTGTCCTTTGTAAACATGGATTAATGTGAAATCCATTGAACTTTATAGCAATAAATACATTCTTTCCAGAGCTAAGGGAAACTTTAGATATATGTGATGAAAATTTAGTGACAAAGATCCCCTATATGTACTATTGTATAAGTCAATATGTAAACTGCTATATAGATTGTGGATGAAAAAAACAAAGAAAGATTTGGTCCTGTAGTATGTCCCACAATCCTTATGTAGGGAATTGTCTCTGCTTTAAATTATATTTACAGACTAACCCCTCCCTGCAAAAGAGCCCTCTTTTCTTCAGCAAAACACCATTAATATCTCCTTAGAAGTAAACAGAAGTCAGTTTTCAGAAATCGGCCCCAGTACAGAAAGAAGTCATGGAGCATCAGGGAGCTACAACCCCCTCTAGTCTTACAGATTTTAGTCTTACAGCCTCAAGCTGAGATGCTCCAAACAAGGCCAAGTTCTTAGGGGATGGGAACACTTCTTCCTTCTCTATCTGAAAGGTGATTGCTCAGTCCCAAGAGTTCCAGTCAACTTTGGTACTGGAAACTATTTCATAGTCTTAGACAAGGGATTAGTCCTCAATCATTTATATCATTTTGTTTGTGTGTTTTTTCTGTGATGGTCATAAACATAATGACCCTCCACACAGCTCGGAGAAATGCTGTGATAGTATCAGAGGGATTGGTTATAATGAGATATTTCATAGCAATTACCAACATATAAATCAAAATTCTTGCTCCAAAGAGTGGCATAAAACAACTTTTAACCCAACTCTTGGCATATTAAATGAAAATTCAGGGTAATTACCAGTTTTGATGTGTGTCACTTCTGGGCTGAGAGGGATTTTAGGTTTCAAAGAAATAAATTGTGTTTTACTGGGAGCTAGAAAAATAAAGAAATAAAAATAATCAACAAATCAATATTTAGGCATTTCAGCATGTAAAACCACAAAAGAAAGATCTATGCTTTAAGTGGAATGAGCCCTTTACCTTGGGAGAGTTTGGAAATAGGCCATTAAAAGAGTATTTCACAGAGCAGCATTTAATGGAAATACAGTTAAACATTTCTAGAGTATATTTGACCTAACAGAAATAGCATTGCCACTAAACAGTCACAATAACTACACAAAGACAGTGAATTTAATCTATGCTTTAAAAAAAATCAGTGTAATCATGCACCACTATTTCATATTTCTCAGCTACATCTGTCCTTAAGCACCAGAAAAAAGGCATGTTTTAAAATTAATATTTACTAATATACAATGCTATAATCTGCAGCATAAAGAAATTCTACTAATACCATAGTCATTTTTCCAAATGTAGTCTGAAGTTGAACCTAAGGGCCTTGTGCAAAAGGAAAAAAAAAAAAGTAGAACTACGGGTAAGACTCAAATTCAAATAAAATGATTGGATAGAAGATGAGAAAGAAGCAATGGTTTAATAGCTTCCCAAGGCATAGAATGATGTATAATGCTGAGTTCAGATCCACTAACTATAGAGCCAACTATCCAAAACCATGAAAGCTGTAGAGTCCATGTACTACATGAGATACTAAGTATTGTTGAAATGAGCAAATTAGACTACAGGTTGGGACAGGACATGACGGCTGGGGTCCTGGGTTTCCCATGGTGAAATAAAGTTACACATCTACTAAGGACACATCATTTACCCAGTGTTGTCCATGTAGGTTCGGGGCTTATGGAAATTTTAGATGTTGTTGTCCCAGGCCTTTTGGTTCTTTCTGGTGAAAGGAAAAGAGATATTAACATAGCCTAAAGACAATAAAAAGATATCCTCCAAAGACGAACTGAATGATCTTTTAAAAATTCTGCTGTATGTAGTAGTCAGTGTTGATAAACTATGCAGTGAGTAAAGTTTTGGAAAATAATTTTCAAACTCAGCCATGATAGTATAGACTATATAAAAAAAACTGTATTTCTATTACAATGGAATGAGCAAAACCTGATTTGTTTGAGGATGATTTTGAGTGCATTATCTGACAATGAAAGAAATCACCTCCAGGCTGCTAAGCCACCTCTACTACCCAAACTCTGTGCCTTAAATATATTGCTCCCCTCTCCTTTTTCCTTGGCCCAAAATCTTCATATATTTAAGGCCTGTATCCTTGACTCTTATTCTTCCTGACCTTCTATACAAGTATTATGGTCTCGCAAGTGGATTATATAATCTTCAGTTGCTCTCTCATTGTTTATTATATATTATCTTTTAAAGGTTATGAGCAATTGGGGAGCTGGATAGATCATGTCCTTTCCATCTCAGTCATTGCCCCAGGGAAAACTGAAAACACAGCAGGCACCAAAAAAAAAAAAAACCAAAACAAGAGCTGTCAGCCTAATAAATACTTAAATATAGACGGCATACCAAGAAAAAGAATTGTACTATATACCTCACTGTATCATGTTGTAATAGCAAGACTTGTTTCTAGGTTTAAAACAAAGTTCACATGCAAGAACACCACATAATTTTTAATGAAAGCTTATTAGAAATGATTGTTATTTTGCATTATTAATTACTTATCTTTAGTTAACTTTGAATTTTGTAAAGACACCTTAACCTATAGAATCATAGCACTTATTTTTATGGCAAGGAGATGGATGTTGTCTATTTAGAATTATATATCCTGAAAAGTCAAAGATCCATTTATTTACCAGGTTTGATTCTTGGTGGTTTGGGCCTGAGGCGCTGTTTAGGTGTAGAAGGGACGGATGTAGTTTGCAGGGGAGCTGAAAGAAGATTTAAAGCAGCTTTCATGAATTTTCTCAGGGCTCAAACTGTGCGTGTAAACTTATAAACTTCTTGAGTTCAAGAACTGCTTTCTGTTTCTTCGTATCCCTAGAACACCCAGGCCTGCCCTTTATTCACAGTGGGTGCTCAGTAAATTTGTTGATTGGGCCAAAGGAATTAAACTTCCATGTAAGAACTGAAGGTACATTGTTCAATTAAATGTACCTCAGTGTGAGCACCTTTGAAGAATTTAAGAACACATGGCACAGTTAGGAACTCAAAAGATGACTTACCAAACAGAATAAAAAAGTTTAGAACTTCTTTAATTCTGTAGTGCTTTACTAACCTCACCAGGAATAAATGAGCCTCATTATTCCAATAATTTTTTATTTGAAAATGCAGGTTGTATTACCTTCCTTTTGCCCACTTTTTCTCTGTCATGCCCAGGACTACAGATCCTACTTGGGGCTCTTCACACTTTGTCTACTCTGAGAAAAACGCTCTGACCTGGCGGTATCAGAATGTGCTAATTAGACGTGAATCTATTTTAAAACAACTATAATTCTGCTGCTATTTTCTGGTTAGCAAATTTCAAAGAAGTAGAGCAAAAAAAAATTCTTCACAATTTATGGGAGGAAGTGAAGGGAAATATTTACTACTAAAAATATTCCGAAAAGGGCAACATAATCCATTCTCTTTTGTCACTTTATCTGTTCTTTCAAAGCAAACAACTGTACAAAGGTCGCTAGTTACCAGGTGTTGTAGGGTGCACTTCAGGATGGGGAATGGTTTCCACTTTTTGAGGACCAAATGGTATTTCACGTGGAGCTGAAAACACAAACACCCCATCCCACCAAGTAATTCCAGTTAAAATGAGGTATTTTAAGAGTTTTAACATGCTTTTAGATGGTGTTACAAAGCACATGCTACAAGTACATGATTAAGGATAAAAAATGCATGTAGTCTTGAAAGCTGATGGATGAAATAATAATGTAAAGTGGGGAAAAGGTCAGAGTGATGATTGTTCAGTAGCTGACTCCAGGCAGACTCAGTGCATGGGAGACGGTGATGCAGGCCACAGACACATGAGACGGACTGATACGGGTGATGAAAATGTCCATGCAGTTTTCAAGGCTTTTCATTCCTTTGAGGATGGAAAAAATCTCCTCTATCATAGTACAAAGGAAAAAAAGAGACCAAAATGGAACATAAGATGTCTGCATTATAGGAAAAAAGTATATATATTCAGAAATAGGAAAGAAATAAATAATTAGATGTGATGGAAAGAAATGGTCATTTGGAAGAAAGGCATTCACATGGATTTTCTTTTGATGGAAAACAAAGAATGATTTTTCTGTTAAAAACATTACCCAGTGTTGCCCTTGGCTGTTCAAGAGTTCTAGAAGTTTTGGGTGGGACAGAATCCAGAAATGGATCACTTGTTGCTGTTGGAATAAATGTCAACATTTATAAAAACAGTAGAAGGCCCCAGGAATAAAATACAAATTCATGAGTAATAAATTATGCCTCATATAGGGAAAAAATATCAAGAACACTTGAAGGATTTCTGACCAACATTTTAAATGAGTGATTCATTAGAATTTGATGAGCTCACTTTTAAAAATGTATCTACTTTCTTTTTAAAAATTTTAAAAAATTGTTTAATACTCTTACAGATGTGCCTCATTCCCCCACCACTTGCCCCCTTTACCATACAGACTTTGAACATTAGAAAGCATGATAAAACAGTGTCTCATATATTCAATTTACTTTGAACTGGTTTTCCTGGCTTCTTCTCTCTGTTTCTTAACTACTCAATGAACCCACCCTTAGCATTGTTTGTTTTAAAATTTTTTTCTGCTGTTTAAAATTATTCATTTTTATCATGGGAAAAATAATGTTGAGATAAGGCTACACATCTAAAAATATCAGGCATATATGCATGTTTGACAAAGACCAGCCTCATTCACTTTGAATCTCTGCAGTGCCAAGTTTAGTAGGTCCTTAATAAACACTTGCCAAAGGGAGCTATTGGACTGGGTTGAACTCACTATAGCAGTATCAGTAAGTGAATGCCAAAAATTAGACCCAACTGAACTTCTATAGACTAATGAATGACATGATCGCTCTGTAGCAGGATTTCTCACCTAGTAGCAGCACTACAGACATTTAGGGCTGGATCATTCTTTGTTGTAGGGGCCTGTCCTTTGTATTGTGGGGGTTCAGCAGTATCCCTGGCCTCTACTCACTAGACGTGTCAGTAGCACCTCCTCCAGCTGTGACAAAAAAATATGTCTCTAGACATTTGCAAATGCCCAGGGGGGTAGAAGAGAGCAAAGTCATCCCCACCAGAGAACTACTGCTCTATGGAAAACTCTGTAGGATTCTAAAACCTTTTTGAAATGACTCTGAACAATAGCACAACAGACCATTCCCTTACTTTGCCTCAATGGCAACCGCCTACCTGCACCTCCCACTTGCGCACAGCGTATCTACTGATGCATCTAAACAAATGATCGCTCAGTGGGAGGAGAGGGTAGAATTCATTCTGCTGACATGGATTGCTATTTTTTTTCCCCTGCAGAGCTCTGGAAAGTGCACTTTTTTGTTCAGCAAAAAATTAAAGAGAGAACTAGGTATGGAATTGTCAGAACACCTGGAATCCAAGGCAAGAATTGAGAGGTTAAGTATACCTGGGTGGGACTCGGATATTTCAGGCTCATCTGATGTTGTAGGGCTTGAGAAAACATCATAAGTTGCTTTAAAAGAAAAAGGTAAAAGAGATGTTAATTTTGACTGAAAAGATTACATGACATATTTTAGTGCTAGTCTTGTCATTAAAGTGTAAGCAGTTACTAAGATTTGCCTCTAGTCCCTCTTGCCCTGAACTAAAGGTCTTTATACAGCAAGCCTGATGCTGGTCTCTGTGATGCTGTGAACATAGCGCTATATATTTACAATAAAGTGGTGCCAGCTCTAAATAAAAGAGCTTCCAAGAATATAAACATAAATTAAGTCAAATGGGAGAGATTTCCAAAGAAGGAAACAGCAATTACACGGAGACTGCACAAAGTCTACTGCTTAGTCTTTCTACTTAGTAAAAGTTACCATCGTGCTATCCTAACATTAGGACAGCACTTTACAGTTTGACAGTGCTGTCTCATATATAAGCTTTTTTAACCCTCTTAACATTCCTGAGAAGTAGGTGAGGTAGACTTTATCCCCACTTTATAGATAAAAGAGTATCATCCCCATTTCCTAGGTAAAGCATTTGAGATTCATAACGGTAAAGACATTTGCCAGTGGTCACACACTGGGCCTGTCCAGTTCAGCATAATTTTCATTGCATTCACAGGTCCAGGAATGGCAGAGCTAAGACCAGTTCTCTTCCTCTTGCATTATTCCTTCTGCCACTTTACCTGGTAGCAGCTTTCTTTCTATGTTTCTCCATAATCTAGGTGGAGTTAAAGATAATATTTATATTCTGTATGAAATAAAGAAAGCAAGGTGACCTTAAAAAAAGGTTGGTGTTAAAACAAGGGTAAGTTTCATGTTCACATAAGAATTGAATCTGCAAGAAAAAAAGCATAAAGACAGAAATGCTCTCTCTTGCATCATCATCAATTATCACTATTATGACAGGCGTACAGAAGCTTGAATGTTGTGAGGTAGGTCTTACTTTCTTTGCCCATTCAAAATGGCTGTGCATAAATGAACTAGAAGGCTGGGGAGAACTACTGGGAAAACTTACTCATTGGGGTTACTTATAACCCAATTATTTACCCAGTGAAATTATTTGAACCACTGCTAGCTGCAGCTGTAAGAAAGATAGTATCAGCCTGTGACCCAAGTGTGATAGGCAGATAGGATAGTTTATGTTGTATCACACACTTCAGAGGCAGAAAATACATTTCAATTTGTAAAGATAAGTCTACTGCTTTGCAAAGTCTTCAAAACACAGAAAGGATATTATGAGTTAAAATATGCAAACATTCTGAGAGTAAATCCATTACATGTAATGTGGAGTTTTCTTTAGCCTAGCTACAATTTAAAAGGGTCAGAGAAGAAAGATTAATCTTTTAAAGGACAGAAATGTTGGCAGTTGCTGATCTTAGTCTTGTTTTAAGCCAATTTCATAGAACCATCAAAGCCAGCTCTATCTGCACTAAATAAATTAGGAAAACTTGACCAACTTTTATTTCACTCTCTCATACTAGGAAAGAAATTATGAACAGCTTGACTTATTTATATTGTTACTTTTGAAAACTGCCACAACTGTCTTTATGTTATCCTAAGTCCCACATTTTCCTTTTATATAGTGACACTATACCACTTTTCTTATTTCTGTATTTTTTTGTCACAGAAGTTGATATCTATTCACTCTTTTTCTAGTTCTTTTCCATATCTGCAATTTGCTTCTATTCTAGACTTCCCAGGCCTGGCTGCCGTCTTCCCTTAGGCTATTCTCAGAAGGTACCCTAGTGGGAAAAGAAGCCCTCTTTCCACCATTCTCGGGTGATTGTGGCTCATGCCTGGATTATTACTTCCAAACATTTTCTCAAATATGCTTAAGATTAAAATGACACATCTGCCAGAAGACTTGGTACTTGGTATTTCTATTTCTGGAGGTCTGACACTTTAGTAAAAAACAAGAGTGCTAAAAACACACAAACACCACTTGGTGGAAGTTTTATGTTGTCTGGACCGCCTTGAGAAGCTCACTGCCACTTCATTTCATTCAGAGGTTAAACAAGGTTTTTGTTTGACTCTGAAGTAAGAGATGTCAGAGGAGAGGACAGTGGGAAATGAAGCTCTCTAAAAATCAACAGCTCTTGATTTCTTTACAAAACTCTTGTATGTATACTGTATACCAGAGTAAAATGCATGAAATGGTTAGGCACCTCTGGTTTTTAAAGGTTATATAATTGATAAACAGCTAAGACTTAGAAACGAACCCTTCTATTTTCTAGACACTTTCTGTGCTATCATGCATTATGGTTTAGAGGCAAATATCTTGTCACCAATGTTTATTTTAGTGGATGAATTACTACAGCTGTTTGACATTAAGCAACTTGCATTCACAGAACATAAATGAGACCAAAAGTTAGAGGAGAAATATCTAATGTTAGTTAAATAGGTAGTTCAATTCCAAGGTTATAAAAGGTGATGTTAGTTTTTTTCAAAACACAGTAATGACTTATAATCATAACTAAATTTTACTTTTATATTTCTCAGATAAAAATATTATATGAAATAGGCCATACTACCATTTTCTCATTTGCTCATAACTTCCTAAAACCACATTGTTAAATTGTGTTTTGTTTGTACATTATATTTTTTACTTAAAAAAACTGATTGGATGCAAATTCTGTAATAAAAATGCTCTAATCTTCCTCTGGAAACACGATGGCACACAGACAAGGTATTTTCAATTATCAGGAATTTATTAATTGTATTCAAATGCCATGAATATTAACAACTATGTGAAAGACTTCCATTTTTAAACCTACATTCTTAGATGAAAGAGCTGATTAGGACAGAAATTGTGACAGGCATGCTCATTATGCACTCCGAGTGCCCTTACCCTGAAGCCTGGTACGTAGCAGAGACTAAATAGAATTAATCTACAAGATACCCTTTACAATGAACAAATAACATTGAGTTTGACAGTGGGTAGTTTATGCTCTTAGTAAAGATAAATGAGAGTAAATGAACATGTCCTTTAATTATTCTACGATACTCATACATGTGCATACAACTCTCTTTCTCTACTATACAATTACATGTCACGTGCTTGTAATGTGGCCATACCCTGCCATAGAAATAGAATCCTAAAAACATATATCAAGAGGCAATGGGAAAATACAACAGTACTACCGATAAATAGCTGATGAGAAAAGCATTTATAAATACCACACACAAAGTTCTCAATACTGTTTAAATAAATAAATAATGCTTTCTTTAGTTCATGGGAAAATAAAATACCTTTCAGGTTAACCCTGAAATTACTGAAACTATTTCCTACAAAATGAAATGCTTGTGAAGTAAAATCAAAGGCATAGGCTATAAAACTCTAAGGGGTCACAGTAAATCTGTTAACCATCTGCTAAACTTGAATTCTATTTTCCTGCACTTGAAGCATCAACACTGCCACCCATTCCTACTTTTTCTTCTCTCTAGGGCTTAATCCAGTTGGGTGGGCCAGACCTACACTAATCAACACCTCACAGGTGGGCAAGAAGGTCCAAATGTAGAGTGCAACCTCTTTTCAACCACCCTGAGCAAACCACCAGGGCCAGAACTTTCCAACCAGTACAGGACTCCTTAGGCACACTGATTAGCTCAGCTTCCAAGTCTTTAAATAATTGATAGAGCTTAAGCGCACATAGCAATTTACTGAAGTTCTACAAAGTACTGAAAGAATTTAACACTCAACATAATTAGTGATCAACCCTTAAAGGTAGCTTCCTTTAATGGAATCTAATGAAAAAGACTGAGGTCTGCCATCCTCAGTTCTGACTGTCAAGGGAAGTCTAAAGATAACCATTGATTATCCAAGGGGAAATAACTTTACCAGAGGAGGCAGTTGTCTTAGTAATACTAAGTCATAGAACAGTTGGTGGGAAAAATCAGTTTGTCTGGATACCCTGTGGAAAGAACAGGCAGGAGGATTTTCTAAAGAGGAAAGTAAACATATTTAATCATCCTGTTTTGTATAAAGAAACCATTTCCTTTATTTTATTTGGGCTTTAAATTCCTCCTGGTACTAAATGATGCTCTTTTAAGAGAATTGCCAAGTGAATTAAGGAGGCTTAACTGATGGCATTATCAAGTGAGAAACAGAAAGCTGATTTCCATCTGCCGCTGTAAACCATACAAGGGCTTAAGAAATCATGCAGAAGCCCCTTCTAGAGAATGATAAAAACAAAGCATTGAAATTACTTCTCCCAACTCTGATGTCCACAGAAAACACAAAGTTGGTAATGGCATCATTTGACTCCCTGAGCCTAGGCAGGGCCTGAGCCCAGATCACAGAATGCTAGAGGCTGCCACTTGAACTGAACAACATGGTTGAGTGGTGTTAATAGGACATCAGGCCATTCCCATGGGGGTGCAAGGCTTCTTCAAATAACACAACACATACCCTTTCCATTTTCTTTAAAAGCTTTTATACAGGTGAAATGCAGGTCCAAAATTCAGTTGGTATGCTTATATGTAGACAAGCTTAAGAGTCTTTTTACTTCTCTCTTCCTTCTTTTCTGCTTATTAATTAAGTAATTTAATTAACATTATTAATTAAATAAGAAGTATCTACACCATCAGGAAATTTAGGATGGTGGGAAGAAGATGCATTCAATGCAAGAACCCGCTATATTAAGAAAATGGTAACAGGGCACCCCATATGTACTGTGAATTAGATTAAGTGACTTATGCATTATTTCTAAGATATAACAACCCAATGAAAAATACATACACATGTTATTTCCATTTAGAGGTGGGAAAACTGAGGCTCTAAGAGGTTAAATCACTTGTCTACTGCCTCATAAATAGTAAATAGTTGAGCTGGTTATTAAGTCAGCTCTGTTTCATCCTATAGCTCACAGTTCAGAGATCATATTCACAAAGAGAATAAACTTCAGGAACTGGCTAGCCTTTCTTACAGTCTAGTCGCCCTTTCTTAAAAACCTAGAAGGCACCTGGGTCTAATGAAAACATCTGATTTGCTCTGTTGCACTACTCAGTGAAAATTTCAAAGCAATCTATATGACATCATTTCACTTGTAACATGGAGTGGTTTGTAGGAGGAGAGATTCAGAAAGAAATTAATGAGAATCTAGTTTTCGCTCCTCTGCCTACTCAAAAGCAAGTGTCTCACATAGCTTCTTAAGATAAAATAGAATGATAACTCTCTTTGCCTCCAGGGACTTCTGAAGAATCAATATGATGGTATAAATACAACTCTGAATCTCTTAATAGAAAACTGCTATGTATATACAAAATTATACTATTCCAGTGAGGAAGTAATCAACTAGTACATGCACATACATGCAGTGCACAATTCATGAGGGTAGGGGTGGGGTTGGAAGGTACTGAGAGCTTTTCTGGAGCTCACTCTATAATAACACAGGGATCAGAGTCAACTGGCTACCTTCCAATAGAATATAAGGCCAGTTCTACCTAACATCAGAGAGCTTGCCTGTTCTGAATGACTGTCACAAGCACTGAAGTATTTCTGAAATGTGGCCAACATTTTTTAAATACAGGCTTTGTAAATAAGTTGGCATTCTGGCAAGTAATTATAGAGATCTTTGTAATTTCCTTTCTGTACCTTAAGGAGAGGTGGATTTGCCAAGAGAATCAAAATCAATCAATCCTACTTAAATGTAATTTAGAGAGAGTTTAATACAAAATACAATTCAAATAATGAGAGCAAAATGCAGCACTAGTGAAAGGTTAGGAAAAACAGGCTGAAAGTGGGGAAGAATATATTTAATGACTATACTCAGATTTCCTGGAATACTCCAAATTCCACATACCCTGTACTACTCTTGTCATAAACTATTGAAATGACCCAGGGATTTCAATATGCAACTTAGAATTTCCACATTCCTTTTTATATCCAAAAGTATTACAGAAATCCTTTGGAGAGCATGCATTCTGATGATTTGATACAGAATATGAAGTAAATGTGGAAAACAAGTGCAGTAAATGCCGAAGTAAAATGGGTTTTACAAATGGTGTTGATAAATCACGTTTAATAGTTGATAAAGAGAAAAGCAGACCCTGGCATCCAGTGCTCTTTGGCCCTCACAGCTCCGCTTGGTGTTTCCCTGATGAACATCAACAATTTACAAGGACACCAATTTCAGCAAGGCCACTCAGTGACTAAGATGGATCGAGACATAAAGAAGAGTACTCTGTAATCATGTGGAACACAAACAAATGAACGAACATGAAAATAACTGTCCCCACAGCATGGCTAATATGACTAACTGCTGCTTCTTTACCAATCACAACTTGAGCTTCACACTGTTCTCTTTGTCTTCTCGTTAAGAATTATTAAGTTAGTCAATCACAACGTTATTCTACTTTTGGACAGTATCCTATTGAGAGCAAAGCTTTACTTTCTTGCACCCTCCCCAGAATCACCTAACACAGGACCAAATCATAAGTCCTTTCCAACACCGTCTTACTAAAAGTTCCCAGTTTCTCATGATGTGTATTTTCTATTGTTGCAATGAATAAATAAACCTAACTTTGCTCAAATACAGCACCTAACTAACAAATGAAGTTAGGTTAAATAAACCTAACTTTGCTCCTGCTGGTCTTTGACTGAAGGGAATTGACATAGTAAATATAGATGCATTGTATCCCAAAAGAGAAAACAAAATGTGTTAATTTTGCTGTACTAATGCTATTAATACCAGCTAAATTATATCATTCCTTTAAAGGATGTAAAAACTAAAAATGAGATCTATGGTTTTATGGGCCAGCATTCAAGTACTATCTCTACCTATTTCTCTTCTTCCTCCTCAGAATGATTACATTTGAAAACCATGTGAGTACTTGGAAAATAAAATAATGATATACATTGCAACTAAATAGGAAATACTTAGTACATGTATGAATTCACACAGAATCAATCACAAGAAATAGGAAAGGCTGAAGTCAATGAAAGAATGGCATGACTATATCAACTCTTTAAATCACAAATAATGTATATAATAAATAATGTATATGATAAATTTTAATTTGAAATTTATCATGTTAGGAAGATGCCACAGAATTCTTATACAAGAGTTAGTTGTAAGCATTGCCTGCATTAGCAAAAACAAGGGATAACAATCACCTACTTTGAGAAACCAATCATATGGATTTGAGTCCTCTTGTCCTACAATTAACCACATTTGATGATTCTTATCTGCACTATGTGAAATATTACAGTCTACAATGTAGGGTGTTCATACAAATCACCTGGAGATCTTGTTAAAAACGCAGATCCTGACTCAACAGATCTGGAGAGCACAGCCCCAGATTCTGCCTTTTTAACTAAGTCCTCAGTGATGCCAATGCTGCTGGTCCAAGGATCATACTAAGGAGCAGAGATATACAGATGAAATGCACTGAGAGTGGGTGGGGAAGTCCCAGGGCTACCGCTCAGGCCTGCGATCATTACCTACTGAGCTGTTAGAGCCGACGACCGCCCTGAACTGCCATCCAGAACGCTGGCAGTTCACAGCTGGAAGTTCTCTGGCAGATAAATAATAAAACTGCTTCCTGCTACATTAGCCACTACTTATATTCCAAAAGGGCAAAACCAGAATATTCCTTTTCTGAAATTAAAGACAAAAAGAACTCTGCCTTTAATGGAATTTCTAATCTCATCTATCTTTGCCTCTTTCTAACTCTGCAATGTTCACTTCCCAACCTACTCTCTCCACTCCCAATGTCTGCTTCAATTCAGGCTTTACATGTAATTCACGCCCTAGGCATTAAGATTTCATATGGTTTCCTTGAGGTTTTGGTCAGTTCACTCTTGAATAATCATAGACACCAAAAAGCTAGTGGCTGCTCAAGGGAAACCTTGGGGGACCCTCTGCCCGCTATGTTACGACACAAAAGCAAAAGGATAAAAGGGACCTAAGAGGCCATTTGGTCTAGTGAGCCCCCAAAGTGTTTGTTTTGGGAGAAGTTATGTTCACGAGGGTCGTGGGAGGCAGGCCAGGCCTGTTGTAGTGTAGCAGATAAACCATCACTGGCACCGTCAGACTAGTTGTTCCATAGTCACACTGCAGCTGTGCCTGTGTGATATCAGTGGAGCAAGAGGCTCAGTATGAAACTCTACTCAGGACCAGGGTTTTGGACTCAGGTGACCTGGATTGCTAAACATATTTTCATACTCACGTTGAATAATGGCACTAAAGTTTCTGGGTCAGTGACTAGGGGAGCTGTGTTTTAGAAAGACCCAATTTGAGGATTCTCTGGATTGGCTGACAACTATAGCTAACTTTCAAGTGTTTTCCTACTTGAGAAAAACTAGGAGAGATTACAATAATAGACACCCTTACTTTAGTTGATACAACCTTGTGTCTTTTGCTGATATCTGATACCATTACACATATTAGAGGAAAGATGATTTGACTAAGATCTATGTATCTGAAGGCTCAGTCTCATTCTTTCTCAAACCGGTCCCCTGTTGGACTTCTTACTGAAGAATACCACAAAATAGTGGTTATATTACTTTATTACCTGAACTTTTAACTACATTATAGACTATAATATGTGTGCTCAAAAAAAATCACAACTAGAAGATATACAAAACATTTAAATACAAACAAGTAAAACAAAAATCATGGAAGCAATCACACTAAATAGTTTCCTATACAAGAGTTAGTTGTAAGCAACTACGAAGCAACTATAAGAGGTTTTCTTATAATTCTCATTTGCTGAACATCCACCCTCTTAAGTTTACAGCTAGATATCAAAGAGAAGATATGCAGGAAACTTTTTAATTTAGAAAAATCTATTTAAAAAAAAGGAGAGCTATCTCTTGTAATCAGTTTTAGTGGTGTAACACAAGAATTGTCAGGAGAAAAAAGCCAATTGCCACAATTTAGAGAAAGAGTAAACTAAGACCCAGAAAAGTAGAGTAAATAGCTAAAATATATGATTAGTGGGAAAGCCAGAACTGGAAACAAAGTCCAGTATTAATGCCAAGACTTGGGATATCTTCCCTCTACATCACAATATGCAGACAGATTTTAGGATTTAGTAATAGTATCTTGCACACAGTGCTCTCAAATGTTCCTTGTTAACTAATATAAGGTATGGGATGAGGGGCAATGGGAGTCACTTTCCCTGCCCCCACGTAGCTAGACTTGCTGATTTCCACCAGCGGGCTCAGTTGACTTGAGCATCCATAGGGGCTGGGAAGCCTTTTTAAAAGTTGGACAGTCGGTGCAATGTCCTGTCACTGTTCCCTGGGCTGCAAGTCATACAGCTCACTCCCAGGTATCTGGTACCACATTTGATACAAAAAGGTGCTCAGTAAATAGCAATAATTGCCACTAAAAAAAAAAGTCCATTGCTGAAAACGAAGCAAATTATCTACCTGCAAAGGAAACAAATTCATCTGTTAAATCAGACCCATGATGATGCTTATTTTTGTTACTACCCTTGTGTTGCTAAAGAGATCTCTAGAAAATCAATGAGCCAATGTGTAGTTCATCTCCTAGCCAAAGTTCTAATTAGATATCCAGATGTTAAAAGACAGATCTTTAAAACAAATGCAAAAACGTTTTGCTTTCGTACTGAGGGGGGAAAAAAGGGATTTGTTTAAGTATCAGGATGATTTATAGCTGTACCATATACTACAAAGTATACTGATAATCAACTAAGGACCCTATAAAAATAAAAACAAGAAATTATTTCATACTATTGCATCAATTTATTTTTTAAAAAAGAATGCAATTACCAGTTTGAGGAGGTAGAACTTTGGAATCTTCAGATGTTTTAGTTATAGGTTCAGGCCATGGTTTTTCACTTGAAGCTACAGAGCCAGAAAAAAAAAAAAAAGAAAAAATAAAAAAGGAGGGAATTTGATGAAGACTTTTTGGGGAGGACAAAGAAACAGAAATAAGTTGCTGGAATGGTGACTACCAGAATCCGGCAATGTAAATCACATACTGAGCCAATCAAAAGCCATCATTTATCGAGAAGAAATCTGTATGTCCCCATCCTGAGAGCAATTAATTAGTGACTAGAGAGAGACCAAAGTTTGGCATGATATTCTCAACACTTTTGAGGGCAAAAATCTAACTTAATGAGCTATGTAGAATTAAGACTGATGATGGTTAGTTACTAAATTTATAAAAAATCCAATCAAATAGTTTTTTGTTTGTTTGTTTTTTTAAACCAAATCAACAACTTGTTTGGCCAAGTTCATGGAATTCATCAGTTCACTGAGGTTCGGAGAGATAGGACCCAGTAATGTGTCCTCCAGAACTGAGCGATCACCACCCACATCTTAACATCAGGTTTCAGGTGCTGTTATTACCCCAGGAGCCCCCAGGTTTCTCAAAAAGGAAGGGTGTTTTTGCCTGAGGAAATTCTGGAAGTCTTTTCGGAGCTGTAAAGAAACACATAAGAAATGTTATGACTTGAGGTGCAAGTAACAGAGAAAAGATTTTGCTAAAACAATCATAAAAAGGCAAATTACTCATGTTAAGTAAGGGATTGTTAATAGTATTTCTTAATCCTGTGTTTCAATACTGGATAATATAATAAAGCTTTTATTTTAAATAATCAAGCCACTATATTTGAAAATTTATGAGTTCTTTTTTCATTTTTATTAAATTAGTTTTCTAATTTCTTCAACTATGTGTCTATGTGCTCTTAGATATATTTAATTTAGACTCAAATTAAGCATCAAACACATCTGAACTAAAAAATGTCCATTTAATAGCTATTAAAAATAGAATTTTGATGACTACATGTCTTTATATATAAGCTCATCACTAACAAATTTTCTGATATTGTGCTTAGACAGAAATTTGAAGAATTCTAAGAAAGAGCCTGCATAAATTATAAATATATTTTCTCTGTGAAGAGAAAGAACTGAATAAAAGATATTTAGAGAAATTATAGAAAACAATTTATACTGTGACATGATAATTTTAAATTAAAAGAATCAAATATAACATCAAAATGTGACCACCAAAAAGAAAACAACTGAAGGATTTGTTATGGAGAGAGACTCTCTAGGACCTAAATTATACAATAAAGATTTTTATAACATTTAAAAACTTGGTGTTGAGGAGCTTATTGTTTTAAAAACCAAGTTTCTCTTCTTTCCTGTGAGGAGACAGATTTGAATAAATTAGTCTAAGAACTTTCAAGCATGTGTAAAATTTCCAAGGTAATAATAAGTAGCAGTGTTTAATAATTTTTACCTAGAGTGCTCAGTGGTAATTCAAACCTAGGTATTAGAATAGTTTGAAATCTTTCCGGGGTCTTTTTGCTGAGAACTACAATAAAGAAGAATTCAGTTAGCAACTGTACGGATTGGGATTTGACATTGTGGCTTCACCATGATCAGGCGATACATGCTCAAAACAGAATGTGCGCTGGGCAGCAGATGCCTTTCATGGAAATAGATGGCTTTCCCTGAAAAAGTTTTACATAGCTGTTCAAATTTGAAGGTACATTTTCAAAGGGCTGTTGTGTGGCACAGATGGTCAACATCACAAGTACAGAACAAAATACATGCTGCTCCTTTTCTTCAGAAGAGAATGAAGCACATAAGAATCTTTTGGGCCAAGAAGCAGCTAACATGCGTGACATGAAATTCTTATTAGAAAGCGTGACACTTTGGGGGATTCTCCTCATGTTTAGTACACACAAGACTTGGAAAAGCCAACCAAAACAGAAAGCACAGACATAGTCAAGACTTTCAGGTTTCCCCCACCTCTCCAAGCTCTCCAGGTTAAAAGGCTGGCATTCGTTTTTCCATACATCCCAAAAGACTGGTGAAAAGAGTATGCACTTAGCACCTAGAATCCAGAGCTGCCTAAATATCATTCACCAGGATCAAAGCATGTTATTAACTCTTTAATAAAATCGGTCCTAGAAATAGGAAGCTTAACCACTGCTGGTAAGGAGGAGAGAGAAGAAGAGAAAGGTAAGGTATTGGATTACTTTTCTATGAGTGCTGGGAGGGTTTTGCTTGTTTTAGAAAAAAATTTCTTAGAATTACCCAGTGTTGTTTCTGAAATGTCTAACGCGCTAGATACAGTGGGTTTAGTGGTTCTTGGAACTGATTCAGGAGACACTGGAAGGTAAAAAAAGACAACTTTACAAATTAAGATAAAATTATGAAACAGCCAAAGACCCTAAGACACGTGTTGCCCTTGACAATTAATAACTGACACATAGTTCATTACTTTTCAAGTTCCTTCTGTTAAAGACTCTCTGGCTTGCTTGCTCCAGGGCCTGATCTGACATTGCTCCCAAGCTTTCCTTTCTCAGTCTGGTCTATTTTCCATGTGTTACAAAAAGCACACTGAACTGACCTCCATGAAAGCTCTTATCAGACTAATCATAATTTTTTATTTGTCTGTCTTTTCTTTCTTCTTATCTTCAGGACCCAGTGCAATGTCTGAGGTATAGTAAGCCAGCACGTGATAAATGTTTATTAAATAAATGAATTGGTGAGCAAATAAAATTATGACCCAGGGCAAAAAGGTTTATTTAGAACTATTACAGTATATTGTTTCTCTCTTTCAAATAGCAGTCAATGTGCAAAGGTTGGAACTGCATTGAAATAAGGATTCAAAAGCTCAGTCACAAGGTTGTTCCAAGTGCTCTATCAAAGGCAAGGACAACCTCAGTTAAATAGTTTTTAAGAAATAAAATCCAAGATCACTGAGATCTGGAATGAATTGTGAGCTAGACAATCCCAGAATTTTTTTCCAGAGTAAGGACTTGTGATAACACAATAACACTGAATAAAAAGTTACCATGTTTGACTAAGTGTTTCTGAAGTGGAAAATTCTGAGGACAATTTGGCAGAGAACTAAGAAATACGTAGACTCTCCCATGAGATACTGGGCCAAATGAAGAAGTATAATTGGGAAGAATCTTTGGGACAGAAAAGAAGTTGGGGTCATCCACTGGTTCATGCCTATGTTTTTATTGGTGTTGAACAATTACATTAAAATCAGAAAACTACCTAGGAATTTCATTCAAATAGATTATTCCAGCATCTTGAATAGGTTTTACCTCTGCCCCAGCTCCCATGAAGGTGAGGAATGGAAGGCCATCTCTCTGCTTTAGGCAGAACCACATACTTCTTGCTTTGTCAGAGATATCCCTACCTGCATTGGTGTCTTGAAATCAAGTTATTTTATTTCCCCACCGATCTTTATCTTCTCTGGAACAGTTATGAGTTCCAGAGTCTAGTACAAGGTAAATATCACTAATACTTCAGGGTATAGTCATTTTATAGATTAAAAAATTACTTTAGATTGCAGTTACTTTGTTAAATGTGGATTTGGGGACATTCTTGCCAGATGTTTGCTTTGCTGAGTCCTAGATAAGGTGGTATTGCTCTGGCAAAAACTCCGTAGTTCAGAGAATAATGTGTCCCCAGTGGGATGGACTTGGGCAGTTCATTCATAGATGAAATGCTGAATGTTTGCTAGTAACGGTTGATAAGCTGGGGAAAATGCATACCACACTTATTCTTTAAAGCTTTTTTAATGAACTAGTATCTCTTGTCTGTATTAGGACTGTTAATCCTCCAAAGATATTGTTGCTATGGATCTGTGAAGGATATTGGTATTCTACTCAACAGACCACTTGAAAAAGTGAAGAAATAAAAATGGTCTCATGTCTTTACATAAAAGAAAAATGCCAAGCCAGGTATTACTTTCTTGTATAAAAATATTTCAGCCCTGGCTGGTGTGGCTCAGTGGACTGAGTGCTGATCCACAAACCAAAAGGTCGCTGGTTTGATTCCCAGGCAGGGGACATGCCTGGGTTGTAGGCCAGGTCCCCAGTTGGGGGCATGAGAGAGGCAACCTATTGATGTATCTCTTGCACATTGATGTTTCTTTTTTTTTCTCCCTCCCTTTCTCTCTGTCTAAAAATAAATTTTAAAAAATATTTCAGTGTTGAGGTGACAACTTTGGCTTAGAGTGAAAAATAGTTTCCATATTACATATCACTTATATGATTCAACATATAACTGATGTATTTTGCATCGGTTGTTCTTCCAAACATTAGCACCTATCATTTTGTCCTTATGATCAAAATGAATTTCCTACTGGCTCTTCACTGAAAAAAAAGGACAGCTTATCAATCAATTACCATTTGAAAAAAAATATTACTTATTCTTGCAAAGGTAATGACACAAAGATCTCATTACCTGTTATGGGCTGAGCTGGGATTTTTTCTACCTTTGGTGTTTTAGATTCAGCTGGTAATGCCAAGGTTTCATTCTTAGCTAAAAAAATCAAAGAACAAGCAGTTTGCCTCACTTTCTTATAATACAGTGTCCAAATGCAATTCATTCAAAACAAAATCAAGTAGCACACTACTTCCAGCAATCTATTCTGCTTGTATCCCTTCCCACCTGGCAGTCAACAAATTTATTGTGCATTTCTACAAGGGATTAGCATGAATAGATGACCATCTTTGGAATTCCTTCCTGTTAACCCTCAGTAATTCTTTAAGATCTAAGCTGGCATTGGAATGAAGAAAAAAAATCACAACTCAATACTTGGATAACTCTCAAGTTGTTCTGATTCAAAGAGTTTCTGGAAGGCCTATGTTGTATCGCAAACACTCACTGGAATTTTATATTCAAGTACTCCTAACTTTTAAAAAAATCAATGCATAGAAAATGTCCATTACTATGCATGGTAAAACATGTAATAGGTTGTGACACTGAAATTTTAGAAAAGCACAAATAACACATGGGAAACTAAGTTATTTGAAAATATTTGTGGTAAATAAACATCAATTTATTTGAGCCACATGTTAACAAAAATCTTTTGTTTTGGTCATTAGGGATTCAGTGTAAAGAATAAAATAAAATTTTCCCCATTTTTTTCCCCTCTTCAGACAACTAGTTAGGAAAATTCCTTCTAAAATTTAGGTATTCTTTTTCAAAGAAAGTACATTTCTATACTAGAGATTCCCAATAATTAAGATAGTTTTCATTTTAAAAATGCACCAAGGATTAACTTGATCCTGCTATTTTGCACACAAAATTAATGACCTACTTGTAATATTTTGAAACCGTCTAGTGGCACGAAAGGATTCATTCATCTTTGAGATAGCCTGATCATGTCACCTTGAACTGATTATGATCAGAGGGATTTTTTAGAGTCCTAAGACTGCACAGAACCTTCTTGGGTTTCTCAGCTTTGGCACTATTGACATTTTGGGCTGGATAATTTTTTGCTGTGGGGCCTTTCCTTGGTTGCAAGATGTTTAGTAGCACCTCTGGCCTTTACCCACCAGAATCCGGGAGCACGTCCAGAGCTGTGGCAATCAAAAATGTCTCCATTTGGGCAATGACAAATATCTTCTGGGAGACAAAATTGCTTTCTTTTGAGAACTATTGATCTAACCTGCTCTCTCAAAGCTCTTTGAGGATGCAAATTTTGTAACCTCCGTTTGTAGTTCACATCACTGTTGTAAAGACCATTTTCCTCTTTTCAGTTGACAAGGGCATAAAATATTTATTTACTTGTGATGGACAAAGCCTTCCCTTTCACAATGTTAATAGAAGCTAGTCAATGTTTAATGTGTATTATACAACTGTTCAACAGATTTCTACATAGAGTTAATTATTTTCAGGAATGATTTAAAATGCTGCTAATAGGTGTCACATGTGCCACTTGCTTGCCACATCTAAAAGCCAAGTGTGTGTTTTGGATTCCTGTGCACATGAAGTTGCACAGCATGTTTGCATAACAGAAATGTTTAATACCATTTTTAAAATTAATTTAGCAAGTCATAAAGAGAAGGGACTCTATTTCTGGAATAACTAACTAAAAACACAGATCCAGTATAATTTTATTAAAAAATTATATTTTTAAAATTTCTAAATTTGATCAACCTTTTTTCCTGCCTTTTTTGTAGTTATGGATTTTGATTAGAACCATTGTGATTGTTAAAAAAGAAAAAAACACATTCAGATTACAAATTTTTTATGAGCAAGCTCTAGTTCTGTTATTTTTAGCATGTACCATAGGAAGAGTGATTTTTTTTTGTTTATTTTTTCCAAATGTAAGGTTATAAAGTTTTTCTTTAACAGTCTCTTCTTTTCCAGTGTCCTCTCATCCTTTAGGACACATTAGTTAATGCTCTCCTTCCTGGGTAATATCCTAAGTTCGAGGTGGTTGCCTGCCTGACCTGGACCATTTATTCACTTACTTAATACTTTATTTTTAACTTACAGATCCTAGATGTCCATGCAATGCTCTAAATTGCTTTGCTTTAGTTTCTTATAGTCTAAACATGCCCTTTGCTGGCAATCACCTTAATCTAAAATTAGGCTGAAAAAGAAGGAAAAAAAGGTAAACTGCCTTCCCAAGAGAAAATTGTATTCTTTACAAATCACTAATTCCTTAAAAAGGCATATTGTATTTTTAAATATTGCATTTCATGATCAGAGAAATTGATAGATCGAGAAATGTTTAAATTGGGTCTTTTTATGTTTCCTGTCAACCCTGAGCCTTCACCTACGCTTTCTCTGTACAAGTGCAACTTTGGCAATAGTGGAACAAAATGCCTTCAGAGTGACCTAAAACCCAGGAAATTTTTTTTTTTTCCTGTCTGATTCTTCTGTACCTTTTTTCAACATTACTGTTTCCTTTACTTTTTTGGCAAGCTAAGCTTTGGCTTTGGCAAACCCTTTGTATATCCTTGGGAAATGTGGGTGTAATACTAGCTTTCTTGTTTATTTCTCTCATTATTCACACCATGTGTTCTTAGAAGAAAAGCTAATAATTTCTTGATGTCCCATGATGCGCCCTGCTGGAATGAGGATATTACTTTTAGGATTTACCCCATTAAAAAAATAGGGCTTTTCTTAATTGTGGTGATAAATAAATCCAGGAAAGTTTATTTCTCCCTAGTGAATATAAAGAATTACGTCCACATTAAAAAAAAAAACAACTCTACATTTAAAATGTAATTTTTAAACACAGTATGTTAAGATGGTACATTTGATGGCTTTATTGGACATTTTCCAACATACTGGCTCTCGATCTCTTCAATGTGTAAGAAGCTCATCAGTGTTAAATTTGTCAGGTGTTTTCCCAGAACTACAAGTTAAAAAATATATTTAAGTATTTGCATAGCATTTTCTCTATTAAAATAACAACCCTGAAGGTTTAGTGACTTATATAAGTAAAATAAAAATTAAACAAAATACAAAAATCCACTATTTAATCTCTAAATTAAAGAAAACAAAACACCTGAATTGGTATTAGGGGAGCATGTGGAAATTTACAAAAACCAAACACACACAAAAAAAGCAGGGGGGAGGGATTTGGAATATCATTCAAAACTAGAGACTAAGGAATAAAACATCCTCTAATTCAAAACTGACAGCAGTGGTCTGGGGGAAGAAAACGCTCTGTTCATTTTCAGTCTCCTTCACATATTCTGGGTTTTTAGTTTTGACAGACAGATTAGAGACCAAATCAATCAGAGATTGGCTTCCCCCTTGCCCCCCCTCTTTCCAAACAAGTGTTTCCTAGGTGCAGGGCAAGGCAATATGTAGGCTCCAGATAGAGAACCAGTGAGTGCAAAAGTCCTGAGTTCTGGTTCCAAACATCGGTTCACTGAAGGCATTGCATTTGGACACTCTCTGGCTTTTAGCACAGCATATAGATGGTGTAGAGTTGAGTCACAGGGTTTTATAGTTCAAAGGGAGTTGATCAAGTCTGATGTAGAAATTAAGGATATGAAACCTTGAGTGACTTGTCTACATTCTTGTAGGTAACTCACCCTAAAGCTAATAGCTGTGAATATTTTACAGTAATAATGTAAGGATTGCACAAAATCACAGAGATTTAGTGGCAAATATTTTCACATCTTAAGGAAATGGTGATACATAAGCTTTGAAGATTTTTCTAAAATTGTAAGCCTAATAGTCCACCTATTTAGTGTCCTTCTGCCCACTTAAGGCTTTGTTCCTCCTTCTAGGAAGCTCTCAAAATTAACAGCTAAGAGAATTTAAGAGTTCCCATCTTTTAAACCAGTTTCAGTCTGGTTGCCTACCACGATAGAAGCAAACAGGTCAGGTCTCCAACAAGGGAAAAGTAAATCTGAGGCCCCAGTATGGGCATGACCTGTGTGTAACTCACCATGATAGTCCCCAGAAACTTGCTGTCTGGCACAGAGTAATGCTTAGTAAGTATCTGTTGACTGAATGCTACCAATTCAATTCTGTAAGTGCTGCAGTTCTGAGCTAGTGCCAACTTTAGGGGAAGTATTTTTCATTCTTGAGTCTTTTTCAATTTCTATCACGTCACTCCATCTCCTTCCATATTTATTAATAGCCCAAGACATTCTCCAGAAACTTTAGAGGGGTGGTTCTCAAAGTATGGTTCCAGATCAGCAGAACCAGTATCACCTACTAGTAAGAAAAGCAAATTCTCAGGCCCCGCCCCAGACCTACTGAATCAGGAACGTGGGGGTGGGCCCAGCAGCCTGTGTGTTTACAAGCCCTCCCGGGTGTCTGATGCTTGATCAGATTTGAGATCCTCTGCTATAGAGAGAATACAAACTAATCTGACACTCAAATGCAGGAACTAACTTAGCCCAGTGACCACTGCAACTCTGGGCTCCTTTCAAAAGGTTTTTGTGGTTTTGGTTTTTGTTTTTTCAAATTGTTATATGTTTTTAAACACTGAAATCGTATCGGGTTCCTTCTATAAGTAGGGAGCAGTATCAATCTCAAGTAAATGGTAATGCTAACAGCCCTGACCTTTACCTCAGTTCTTATTCAAAGTATCTCATGGTCCCTTAATAGTGTGCTAAGTGTAATTTATAACAATTACTCTATTTGAAAACTGTACCTATATAATTGTGTGCATTTTCAATAATTTGATAAATGTTCACCATTCTCTTATAAATGTAAATTCCTTTATTATTTTATGTACATATAAAATAACTATTTCCTTATAGAATATGATTTAATAATTTCAATACTTCAACTGCTCTGCCCTGAATTTTTTCCCCAATTTTTTAATTGTGGTAAAATGTAGAGAACATATAGATTATGGCCCTAACCATTTTTAAATGTAAAGCTCAGTAGTACTAAATACAGGTGAACATCACCACCATTCATCTCCATGACTCTTATCATCTAATAAAATTGAAAATATGCGCCATTAAACACTAACTCCTACTGCTCTCCTCCCTCCAGTCCTTAGCAACCATGATTCATACAGTATTGGTCTTTTTGTAATCGGCTTATTTTGCTTAGTATAATATCCTCAAGGTTCATCAATATTGTAGCATATGCCAGAATTTCCTTCTTTTTTAAGGCTGAATAATATTCCACTTTATTTTGCTTATCCATTCATACATCAGACACTTCAGTTGCTTCCACATTTTAGCTACTGTGAATAATGCTACTATAAACATGAGTGTACAAATATGTCTTCGAGAACTATTTTCCAGTTCTTTTGGTTATATACCCAGAAGTGGAATTGCTGGATCCTATGGTAATTCTACTTTTAATTTTTTAAGGAGTGGTCATACTGTTTCCATAGCAGCTTTACCACTTTACATTCTCATCAATAGTACATAGGCCTGTCCCTTACTTTTACTTTGAAATCCAGAATATCTCATTTTCTAGATTCCTAGGATATTCTAAGAATATCAGTGCTAGCACTGGTCACTGAAAAGTTCAATCACAGAACTTTGTTGCTTACCTAATTGTGTCTTGACTGCATCTGAAATCTCAAACATTATGGATGTAGGAAGTTTTACAGTAGTTTCATTAAGACCAGGAATAACAAGGTGGACTGCAAGGAAATAGAGGAAAGATGAGAGGAAGAAAATGCATCATGACATAAAATAAAGCTCAGAGTGTCAGATACTAGTAATTATGAAGTATAGCTATTTAGAACTGAACTACCAGAATCCTCTGGCTTTTAATCCACAGATGCAAAAAAAATTATACAATGGATGCTTAGGATGTGTGGTGAACAAAGAATACCATTATTAATAATAATTTTTAAAAGAGAAGTTCAATATGACAAAGATTCCCTCATAACTTCAACAACCCTGTGGGGTAGGTAGGATGGGTGCCATCATTCCCACTAGGCATGAGCTTGAGTTGTTTCTCTAACACATTGTGATAGAGGTAACATCTCTTGTCTCTTAGCTGGAATGAACATAGCCAGGGTCCTAAATGTTGAAAGGAAATGAACCAACATCAATTTAACAGACCTACTCATAGTGCATAATTCTATAGAGGCTCTATTATTTTAAAAAATTGCCTGACTTTCTTATTATTAAGTATAGGGTTCAAGATGACTCACCCAGTATTGTTCCTCCACTGGGAGTCTTATCTGGGGATTTTGTTGAAGCCCTGTGAACATTCTGAATCACTGTTGAAATACAAAAAGATAATGGTGGTTGGGAGAGGGGGGTGGATAGTCAGAAAACAGTAAAAAGCTAACAATGTGAAGTCATCTGCACTGAGGAAGCCCTGATCTAACTTTTCAATGAACAGAAAAGAACTCATTAGGTTGACTACACAGCCAATGAAAGGGCTAGAAGGCACATCTTAGCACTGATGCCTATAAGTAATGGAAGGCTATTACACTAACATAAAGTATTTTATTCTAGTGAGTTGAAAATTTCCTTTCTGATCCTCATTCCCTGCTGCCTACTCAAGTTCAAGAAATGGTCCAAAATGGGGAAATGTATATTTTCAAAGCAAAGAATCCTTGGATAATTACAATACCAATTGACCCCGCTTTGAGAGTACATGGGACAGTATTTTCTTAAAATGAGGAACAATTTTAAGTGCCCAATCTCTTCTACCCAGAAACTTTCTGGACATAATAAAGTCAGTTCAATAATCTGAAAAACTGAGTCAAAATAAAAACAACCAAATGATGAAATGAAATAAGACATTATAATTCTTAGAGCCAGGATGTCTTTATTTTCCCTAAAGTGACCACTACATCAAGTTTTTGTTTCATTAACCCAAATATCCTATAATTATTTTATTCATGCATGCTAACTTAACACTAAACTAAGCCACGCATATTTAACTGACTTTTTAAAATTGAATACTTATGATTGCTTTGTCCCTAGTTGTACAGCCAATGTGACTTGCCATGACTTGCCTTATTAGTATAAGAGCCAAAATTACCTATTAACTTCTAATTTACTAGACTATACTGATTTCTTCAAACTTTTTTCTGAAAAACAATAATCAGAAAAGTTGAGAAGATACGTGAAATATTTAATTATCTCAGTTGAAAAGTGTATTAAAAATAATTCTAGCTCTGGCCAGGTGCCTCAGTTGGTTGGAGTGTCATTTCATCCACCAAAAGGTTGAGGGTTTGATTCCTGGTCAGGGCACAGACCTAAGTTGTGGGTTTGATCCCCCAATCAAGTACAGGAGACAACAGATCAAGTAGGGAAACATTGAAGTTTTTCTCTCTCTCAAATCAATAAACACATATCCTTGGGTGAGGAAAAAATATATACAGGGTCTAGCACAAATAACACCCTTCTTTATTATAGAATCATAAGCATATAATTCTGTAACATAACAACATCACTCAAGCACACCATATGAGTTTTTAGGTGAAGTGTTCACATTAAAACTATAAATTATTATGCCCATATTATCCTACCAAGTACACTCAGGCAGGCATTACTTCTGCTTGACCCTGTATGTGTGGTGTGCGTGTATGTATGTACTTCTAAATACGTATCCAGAACAGACTCATAAACATTACCTTGCTTGATGACTGTTATTGGGATCAGCTTCCTTGGGACATATGCTGGCTAAAAAGAGAAGAAGAAAGTCAGCTTTTTAGTGTTAACTTTTTAAAAATAATAAATCAACTGGAAGTGGCCCTTTCTTATCTTCAGTGAAGTCTCCCATGATACTGGTTTAATGGTTGCTGGAAAAATCTTAGTACATATGTATCTGCCTCTATTTTATTGGACTTGCTTTGTTTTTCCCATAAATGTCCAAAGGTTTAACAGAAGCAGTTACTTCAAAATTCCCATTAGTTTAGTTAGAAATTGCAATGGAAACAAAATCTTTTGTGTCGAATACTAGTTTATTTTCACTTCATTTCATATGTGACCCAAATTCTTTCTTTACATATACTCTCAAATAGATGGTATGCTACGTATTATCTTCCTAAACCAAATGGCCTCAATTGTTTGAGTGTACCCAACTGCTGCTGCTGCTGCTGCTGCTGCTGCTACTCACAGCTCAACCACCACGAGCTCCTGGCACCAACATTTCTTTGCCCAAGGAGGTAGAGCTGGGAATCAGATCCAGACATTTCTATTTCCAAATAGCCATCCTGTGCATATTTACACACAAAGGACCTCAGAATTAGAAAGGCAGTTTTCAGGACACTGTATATTTCCCTCTCTCAACAAATTACCTCAGATGTCCCCTGAGGATTCCCTTATGAGGGTGGAGTCCTCATAAATGGAATTAGTGTCCTCTTAAAAAAGACCCCAGAGAGCTCTCTCCACCCTTCCACTGTGTGAAGACACAGCGAGAAGATGGCTGGCTGTGGGCCAGGAAGTGATCTTTCATCAAATACCAGATCTGCTGGTGCCTTGATTTTGGATTTCCAAAGCTCCAGAACTGTGAGAAATAAATGTTTACTGTTTAAGCCATCCATTTTTGTTATAGTAGCTCTAATGGATTAAGATGCCTAGCAACCTAGCCTAAAGAATTAATCAAAGGTAGAAATAATCTTTTATTTATAAGGTCATTTATTCCCAAATGTGAAACAATCTTGTTATCCAAAAGCAGAGGTTTTCTTACAAAACTTATGGTTCAAATTTTTGACATCTCTTTAATAAAGTAGAAAAATATGCATAATATAAATACAAAGGATACAAATTCATATCCACAATATAACCTAATTTTATAACAAATATGTACAGATAAAAGGTTAGAGGGGAATAGATCATAGTTGTTTTTTTTTTTAACAGTAGATACTTTTATAAGCTGATATTAATTTTATTTTGTGTACCTTTATCTTCCAAATTCTTTACATGAGTGAATTACATTTATAATTAGAAAAAGTTATTTTAATCAACCAGTCTGTTCAGCTACTGCATAAGCTTCTGTACTGCATAGTTCATACACTATTGGTAAAGAAAGAATGATGTAAATATATAACCACAATTTGTACATGATTTTTCCCAGGCAAGGTGAAGAGAAAAGTAGGAATAGAAGTAAAATCTTCAGCAGCAAAGAAAAAAAAAATCTTCAGCTTTGATGTTGCACTGGCGGCAGGATTTTTTTCATCCCTTTTTAATAAGAAAATGGAACATGAGCACTTGCACACAGGACCCTTCCCATGGTGCAGCCTCGTGTGTCCACCTTCCTTCCCCAGTTCTGCTCTAGCGAGTGGGTTGGAGTACAAGGTCTCTATCATTTCGCAGAATTTTAAATGCCTGCTCTGGCAGCCTCCAGTCACATGGGAGCCACTGGCCAGAAGAACCACACCATCTTCACGAGTACTAATAATTGCTTTGTTAGAGCTGTGATTGCAGTTCCAAAGATTTTTGAGTGCTTTCTTCTACTGAATTTAGTGCCCTTATTGCTGAATGTGAAGTTTTTCACATTATAGCAAAAATGCCTACATGCTGTTGTATTGAGCCTTTGAATTACATTATACCAATCTTAATTTCTTTTGCTATGATGATTTGTTTTAAACACACAATTTTTTACAAGGACAAGTGGGAAATATTTCACTCTTCACATTAATGGAAGAAGGTTTCTCTTCATGTTCTTACTTGAGTACTGAGCCATGTTCTAAGATGATGGCAAGACTGTATGTGCAGCATGTGCTGCCAAAAAATAAGGAAATCATTGAGCTGCAGAATCCAATTCTTTTTATACCTATAATTACCCTCTTGCCTAATCTGTAATCCACAGATGCACCAAGACTGGACTAATGGGCAAGTGGCTGCCTCTATGTAAGCAGTTTCTAAAGAGCATCAGAAAAGTCCCTCTGCCCAAAATGCCCATGTAGAAGACTCTAAAATTTCCAAGAAGAAATCCACACTATGAATCCCTTCCCTATGTTTTCTTTAAGAAGTGTAGGGTAATGTATGTTACATGGACTCATTGAGAAATGAAATATTGTGATAATTTCCAAGGTAACATTGTTTAACGAATTACAACCCAATTTTAATTAAATTGTTTCATGTACAGTGTTTTGTTTTTTGGGTGTTTTTTTTTTTTAAGGTACCAGTAACTTGCCATCCCAGACTTGCTTGTCATGAACATTTATCAATGTGGATAGGAATCTCAGTGTAGCTGGTGTGGGTGTGGGGGTGGGGAACAAGGCAGGGAGAGCCCCACACGCCGCTGCCCAGTTTAGCTGGTGTGGCTTCAGCAGAACGCTGCTCTTTACGGACACTGTCTTGGTACCAGTTTTCTTTCTCAGGACATTTCCTTGCGATTCTTCTCTCTGCAGCTTGCTGACCCCCATTCCTGCTGCAAACTTCCATCACCACTTCCTTCCTTAGCTCTCATCCCTCCATTCAGCAACTGTTTGTCAAAAGTTTACCATATACCAAGAAGTAAGCATATTTCCCTCCAACTCTGTAAGGGATGCATTGTTTTATTATTATTTTTTTCTGAGTTTCAAGATACTCCGTCCCCTAAGAACCCAGGTTGCACTATATCTTGAGCAGGGGGACAAGGTAAGGAAATTTACTTTTTACCATTTTTCTGGAGGCATTGTGGCTGAGTATCCAGTTGGTGAGATTCAGTGAAGAGATTCATACTAAAGTGGTAGAAGGCAATGTCCCATGACCAATTCAGCTTTTTAGTCCTATTTGGGAAAGGCTCTGTGTATCTAGAAATAACCACAGCAAGGAGTCGCCACACAGGATGTGGGACTTCCATCTCACCTTGCATTGTACTAATTTTCTCCTGGTATTATTTTTTAAATTAGCTTTAACGAAAGTAGTGATGATACCAGGATTTCTTCTTTGCAGGTTATTCTTTACAGGTTTGTCCATTTGGTATTTTTGTGGTACCAAAATAATCACTGTAAATTTAACTTTATGTTCAGGCCCTGAGATAAGAAGGAGCTGTCCATTTGGAAAGTGGCTAAAGGTTGCTCAAAATCAAATTTCAATGGCTCAAGAGCCAAACCACAAGAGAAGAACTTGGGCATGCCACATTCTGGTTTTAATTCATTTGGGGAATGTTCTAATGAAAGTTACGAAACCTACTGATTCAATCTAACATCTGGTTAAAAGTGACTCTAACATTAGACTTGCGAAAGTCTTCATATTTCTGATAAGCTAGGGAGAAATCAGGCATACACCTTTGGTGATATTGTTGGCATAAATATAAATTACTGTACAGAATTAAGGTGTAGGTAGAGACCATAAGGTATTTCTCCCTGTAAACTTCATTTGTTTAATAACTGTTACACTTTAAAGATGGGGTCCATGTCTCTTTTTGCCACACAGATGTGGCTTTTCAAAAAGATAGGTGGATCTCTGATGGAAAAAATTAAAGGGTGAAAATAGGTGTCATATTTTAGGGGAACAGTGATCCTAAGGAGATTTGGATTAATTAATTAAACTTTTATTTTAAAATCTTGGTTAATAAATGCTACATACTTCAAAAATTGACTGTTCAGGTGGAGGGCTCAAGCAAAAGGGAAAAGGGACTCCTGGACGTGAACAACAGTGTGGTGATTGTGGGAGGGAGAGGGTATAGAAGGGTTAAATGGCAAGGGAAAAATATAATAAAAAATTAAAATAAAAAAATTGTTCAGTGAACTAGTTAGATAACTAAGTTTTTTTAATACTATAGAGATAATATATAAAAGATAGTCCTTTTAGCCATCATCTTTAATTTTTTTATATAATGAAACCTAATAGTAAACACTTAACCTTTATAAGAAATGTTTGCCCTGGCTGGTGTGGCTCAGCATTGGACTGTGAAGCAAAGGGTCACCAGATCAATTCCCAGTCAGGGCACATGCCTGGGTTACAGGCCGGGTCTCGGGGGGGAGCGCTCGTGAGGCAACCACACATCCATGTTTCTCTCCCTCTTTCCTTCCCTTCCCCTCCCTCTAAAAATAAATACAATCTTTAAAAAAAAGAAATGTTCTAGATTTTCAACAGAGAGAAAACAGCACAATTATCATGAAAAATGTATTTTCTTTAACAACATCAATCTCAAGTGATACAATTATATTGAAAGAATCATGCTTCTGTTTAATGCAAACATCTGTTCTCTGATTTTTCTAGAGGTATAAGCAGGGATAGCATTGAAAGTATTTTATAACTGGTAAAACGAAGTCATTAACCAGACAGAAGAGACCCCTGTTAATGTCCCTGGCATGTGTCCTTGGGTGTCCTGGCAGAACTTGTGCTTAGATACATCAATTATAATATAAAGTAGCCATATGCTTAAGATGGGGGCTGTAGTCAACATTCAATTTTTTTTTTTACTTAACTATTTTATTGTAAGTGATTAAAATTACATTAAATCACCCAGCCTGGTGTGGTTAAGTTGGTTGGAGCATCATCCTGTACCAGGGGTGTCCAACGTGTGGCCTGTGGGCTGCATGCAGTCCAGGATGGCTGTGAATGCAGCCCAACACAAACTCATGAAGTTACTTAAAACAGTATGAGGTGTTTTTGTTTTCCTTAGTGTTTGTGTACTTAATGTGTGGCCCAAGACAACTCTTCTTCTTCCAGTGTGACCCAGAGGTGCCAAAAGGTTGGACACCCCTGCAACTGAAAGTTTGCCAGTTCGACCCCCAACAGGGCATATACCTGGGTTGTAGGTTGGATCCCCGGTTGGTATGCATATGGGAGACAACCAATCAATGTCCTTTTTCTCTCTCTCCCTTCCCCTCTCTCAAACTCAATGAACATGTCCTTGAATCAGAATGTTTACAGATTACTTTAAATCACTTCCCTGAACCACAGACATTAATACCAGGATCATTCACTACTTTGGAGAAGCAATGGGACATTGTAGTAAAAGCGCATGTTTTGGCTCTGAAAATATCTATCAACATTCAATTAATTAACCTAAATAGTATTGATTTTTCAAAAACGGACAGTCTAAAGTTCACATTGTTTTTCCCATGTCAACTGTCCCCTTTCAGAAGTTGTTGAGCAGTTTTTGCAGCATATAAGTTTTAGGTATAAGTGTATATATGAATAAAAACATTTTTAATGTGTCTTTTGCTTCAAACCCTAAAAGTAAAACATCTGGAATGAATTTAATATATCTTGAAGTGCTGCCTTGTAAAATCAGTCTCAGAGAAGAGATGGCTGAGTATATTGATTGACATCGACTTAATTTGGATTAAAATATTTCTCTAAAGTATCAAATTAATTTTTAGAATCAATTCTAAGTGGCTATGGAAGATGATCAAGGCTGAACAAAGTGCTTTCTTTTCAACTTTCCTGAGCTATCCGAGAGCAATGTGTGAAACAGTTTTCTGCTCTTCAGGAGGTAACAATGAAGAAAGCCTTACAGAGAAGCCTTAAAATATCTTTATAATTAATTCGGGTTTTCCTTTCGAAATAACCAAGAGTTTCAAATCACATCTCATGGGAGCTGGCTGGAGGGTACTCCACCTCACAGCTTGAAGTGATAAAATTTCTGGCTCTGTGTCAATACATGCAGGAAGTTTCTTCCTGGTTCTTCTTGTCACGGCTATTGTGATGTGAAAAAGAAATTAGGTTCTTTGGGAATGAAATGTCAATTATCTTTCCCAATCTTGCTGGGTATTTCACCCTAAATGAAATATTCTGCCAAAAAACACCAATTAGTGGGATAGGATCAATTGACATCATTGTGTCACATGTAAGAGAGAGCACAACAACTAAGAGGGTGAGAGATAAGAAATGTTTCCTGGGAAACCATTGACAACAAGACTGAAGGCTGTTCTAGAAGAGAATCCCTGTGATTGGATTTAAAAGAGACAAAGCCAAAGGGACCTTATGGAGTGGCACAAATCAATACTTGGTACTAAGCCAACTGGTCAATTATTTAGGGAAAAATTTTAACCTAATCAATATAGAACCTTACTACATAAAACAGCAAAATCAAATCCACACAGTTTAGAGCTTAATTATTACAAAATTAAACCACTTATAAAACTAAAAATAAGGGAATATTTATCTGCTTTCTGGATAGGGAAGGGTTTTCTAAAATATAATGCAACTGAGAATATGGCAATGAAAAAGACAATTTGATTAAGTAAATTTTAAGACGACTATTTCAAAAATTCTCATAACAAAGTTGATAACAAATGTGAGAATGTTTCTAGATGATATTACAAAGGGTCAGTGTTCTTTAACCTATACCTCTAAACTATTTAAGAAAAACACCATGAAACACTCAATAAATAAGAGCTTAGATAAAGGTCATTAAATGAAAAATGCAAATGGCTAATAAACAAGTGAAGAAAGTACTCCTTTATCAGAAATCAGCGAACTACAATTAAAAACCATTTTACACTATTACATTAGCCAGGATTTAGTGATGTAAATACATAATGTAAATAATCAGGGTACTATAGCAAGATAACTCTGCTACATTGCTGGCAAGATGGTAAATTGGTATAAATTTTCTGGAAAGAAATTTGACCATACATATTATGAAGTTTAAAAAATATTAGATATCTAAACTGTTAATTCCCATTCTAAGAATCTACCATAAGGGAATAATCAGAAATGTGAACAAAGACTTATGATCATAAATGTTATGACCACAACATCACTTACAATTATAAAAACATTAGAAATAACTTATATGCCTACAAAGCGGAAACTGATTGGGTAGGCAAAAGCATACTTAGATCATGTATACGCACCAATTAAAATATGTGTATGAAGAGAACTTAATGACATGAAATATGTTATGTTGTATTTTGGCTAAGTGAAAAGAATGAGATATTAAATTATATATACCATGATTTTAATTTTATGATAAAAATATGCTTAGAAATAAAATACTCTGAAGTTTTAACAGTAGTCATTCGGTTTCATACTAGTCATAAACGGTTTCATACTAGTCATTTAGCAGTGTTATAGGCAATTTTGTTAATATTTCTTTTTCATTTTATATACTCTAAGTCTTTAAATATTAATGAGATAATTAAGAAAAAATTAAAACTTAAGAAAAAAGAAATAAAGGAAAGAAACAAAGACAGAAAGAAAGCAAGAAAGAGAGAAAAAAGGAAGACAAGAAAGGAAAGAAAGGGAGAGAGGAAAAAAAATCATGGCTTGGGAATGTACCTGCAATCTCCTTTTTAAATATTATTATTTGAAACAAATCAATATACTTCCCTGGGCAGTCATAATACCTAAGAATCATGATTTGATGGTTTTTCCAATATGCACACATTTTTTCCCATTCAAACCACAGAAACGTTCATCTTAACAAGATTATTCCTCAGTTAGTTCTATTTTCTCCAAACCCATTTTCTGTCACTGAAAAGAATTCAGCATATTTTATTCTTATTCCTATGGGGTATATACTACTGTTCTTCCCACAGGGCTACATGATCAGCAGAGTAGTCTGTGGACTATTTAATTAGGCATGAAAAAATATCCTTCCACATACCTCATTCACACACTGAAAAGAATAGCTTTGCAACCACGCATAGTCTTTGAATGTTCATGTGACTGTAGGATATTTCCCTGTCTGAATAATTTCAATTTCTGCCACCAAAATGAGGACCGAATTCCCCTCTTCTCATCCAAGTGCCTCCTCTACCTATTCAGTGACATAACATCCTTCACTTTGTAATTGGGCATGTGATTTAAAATGCAAACAACTTTGTGTTGGTTATAACAATGGCTTAAGTTTATAGCAGGTAGCATGTAACTGTTAGGATGCTTCCTGAGTAAAGATTTTGAAGGGAGAAGGGAAAGAGAAGGAGAAGAGACTGAGTTTCTGAAGTGAGAGAGAAAAAGGTGACTAGATGCGGGGAAATACCTGGCACATAAAATACATAAATATTTACTGCACTAAGTAGAGGCTGTGCACATTAAAAAGACAAACCAATGGCTTTATTATTTTGAAAAGGGTTGGCTCTTTTAAGTAGAAGTGATAGAAAATAGAGCAAAGATTTGAACAGTAGCAATGTAAGTAGAGTATGTACCAATTTGCTCTTAAAACATGGTATAGTAAAAACGCAATCCACAGGACAGAAGATAATAAGCATAATTTCAAAATATCTGGAATACTGAAGTACTAGAGTAACTAGATTAATGTCAGAGTTTTAGAGCTTTAAACAAATTAGAGATGTTCTTGTATTATACTTCTACCTCTGTTTTCTGAAAGAGAAACTAATTCCTAAAATGATATGTACTTACCTAACACCCCATACATAGCTAATCAGTTTATCCAGTCTCGGTACCTAATAATAGGACTATTTCCTTATTTAAATAAAAATACAATGCAAACACAATTATTAAAAAACATTTTTGAAAATAAGCTGGTACATACCACTGTGTTTACTTGATCATAGGTACTTTGAATTTTCCCATTTACTTTGTTTATACCTGACAAAAACAAGAGAAAAATGACATTAGTTTCATTTTTCTTGTTCGTAAAGTAATTCTCACTAATCATTATGAAAACAGGTACAACTCCTTGTGTCTCTAACCCAAGCATGTTATTTTATTTACCATCATTTTAAACACTGATTCCAATAAAGCTTTTAAATGAAGGGATAACAGGAAGAAAGCCTAGGGCCCCCTAAAGTTTTTTATGTCCACTAGTCCAGTTTTCCACCTGAACATTTGCACCCATTATTAGCATTTTGGCTAAGTTGGTATTCATAGTTCAGGGACTGATTTAAAACACCACAGTGACCAATGAACTGTTATCAATGGAGGCATCAAATACTGGCATCATTGTTTTAAAAAACTCATAAAAAACATTCTGAAATATCAATACTCAACAAATTCTATTTACTTTTGCGTTTTCTCAAATACTAGAAGATGGGAATTAACTTGTCTCATATTACACAATTAATACATAATTAAAAATTTGATCATTAGGGGGTAAAGAAAAAAATTACAGAAAGCTTACGAAGACAGTTCCAGGTACTTACTTCCAACAATAGTCTTGTGATTGAAAATTTTACTCCAAATTCCACCTTCTACATTGTCTTTCACTCCAAATTCATAAACCGTGTTGGGCTTTAGATTTTCTACAATTGTTTCAGTGGCTGGACAGAGTTGAAAAATCCATTCCTTTTCCTTATCCTTTTCTCTATAGCGAATTGTATAAAATCTGTTGAATATCCAAAATATGATGCTTTAAAAATCACAGAAAGATTCAGAATGTTTTCAAGTTTCTTAATATATCACAGACTCTTACCTACTCCAAAGACTGTTTTCTATATTAGCTTCTGTTTAAATTTTTAAAAATTTTGTAGAGAACATTAGAAAGTACCTTAATATATGCTTAAGTTTTTAATTTTTGATCACAAATTGGGGAATTGTGCAGCAGCACGGTTACGGTCTGACAGAATTCAGATTTCTCAGTTTTATTATTATTGCTACTTTGCAAAATTAAAGTTGGGAAACAGGGGATGTTCATTTTTTTTCTACTTATGCATAGAGAAGAACATAAGCATAATTTTATGAATACTTAACGTTGTAGTTTCATAGCTGTATGGGTTCAAGCCTTTCACACCATGGAAGTTGCATTAGAAGTAATATCATTCAATTTTTAAAAGATAGCGCTCAAGTTCTAAGATGTAACCAGGACTGCATTGCAAGACTGAAATTTTCTTACCATTACAAAAAAAAAAAAAAAAGGAATCACGACCAATAGCCAAGCTAAGGGTACAAATGAGAAAATTCAAACAATGTAAATTCAAAATCACTGTTATATATATGCTTATGGCTTCATAATATTTCACACATATATAGAGAAGTAATAATAATCCCCACCACTATTTTTTATACCTTTTTCACATGCTAGGTTTTATATATATTTTCTCATTTAATTTTCACAAAAACATCTTAAGTGGTAGAAATTATTAATCCCATTTTCCAAATATGAAAACGGAGTTTCAGAAAGATCGCTTAGCTTGCCCATTGTCACCCAGTTAATGACTTTTACTGGTGGCTATGGCACAACCAGAATACAAAGGAAGACTCCTCTGGCTCTGCTCTCAACAGCCTCGCTAAGCAGAACAGCAGACCTGCAATCTGCAAAGCGGGCGTCACCCAGCTGTACGCAGTAATGAGAATGAATGAGCTAGGGTTGCATATATCCATATGGAGAGATTTTACAAACAAAATATTGAATGAAAATAGCAAATTACAAAATGATATAGTTTCATGTCATTGATGTAAATATCAAAATATACAAACACTAAATGTTACCATATGTTATTCCTGGTATTGTAAGGAGACAACATATTGAAATAGTGCTTTGGCTCCCAGTGAGCAGGTAGGAAGAGGAATGGGATTAAAGGTAGAATGAACAGATAGTTAAACTTCATCTGCTTTTCACTTTTAAGTAAGCATTTTAAGTAAATAGAATAAAATAATAGCTGTCACATATGGTGATGGAAACACAGGTAAACATTATTTTAGGTTCTCCCTGGTAAGTTAAATTTTCTCTCAAAAGTTTAGTACCTCTCCTCCACTCCCTAGCCCAGCAACATTAAACAGGCTGAAATTCAGATCAATTGTTTTTATGCAAAGCTTTTTAAAAATACCACTCATTTACTCATGCTTAAAACGTCTGTGGATGAGACAGGGGTTCTATGGTAAGTAACCTGACAGGGTGACCTGACCCTAAATTCTTCACTGGGCAGGTCATGGTGAGTAGTCATACACCAAGCATATAACTTTTTAGTAAGAGCTTTATTTTTGCTTTAAGCAAGCCTTGTCCATTTTTCCTGGGGATTTATGTTAACACGCCTTTGAAATAAGCCATGACCACCCTCAAGAGAGCATATAATCTTGTCATCTACCCTGTTATCCAGTCCCCACCTTGCTTTCTCTGACCTCCATGTAATCTTGCTTACATTCATTCCCTCCCTAACCTCAAAAGCATAAAAGAAACTGCAAAAGTGTCATTCTCAGAAGCATTTGAGATCTTGCTTCCTGGCAACTGTGGTCAGTTTAGGCTCAAATAAACCATAAAAATTATCTACAGGTATACACATTCCTTATGCCAACATTTTTATTGTGCACCCTCTTAGTGCCAGGCACCAGTTCTTGATGATACAAAAACAGCTACCCAGATTCTCTGGAAACAAGGGCCAGGACTGGCTACATAATTGGTGGGATTCATTGCAAAATGAAAACATGGGACCCCTCATTCAAAAATGATTAAGAATGTCAAGACAGCAACAGTAAAGCCGTAAAAAGGGTATGGGGACTTGTAAGGAAGCACTCTGCGCAACTGCACAGGCGGCCTGCCCATGAATTCAGCAGAGGGGTTACAGTATAATAAGCACAGAAAGAGAGGAGATGTGTCTGTACACTCAGCCTACTTCCTTACCAGGCACAAACTACTGAATTGCTTGAAACTACTCATGAGCTCGCTTCTTTCCAGTAAAAGCTGCTCTCCAGGCTCCCGTCTCCCATTCCAAAGCAGCGAAAAACAGAATGGGGAAGGTGCTGTTCCAGCCAAAATACTAACTGCTACTAGAAGGAAACATTATAGAATACTAATCCTGTGTGTTTTGTGAGTCAAAACATCAACAGTGATTTGTAAAACACATTTCTTGACAAGTTTGATGCTTGGGGTTTTGGTTGATGTTTTTTCCCTGCCCTCATTATGACAGGACTTTGAAGAAATACAGAGAAGTTAAAATCAGACCAGATGGACTACCACAATTACAAATTATCTCTTGTTTGGATCCATTTCTGAAGATCTGAATTGCTTGCATGATCCAGGGGACCCAGGGCTAACACAACTACTAAAGGCCGGATTCCAGGATCCCCAATAAGCTTGATTTTATGTTATCTTCCTAGGAATAAAATGGGACAGAAATGTTCTATCCTAAGAGCTTAGTAACATGGGAAAAAAGAGAGTCCAGCCTATAAATTTTTTCTATTTTGATCACAGTGCCTTTGAAAAACCCTCTCTTGTATTAAGTTTCTCAGGGAAAATAAATGTACAAGCAGCTAACCCTTCTCTTTTTTGGTCAGCTTACTACCCCTGTCAACATTAGTTCACTTAATAGTTGTATAATATAGGCAAGTTCTAAATTCTAAAAGAGATAGTATGCAAAACTACTTATTTATAATGTTTCCTTAATTTTAAAGCAAAATATAGGCCTTATGATAATAAGCACTGCTGTGCAACCTAGCACACAGTAGGTACTCCACAAATATTTCTGGAGTGAATAGAATGGATACCTAGGTGCCCATAGGGTCATTTTAAAATTACAATATTTTGGCTCTGAATGGACAATGAATCAATCACCAAAATATACTGTTTTATTTATTCATTTTTCTTTATACTGAGTTTACTAGGGTGACATTGGTTAAATAATTAGGTCTATAATTGTATTTTGCAATGGCCATTGCCTAATGTTTTCCTTTCCAAAACTCACTATTCCTTTAGAATCAGTGCAAACTGAAGAAAAATACACTAAATGTCCACATTGTATATTTCAAACATCTTAAGATTTTTATAAAATTCAGTTTAGTTTACCCATGCAATAAGTCCTGAAATGAGCAGGACAAGAAGGACTGTGGAAGAACAAGAGAGGCTGAGAAGTATCTATCAGTGATAGAGCCAGGCAAATAGCTAATACTTCTGTATTGCATTGGACTGTCTTTCTACTGTGGTTCTTGGTAAAAGGAGATGGTAAAAATTAGGTAAAATGTTGCAGATTGGAAGAAGAGTAAAAGGAATCACAATCCCTGTTAGCATTATTTAAGACTTTTTATCGTTTGTTTTATTGTGTATTTACATAACATATAGTCACAGACTTCCCATTATTGTCTCAGGACATCCAGGAACAAATGTTGATTGCATGGTTTCTGTGGATGATTAAATTTAGGCACAAGTGCTTTGAGAGGCAACAAGTCTATTAAAAATACTGGTAGCAGCCTGTGACTGTCATCAGAGACGACCTCTGGAGAGGCTGCTTGTAGGAATTTGGATTTAAGAACATATCTCACATCCTAATTAAGTAGTAAAAAACAGCTGAAGGCAGTGTTTGGGTCAGCTGGCATTATCCTGTGCTTTGATTTCCTTGATTGTCTCAATACTGACAATAATTGTTATTATAGCTTAAAGAAATTCATAGCTCCTCAAAATATTGTAGAGAAGGCAGGTAGTGGCTTGGATATTTGCCAGCTCCAAATTAGTAGCATGACCTTGGCAGGGCCGGGGGGGTGGGTTTCTCTCTGACCACTTATACACAGATTTTTCTTTCTCCATTGAAAAAGAACGGGGAATGGACTAAATGATCTGTGACATTATTTCTGTTTCTAAAAATGTATTCTAGCTACACATCAGATACTCTATTCTAATAAAATACAAAGACAAAACACAGGGTAGAAACAGAGGTAGAAACCACATAAATAAAATTTGTGATGTAACTTGCAATGAATGACACTAAATGGAGAAATTGAAGAATGTCAAAGTTAGTCCCTTCACAGATTAGCCAGGCTTAATGCATGTGGTTGGCCATCTTATCGGCTTTCCATACTTTTTTCAGTGATGTTTTTATTTCCATGTGATTAACTACTATTGTATTTCCTAAAACATCTATTCCACACATTTTTTGCTCTCTTCACATCAAAGTACACTTTCTGTCACCCCGCCTTTATCAATGTTCTTGTTTCCTGCCTTACTGAGACTGTGGTTACTGATACACATTCTGTCCTCATTCTCTTCCTCTCAAAGTGCCCCTCTCTCCCTTTGCCCTCTCCTTGCCCTTCTCTGATTCTAGGGTTCTCCCTTCTGAAAAATAGGCAACTTGGCAATATTATTCCACCTGCTTTCCAACCATTCTCTTGATTTCTTCAAGGATCTTTCTTTGAGTCTAAATTATGTTTAAATATTTTCCATTCTATCAAAACAATAAAACTGATCCTTGCTTATTATTTCTGCCACTATCTTTTAGCACTAAATTTCTTGAAAGTAATCTACTTTCTCACACTTTCTTACCACTCATAATGCCTAAACCTCTTTGCAAAGTGGTGCCGACTTGTTAGTATAGTAAAAACTTAGGATCAAATCTAATGACTTAATCCTCTATGAATTTCATAACTACCTTAAAATTTACTCATCATCTTTCTCAAACATGT